GACATTACATACTTGTAATAACCTGAACATAATGCACAACAAGGATTCCCGGTCCTGTTCGGATATTATCTTTGACTGACTCTAATGAAGACCCTCTGTGAGTGACATTACACTGATTAGAAATGACAAAGATTATGAAAGTGTCTAGTCTCTGTGATTTTATCTGGAGTTAGCATGAACTGACCTAGCCCCAGTTTGTGCCTCTTATGTATAAGCAGACAGTAACTATTAACTGGAAATATGAAATGCCATTATTTGAAGATGAAGTTGAAACTGTTTTAAGGATGATTTGTGGCCCCTTCAGTGCACCATTTGTCACCCAAATGCAACAACAAGCCTCTGTTATATCTCTATATATTTATCTATATTTTCAATGCTTTTTTATTGTTAGTAGGACATGGTCATTGTTGGTTTTGGTCTTTTAAAGAAATGATTTGATAACAGTAAATGAGATCTAAAAGCAACCAAAAAATATCATTGACCCAATTCATAACTGGCCAACATGCATGGTAGTAAAGGGTTAGAAGAGGAGATCTACTGGTCATACAATGTATATGTTGAAAGTTAATTAGATCTTCAAAGGGGAAACCTGTGTTTAATCTGATATACTTACATCTATCTTCAAATTCATTTAATAAAATCTAGTTAAACGATTATCAACATCAAATTTTGCTTTTCAATTGACAATGAGTCATATTAGGGACAATTTTGCAATTGGTTACTGGATACTGAATCTAAAATACAGAATTAAGTAGCTTTCTACAATAACACATCTCATGCTGTACTGACCTGAGCTCACCTTTAGTTTGTCATGCTTTAAAAACACTTATCTTAAATCTACAGACAAGGCTTGGCTTAACCCAGTAACAGGCAAACACTCTGCCAAGGCCTTACATAATGCACACCAGCCCTTTCTTAACATAAAAAAACACACAAGAGGAGGGTAACACCATGAATCATATTTACAGCAACAACATGGTCTGTTCGTAGACGTCTAATTCAGGAAATAAGGACACCAGACAAACAAAGTTGCTGTGCTGGAGGGGATCCGTGAAAGAAGCAGCTGAGAAAGTAATGAGAGTCACTCTTGCCCAAAACTACAAAACTCCCTCTTTATTGGAGAACTGTGGTTTGTTTCAGTCCCATTAAATTATAGTTCTGTTGGAATTGAACTGCAGTACAGGCCATAATGGATGTCTGTGTGTCTTAGCTCATCTCCACTTAATATTAGAATATGAGCCAAAACTACATGCTCCAGTGTGTCTGAATGAAGACTAAGGAAGGATGAATCATAATATGTCTTGGAAATGGTAGACAGAAACAAGACCTTCAGATAGAACAAAGAGGATTAGTGTCAAAGCCATGAAGGGACGGGGTCAGTCGGCTGGGTTGCTGTCCAAGGGTGACGTTGGATCTGTAAAAGCTGATCTAGCCTCAAATATTGTTTGATAAACAGTTTCTTTGTGTCGTCTCCTTTGCTGTCGGCGACCGAAACGCAGAAAATTAGCAAACCGGGTCGGACCTGCCACACATCACACATTATATCTAGGTATTTAATGATTTTGGTTAACATTATGAGAAAAACGCAAATGCTTGCTGGTCATGTTTTGGTCCAAACAGTTGGTCAAAGTTACCTGATAAGGGGGCGGTGGTTCCTGGTCGGGGTCAGCACCGTCTCCGTAGCTGGCCCGGTCCGACTGAGATTCATGTAGCAAAGAAATATCATCCGAGGTCGGAGATTTCAGACAGTTTCCCATCTCCTTCCTCTTCGATGAACTCTCCCCTCTGTCTGTATCGCTTTACTAACGTTAAACTGCGGGGTCTCAAGGGCCACTCACACAGATAATAATGTCAGTGGACAAGAGGGCGTTTTTCCATACACAGCTGATGAATCTCCTCTCCCAGTCGACGGGAGGGCTGCTCAGTTCAACAACAACAAAACATCCCTCAGCTAGCAGCTAGCCACACAAAGAGCTAGCCTGCTAACACCAGCTAGCACTCGCAGGGGAGCATCTACTCGGGTGGCTACAAAGTCACGACTGAAAGAACCTCACAGATTCTTATATCTGCAGACAGAGACACGCGAGGGAAATGATGATATCCCTCATTTAAAGCGACAAACCTAAGGACAGTTTTCCTGACTGACGCAAACGTATCTGGGCTGTCAGGGACTTTCCAGTTTGCAGCTGCCGACCAACGACAAAAGGTGGTGATGTAGCGACACGAAGCACCGCCCCGTCGGAGAAAGGCCCAATGAGCTTTCAGTTGCACCCAGGAAGCTTTTACCCTCAGCCAATCACATTCGCGATCACATTGCCTTTTACTAAAAACGTAAACACAGGGCTACAATCAAGACATTAGTCTTTGTTAATACAATTTCAGGACAGTTTTGCTATGACCAGTGCTGGCCTCAACATATTACATGATAACCCAGTAATTCACGATTGTGTTACTGGTCAATTTAAGTCCTCTTTGTGTATTTTCAATTGAATGTGATTATATGATATTCCAACACCTTTTGTATTTTTTATTTTATTGATGACTTTACTGTCTAGTGGATCCTTATACTGTAAATAATACCACTTTGTACTGTACACATTGCATTTTGAGGTTCTGTATGTGGTGCACAAAGGACAAAAAAGACAAAATGGGATGTGTTTTTCAGTTGCTTATCATTATTTCATCTTAAATTACAATAGAAACATTCATTATGTACAGGAATGTCATTTTGCTCAGCGGTGGCCATGCCCAGTAAAATATGCTGATTGTAAACATCACAATACCACAGAAAAATAAGCTAAATTAATTACTAGAAAACAAAATATGATGTTATTGGAATATTCACGACTGATGCTGTTAAAACACCATTAAGATTACATTTCCTCCACCATTTAAAAACATTGAAACTGACTCCTAGTCATCTTGAATCCCAGACCTTAGTCTAATCATGAATAAATCAGCACTGCTCTAATTGCAACACTTGAGACACCATCTGAGTTTCTAGGTTTTGGACGCTGTTGCTGGGACACAACCCTTCAAATAACCTCACCACCAACACAATTAGAAGTGACCCCTTTCTTTCTTATCATTTCAGTCCTTAAGTATTTGTTCATGTACAAATTATTATGTGACACAGGGTCGTTGTTATGGTGTTCAAGTCCTTCTATAGATGGTATCAAGCGTAGCTGATTTAAGAGCAGCAGAGGATGTTCACAATGCAGGAAGACTGTGGTGGTTCCCATTCAGAGTTTCATCACTCACTAAAGATGCAACAGGCGGACAAGCACGCAGTCCTTCACAGCTCGGCGTGAATGGCCTGTTTGTTCAAGCTCAAGTACTGTTGGAGCCTGTCCCACACACAAGGAGGAGAAAAGGAGGGAGTCTGCCTTTCTAAAAGACACATACATCTGTCCTCTTAAAACAGGACAATTTGTGTAAAAGGTGCCATTTACAGTATAGAAATGTAAAGAACAACTCTCACTGCAACTCAATTTTTTTTACTCTAGAGAGTTTGCATGGCTGGCTGATTTACATTGCTCTGTGCAGACGCAATTGCATGTAATCGTAAATGCATTTATTGCAGATTTGACCATTTCTTCAGAAGGAGACTGAAATTATAACACATGAATAAATTTGTGTCTTTCAAGCTTTCAACAGGTTTCAAAAACAGGAAGGAAAGAAAAGAAACAGCAAAACAGTCCTTCTGAGAATCTAGACACTGATGACCTGTCAACCAAAATGTATCAAATGACACAGTAAAAATGTCCTTATGGACTCTATGGTGAGTTGCATGATGTGATATATAGCTGATATCAAACTATGTCAACACATAATTATGTGTCATTCCCCATCTACTCAAGTCATGTAATCAATAACCTCTAATTTACATTAAATAAAAATAAGTGGGAGAGCGTTGTAGAAACCAGTTCAAATGCCGCTGCTGACCAGGTGGAGATGGTGTCAGTAATTATATGGGGGTTGTTTGGTACTCTGGTTCCATCTGATCCAACCCTACCCTGAACTGGGTACATTATTATCCTGGTGTAGTAGTGAAGGTAATTTGCAGTATACAGGTGCTGGTCATATAACTAGAATATCATCAAAAAGTTGATTTATTTCAGTAATTCCATTCAAAAAGTGAAACTTGTATAATGTATACATTCATTCCACACAGACTGATATATTTCAAGTGTTCATTCCTTTTAATTTTGATGATTATAACTGACAACTAATGAAAACCCCAAAATCAGTATCTCCCCGAAAATTAGAATATTGTGAAAAGGTTCAATATTGAAGACACCTGGTGCCACACTCTAATCAGCTACTTAACTCAAAACACCAACACAATCTACACAATCATGGGGAAGTCCAAAAGACGACCACTGACACCTTGCACAAGGAGGGCAAGACACAAAAGGTCATTGCTAAAGAGGCTGGCTGTTTACAGAGCTCTGTGTCCAAGCACATTAATAGAGAGGCGAAGGGAAGGAAAAGATGTGGTAGAAAAAAGTGTACATGCAATAGGGATAAACGCACCCTGGAGAGGATTGTGAAACAAAACCCATTCATAAATGTGGGGGAGATTCACAAAGAGTGGACTGCAGCTGGAGTCAGTACTTCAAGAACCACCACGCACAGACGTATGCAAGACATGGGTTTCAGCTGTCGCATTCCTTGTGTCAATCCACTCCTTTTTTTGTATTGGTCTAAAGTAATATTCTAATTTTCGTAGATACTGAATTTGGGATTTTCATTAGTTGTCAGTTTTAATCATCACAATTAAATGAAATAAACATTTGAAATATATCAGTCTGTATGTAATGAATGAATATAATATCCAAGTTTCACTTTTTGAATGGAATTACTGAAATAAATCAACTTTTTGATGATATTCTAATTATATGACCAGCACCTGTATACTACACAAGTGTGACCTTGTTTTCTACCGTTGTGCGCCCCTTATGGGTGGCCACAGTGCTAGACAAACAAGCCTGCTAGAAGAAGGTAGAAGGTAGTTTATTTGTCACATTACAACAGGTTATAAAGTGAAATTAACTTTGTAACTCCCTTCTGCTAAAACCAATGTTTCATAAATATAGGCACATTTCTCATCTTGTCTCTATTTCAAATCACACTAGGAAGTGGAGTTATCACAATATTATTCTGGAAGGGGTCGTAGCAAACCTGCCCTACCCAATCAGGGCCACGTAGAGCTGCAATCGGCATACACACAAAAAACAAGCATCCCTCTTCCCCTACCCTCCTGTTGGAAAAACAAATCATCTGCCCGAAAGGTCTGGGCTGGGCTGAGTGTTGCATTGTGGGACTGTGGAAACAGAAAGCTGTCTCAGCTCTAGTGTGCCCTCCTCTGTCTGTTATGGGCTGGAGGGAACATGGGTGCCATTCTCCGCCGCACCCTTGGCCTTGTGCAGAGCAGCCTGAATACGGAAGTGTGTCCGTGATTCCATCGAGTAGTTTTTGTAATTTTGCCTGAAACGGAGTAAAAAGAGTTACTTATAATCACTTCTGGAGTAAATCTTAATCTAAATTCTTATTTCACACATGGGTATTGTAATAAGCCCATAAATCACAAAGATAATTTTACAATCAAGTCAAAGTAGGCCTACACCTTGTCATTCATTCTAACACTCACTGTGAGATTTATTATTAGATGAATAGGTGTGGTATATTTCATTAACAATGATGACTTGTTGTTATACACTCAAAAAATATAAGGCATAGTAAACATTTCATTAAACTGCAGGAAGCAAGTGGAGAATCTTTGAGATTCTTCTCATGAGTACAGATGGTTTGAATATGTGTTGCTGACTGAAAGACTTACTTTGCTGTTTCTAGGAGTTTGATAGCTTCACTTGTTCTGCCTTGCTCCAGACACAGTAGGCCATGCTCCAGCAGGGCATTGGGAACCAGGTAGTGGTCATACTTGATCTGAGACTCACTGCGCATAATGTCAAAACACGATGGTTACAACATGTGTAGAGGTGAAGTTACTATTAACAAATATTCCATTTAATTGTTGTACCATTTTTCAAAACAAAACCGCCTATACCCACAACAAATATGATTGGGCTAATTGGCAATGACACACTGCAAGAAACCAGAGCATCTCTGTTTTTCTCGTTTGGCTAAGCATGCACACTAAACCTGTCTCATTTCTCAGTTTGTACCTCCTCGATTCCTCTCCTCGCATCTTAGTCCCTCTCACCCGATATGCGAGCGGAGGAGGCGAACATGAAACACGAAAAGAGAGGAGTCGAGGCAACAGGTATTTAATGAAATGAGACATCCTTGCTTTGGAGCCGTCATTTCAAAGCAACACAGCTGCATTATCTGTCCATTGTTTTGTGACAGCCTACCGCTATAATCTCTGTCAAATGAGCAGACCAAGTGACGGCACCAATACATAAAGGCTACAGATCATATCTTCACAATCCAGAAACATGTCTGTTAACATTATGACATGTAGAATCATCTCGATGTCGCATAAAACATAGCATATGTCAAAAACAGTAGCTATCATGCACTACACAGAAATCTAGTAGGCGTAACTCACTCCCATGGGGGTTTTTTTGGCTGTGTGCCTTTTGACTATAAACAGGAGATAATTTCAGCCCTCAGCTTGATGAGGGTGAACGTTTCATCATCAGTGTAAGAAATGACACAGTCTACAGCCCCAATTGCAACTGTCGTCATAAGACTATACTTTTGTCATGACATGTGCAGACTACATAATGAGCACTATAATTGTATGACAACATGAAATACAGAAAATTAGTGTGAAGGCAAGAGGATGCTCTTGTTGACATAGCCTAACAATTTGGCGTTTATAGTCACAATTATAGCAGCTTAATAGGTGTGATGGGCGGTTTGGCTTTGGCACTATCTGAATCCGCATATATACATAAATCATCCACCCGCCTCCCACCTGAAGAACATTTCACTCCACCTTTACTGGACCCTGTAGCTTTCCATGTGGTTTCTTTAGTGTGTGTTGTAATGACATAGGAGTATTTTCTTTAACGATTTACTTTAATGATTAGAGAGGCTATTGTGAGTCATTTTAAACGTTTCCATAATGTCACTTAATGTTGTAAAGCAGCAAAACTAAATAAACCCGTCGCCACATTATTCCAAACCATTCGTGGTAGAGTACCTCAGGCCATTTCTTGCCTCTAGTATATCTAGTTATTGATGATTGCTTACCTTTCAAGTAATACCTGTTGTTTTTCTCCTGTGCCTTAAGATTCCTGTGCTCCCACCTGCAACCTCACATCCAGTATCTGCTGCCATTGCTTACCTACCTGCCCCTTGCTCACCTCTGCCTCACCAGACTTCACTAGTTCTGCATGTGTTGTAAATAAAGACTGTTAATCTTTACTCAGTCTCTCGTTTTCTGTGTCCCCTCTTGGGTCCGCCTAAACACATTCACTGTACATGCCTGTGCACATTACTGAGAGAGTCTTACTTGCAGAGGATGAGGGTAAAGTAGTGTTCAGCCTCCTCCTGGTGGCCAAGGTGTTTGAGACACAGTCCCTTTAAGAGGCTCAGAAGACACTGATCATCTATGGAGAACTCAGTCCCTGACAAACACACAACAGAACAGTTAGGAACAAACAGATTACCAAATAGGTACAGTAATTCTGGACAAACATTCAAAAAGATTACATCTACAGACGATATAATTCTCTTAGATGCTCACAGTAAATTTAGCACCAGTATAGAATCTAAAATAAATGCAACCCATGTTAGCATGTTAATTTCAAATTAAAATAAAATTAGAATTTAATCTATTAGAAAGATCTGGCTCTGGTAAATAAAGTTGCATACTTGTGCTGCTCTCAAGTTTAGCTTGTGCCTCATCCAGAGTTTTCAGCATGCCCTCAGTCAGGTCTTTGTGTTTGCCAATGACTGTATAGCCGTTCCAGATGTACATCATCTCCTAGACAACACACAAATTGGACAAAAATCTGAGAATCTTCATAAAAAGTATTTTCTCTCTGACAAACCAACGCTCTTTATGGATTTGACTTACACAAAGGTTATTCTTGTAACACTAGTTCTGAGAGCACCAATAGAGCTCTCCATACTTCTCTGAATCCTGACTGGTTCAGCCAATAAAGACAGATCCGCCAAACCCCGCAAGTGTAGGTTGTGTAAATAGCTGTGGTACCTTTACCAGGCAGCCACAATGTCAGCAACTCTAGGAGTGGTGGATTGACAAGGTTTACTCATGGAGCTCATAGCCTACTCTGGAAAAAATGCCATTTTATGATCCATCCCAGCTAGATTATAGAGGTATGAAATGCCATAAAAAAACATTATGTTTGGTTCTCAGTCAACCTTCCACAGCCTATGTTACAGGGTAAACTCTATGTGAAACAGAACAAATGTGTTCTCTGATCACAGGGTTACAGCTTTAACTCAACACTATGCTGCTTTGATCGGCTGAATTTGTGGATAGTAGGTTCGGATACAACAGCTATTTGATCCAGTTACGTCAAAGAAACAATGCAACTAGATTTTTGTATCTGTTCCAGTGGATCCCGATATTTTTAACTAAGTCGTTTTTCCTACTGATAGACAAGCTGATATCAGCTTTTATATGGAATGGGAAAAATGCACGCATCCATAAAAGTATTCTGCGGCGACACCGAGAGCATGGAGGACTATTATTACCCAATTTTCAGTACTATTATTGGGCAGCCAATACTCATTCTATGTTATATTGGTTTAATTCGCATGCTGGTGGTCCTAAGTGGCTCTCTCTTGAGAATTTGTCATGCCATCCTGCTTCTTTACATGCATTGCTTTGCTCAACATTACCATCACACTCCTTCAAAATATGGGGACAGTTTAGAAGACATTTTTCACTTAATGATGTATCAGTCTATGCTCCCATAGTAAGAAATCACATGTTTACTCCTTCTATTATAGATGATTCTTTTAGTGCCTGGTCTGTAAAAGGCCTTAGGGTACTAAAAGATATGTCTATTGAAGGTACTTTTGCAACTTTTCAGCAAGTGAAATCTAAATTCCAAATTCCTTACACTCCTTTCTTCAAATATCTTCAACTTCGCAGTTTTGTTGCATCATCTGTTAGTCACTTCCCCTCATTACCACCTGAGTCACTTCTTGAGATTGTTCTAAAAGTGAATCCATACTCCAAGGGGGCCATTGGTAAACTCTATAGTGCAATGAATACTCATAATATGGGACCTTTGCCTCACGTGAAAAGATTGTGGGAAGTCAAAGACATCGAGTGATTCAATTTAAAGTCGTTCATAGATTGCATTTGTCTAAAGTAAAACTGGCAAAATTTAAATCAGACATAGATCCTCACTGTATTAGATTTTTGGAAGTCTATATTTAAATTTATTTCCGACACATTGGGGACAGTCATTAATTTTTTGTATTGGTGCAACAGGTGGGGATTGTTCTTGGGTGGGTTGGTTAACATAAAAAGAAAATGTATTGTATAGTGTATCTTATGTTAGATAAGATGTTCAATAAAAACACTCTGAACAAAAAAAAGAAACAATGCAACACACTGTACATGTAAAAAATACAATTATGCTCAGGTAAGGCAGTGCGACATGGCAAAAAGCCTCGTCCAGTACTGACCAGTGGAGGAGCCGGAAGAGGAATGGGGTTTTCTGCGACGTAGCGACGGGCTTTCCTGATGGCAAACTTCTCTGTTGGTAAAGATTTCCCCGCTATTTTCTGCTTCAGCCCTGGGACCTGCCTGAAATATGTTTACACATACGAATCAGTTGTATGGATAAAATATGTGACACATGGTTTCGAGCAATTAAATATCTGAATCAGACTGTATAATGCTAAAGGTCCAATCAAATGTTTAATTAGTGGAGCATTTTTAGAAGCTGTGTACCCAAAAAAAATCACTTGTTAGTTCTGTGCAATTCTCGCTAGTTCATATTCTTGTTAGTTCATATTCCCCACCAAAGACAGCCTCTTCCCAGAAGAAGTAATGATGATATCATATACAGTATATACATAACTGTCACAGTGAGTCATCTCGGTTTTACTGTGGGTGCTGTGTGTAATTTCAGTGCCTAAGCTCTTAGTTTATACCTGAACAGAGTGAACGCAGTCTCCCCGAAGGTTAGGCAATCATCAGGAGTCAACATGCTGAGGTAAGATGCTTTCATATACGCATAAGTAGCCTGAGGGAAGGAAGAAAGTGGTTACTACTGCAATCGCATCTTTTTCTTTTTTAAACGAGATGAGGAGAGAAAAAACAGTGTGGAGTCAAGTATATTCTTAGTCTTTATTTTGGTATCAAGACATGTTGTATTTTTTAACCACTACAAACTGCTGACTTGGCTTTCTGTCTCTCTCCATAGCATAACATTTAATTTATTTTCTTATTATCACTATCAAATATTGAACGGATTTTGCCTTGTGTATTGTTGCTGCCAGGTGAAACCACCGCAACTAACAGGACAATGGAGAGAGGGGGATTGGTTTGTAACACAAGTCCCTGACTGGAAGTGGACTGGGGAGCAATTTCTATGTCATAACCACCACGTGGCAAGACACCCCCCAATGGTGGTGATTTTCATGGTGGAAGGGTCACATGTTTCTCTATGAGAAACTCTAGTTAACCTTTTCTCCAACTGAGAAAAGGTTAACTACATTTGTCTTTAAAAAAACAGAAAGAAAACTGCCGAATCAAAAATGTTTGTCAAACTAAAAAAAGGGTTGGTGTTCTCATTTTATGAAAGACTGACTGACTAATGACCATTCAACAACAGATGTGTGCTGTGGTTGTTAAGCATCTGGGCTTTCATCAGGAATGTCTTTGCTGGTTTGAAATCAAAGGTACAGTACTACAACTATCTCTGAGAAGCTCATCATTGTATATGCTAAGAAGTGTTGTAATTGTTTACTTATTTCAGTCTTCCTCATAATTTGTACTTGACAACCTTCAACAAATTTGCATTCATTAATTATCCAGAACACACTCAAATCCCACACTACATGGCCCACCTTGGACCAGGAGTTCTCCTTGCTGAGCAGGTCAGCATAGAAGTAGGCCATCTTCCAGTGCCTTTTGTACGTGAAGCACCACATCAGCTCCCAGTAACACATGTGGTGGAACTGCTTCCACTCCTGCTGCACCTCACAGCACTCCTCAAAATGCTTGATGGCCTGAAAGCATACAAACCACTGAGGATCTCATCTTCTTAAACATATTCAGTGTTAATGTTAATATGTGGTGAGCAACCCAATACAAATCATGTTTGAGTGGGCAAATGTATTTTTCATATGACTTAGTGTGATAAAGATGACGGCAGAGTTTTCTTCTTGTGGTTTCTTTAATTCTGGCTCAGGACTTGTGTGAATATTAGTGTTATGCATTATGAGTAGAGGACACAGAGGGGTCAACATTTGTATGTCATTTTTTTAGTAGTGGGCAAATTAAGTCATCCATTCCATTGAAATAAGACACAATTTGTAACTTTTACTATATATATGCACTCTAGTAGAAAGGTTGTAGCAGTAGCAGGTGTTTGTACACATTAAACTGACTGAAAGATTTTGAAATGCAAAAGCAGGAAACAAACATGTTGTCTGCGTGGTTGAACCTGCAATGCTTGCTTTGTGTTATATATATATATATATATATATATATATATATCCAATGTGTGTGTGTGTATACATACATATTATTTTATTTTATTATCATGACCAAAAACAGATCAAAACACATCAGTAGTCGCAAACAAAGTCACATATTCATAAAGAGGAGTTTCGTGAAGCATAGTCAGACATGGAGGCAGACTCACAACTAAAACTGTCAGACAGTGTTCTCAGTAAAAAGATGACCATATAATTTAGTCGACCAGTGAACTCAAATTTAAATACAGGCTGACAGACACATGTATACACAAGACACTCACAGACCTCAAGAAATGTGTAATGGCATGGTGCATTAAAAAAAATCCACATGAAAAGTGCTGTGGTGAATGTGGTTTGGTTTTCAGGAGCACATAAATAACGGGCACTCACGTCATCCAAGTTGCCTTTGATCACTTCTATTCGACCAGCGAAGAACAAGAAGATTGATCCCTGGGAGAAATACAACCCACAGTATGTCTGGGAACAGGACTCTTCTAATTATGCAGAAGATTTTTTTTAAAAACACGGTTAATTCTGACACACCTTAGGATATTTTTTGAGATATGGCTGCAGCAGTTTCTCTGCATCTTCCACATCTCCTTCTCCAGTGCCTATAGAGAGACAAGCAAACAGCTAAGATCCTCGACTGTTTTTGTGGTTGGTTGCAGCTGCATGTTGTGTTTGTGTGTCCTTACTCACCCAGTATGAAACTCATGAAGGTGTGATAACAGAGCAGCAGCATGTTACAAAGGAAGGACCTGAATGTGCTATCTGCAGAGCCCTCCTGAAGCTGCTGAAGACCAAACTCCTGCATGAACACACAAAAACACACACACAGATGTGCACACTTGAACACTCAATCACAGAGGCAAGAAATACATTATAAATGTATTTTTTTACTTTTTGCTATCCAATTTTAACAAAGAAAGGTCACAGATAGGCTTGTGTACATACGATGTCTGTTTTATTGCAACCAGAAGATAAATCAATTAAATTATAAAATAATAATTAAGTATAGTGGTTACATAAATCAAATCAGTAGTCATAGTTTACAACAACAATTATTTCAGCATAACAAGTAACAGGAAGTCATGATCAAGAGAAATGGTACAGTCATTAGTTTTTATGATCAAAGCAAATTTTAAGTTATTCACCCATCAAGTTTCATCTCATGCTTTCACTAAAAATGTCACGTTCACCACAGTCAACTCAGTAGTAGTGATATGAGTTTCACCACAAATCATAGGCAAGATTTACTGTGAATCAATGAGTCAGTGAAACTGCAATTACAGATACAATTCAGGAGTAATCCACATACACCGTTTGTTGTTGGTAGCAAAGACCCAGTACTTCACACAGCACAGAACAATCCATCCCCTGTCAAACATCTCTAATTCAACCTGTCACACCCTCGGTCATGTCAGCTCCTCTCACTTGCCAGCAGAACTCACCTTATTTCCAGAGAAACCGACAAACTCCAGCAGCTTGAGCGTCCGCGTGGGCAACATGGAAATCATCTGCAGGAAGTAGACAAGCAGTGGAATTGAAAGGCTAGCAGCATGATTCCAGCAGGAAACCTGCTTTTCCCGAGGAAACAATCTTGAATTTCATAAATATTCTGTCCGAGGGCCACCAGTTGTGCAGTAATTACAGATGTTTTCTAACCAACCACTACAAATAAGTTAAACTGACAAACAATAACAGGATGAAGTGCACATGTCTAGTATCCCTAAATAATTACTGCACTTCACTTTACTTCTTTAATATTATAAGTGCATATTTTTTTGATAATAAATATAATAAATGCAATAAATATAATCTAACACTAATCAGTCACTGTTGCCTGGGGAGCAATAATCTCAAAACACACTGATTGTTTGCATGTTAGATTAAAGCTAATCTTATTGTATGTTCATCATTTGCTCTTTATGTGCTTCTGTCTGATTAAGAGCATCTTAACCATCCCCAAAAAATATAAGGCCAGCAGGTAGGTTTCAGTCTTATTTTTCACTTTGGTTTAGGCTTGATACTTTCTGGAAGTCATTTGTCCCACTATTCTTTGAGCAAGAATCAAACAACTGATTCACACACTGTACTAATAACTCCCATCCTTTTTAACTGAGCAACGTTTCAATTTAACAGAGATCAAACATTTCTGACAACACCTGACAAAGCCTTTGCTTTTTGATCCAGCATCGGTAAAAGTTTTTTTGGATGTGCGTACCCTACACCCTTTTTTGTCAACAGCTATTATTTGACCTGTGTATGATTACACATTCACCCTTCTACTTACTAGATTAAAGGCTCCTACTCCCAGTTTAACACCACCCTCAAAATGGCCATGGTTGTCACCATGACTGTAGCCAGAGGACTGGAGGACTGTGTGAAGCTCTCTGTAAAAATAAAAGACAAAGTATGCAGATTAAAAGGGTTTTATAAGGTAATGAGGAAGAGTGAACTTTTTTAATAAGGTCTATTAAAACTGGGACACAAGCATGGCAAAATGTGAACAAGAATATTCTGGGCTCTCACTTGTATGTCTGGTAGCTGTTCCTCACTTTGATTCCCCCTTTGATGAAACTGATCATGTTTTCATCCTGAACAGAGAGGGAGCAAGAGAGCAGGTGAGGTAAGAGAAGGAAAAGAAACAGAGAATAAGTTTAAACAAATGTGATAATGTGATTAGTGGTGGCAGATTCAGTGGCAGTCCTGACCTGAAGGAAGGTGAGTGCTGCCCTCTGCAGGAGACACTCGGCGTAACAAACTTCCGCGTGAAGTTCCTCTGAGGTGAAAAGATTACGTCACAGTTATCCTCAGTCAGACAGCCTGAAAGCTACAGCGTAATGGCCAAACACACATACATATATACAGAAACACACACACACACACACATACACACACACACACACACATGCACGCACCACGCATGCACGCACGCACACACACCAGAAGCAAAGATTCAAACTAGTAGCCACACAAGCTCACATACAATTCAAGTACTCACACATGCAACACACAACGGAAACTGCTTCCCTAATACTGCTTCCTTAATACTGACATCTGTTATTATGAATCGTGGTGGTGACACATTACTTGTCCTGTCAGTCCAGCACTTTACTGACCTTCTGTGAAGTTTTTGGAGAAGCTTGACTTCTTGCGGTGCCTGATCGAGAAAGCACAAAAAAAACCCATCAGCTGTCATCAATGTGTTGGTTCCACTGAAAATCTTCTGGATTGTATTTCAGCAGCATTGCACTGTCTTTGCTTATCTTGTTTCCATGCAAATCAGCGACTCAGCCTCTTTCCAGTAAAGACAGGACGCTGAGCTGCTGCGGGCTGAAGTTACCACAAGGTGCTGACCGTGCATTAAATGTCCTACCTAACAGTAACAACACTCAAAGAGAAAACTGTGTGTGTGTGTGTGTGTGTGTGTGTATCTGGGTAGGCTAACTAGATCTACTGTTAGTCTGAATCAGTTCAGCTCTGAATCATGACAGATTCTCACAGTGGCTCCCGGACAAATATTGACAGACTGTTGTGAGACTCTTTCTGCCTGTGAGCCTCGACGATCTCCTCATGTTCTCTGGGTTTAATAAGATGTTGCTAATGGGAACCAGTGTTCTAAAGATACAGTTTCATGTGTCTAAATGTCTAAATCAGCAGTGTGAGTGCTGATCAACCTCACTAACTGTGACTAAAATCAAACGTTTTGGCTTGTTTCTAAAGCAGCTTGTCTCTAGACTGGCTGGCTTTTAAAAGACAAGCTTTACTTTTGCAGCTGACTATAGACGCACTAAAAAAAGCCTTGTCACAGTTTATCGGCTGGTCATCAGGGCATTTTAACTCCCTGGTGTTGTGGAGAAAGTCTTACCGCTGACAGAGAGCCTGGGCCTCCTTCATAGTGTTTCCTGCAGACAGAATGTGTTGGGGTTCAAAGGTCATCATGGCCTGCATCTCCAGGATGGTGGCATAGGTCAGAGCGTGGTACATGCTGTCTTTGGTTCTATAAAAAAAAATGTAATAAGACATCACACAATATTTGTTTTTAGTTATATTGGAAAAGCCTTGGAAATGAAAGAGGAAGTTGTAGATATAAAATTACATTTTGATCCAGATAGATCATGTGCTGTTTCTGTTTTGCTGACAGAGACGACGAAGAGGCGAGCAAAATGTTTTTGTCTGATTACGAAAAGATTCATACAGTAGTCACTTAATCAGGCAGTGCAAATGAAAGCTGCAGTCAGATAATGAATTCCTGCTCACGACCGAGATGTGTGATTGAATACCTGGAAGACTAAAGCCCCAACAATACACAGAAAAGGAAAAAAAAAGGTAGCGCCTATTTATATCTGTGGTGTCTCACATTACACCCTGCGTTTAACAATAGTTCCTGCAGGTTGTACAGTGATGAAGGAGGAGTAAAAGTGTTTGATGTCACATACATTTTTCCAGTAGATGTACTTGTTTTTCCAGTTGAAAGAGCTTGTCATTCTAGTTATAAACCATTATTTGAACTAATTAATTAAAAACATAAACATAGGGCTTCATCATTAATGTGTGAGCAGCTGCAGTCACATTTAATGGTTGAAATAACTTCATATATATGTATATACTATATATTTATTTACGTATGTATTGTATGTTTGTGCATGTATTACAGATACGCACACAAACAAACATAAAGGCAGAGGTGTGTAGAGAGGAATGCTGTCTGTATGCATTACTGACATTTCGCTGCTGTGCCCAGTCTCTGTGATGTTACTCTGAGCTACAACCACTAGTCTTTCATGGACACTGGAAAGTTAATTTGCATCAAGAGATTTTTTTTTTTACCAATGGAAATAAAGCATAAAGACACTCTTATTATTGGATATATTTAATTAAAAAAATACTTTGATACAATGAAAGTGTTATCATCCATGTGACTTTTAGCCTGTCAGTGACATAGATTTGCAGAAATACATCAGGGTTTGACTAGCTGACAGAGAGTGTCTGCTGAGCTTTAACTCCACACCTAAAGGAATTAATATTATTAATTAGAATCCAGTGACCAATTGGTAAACAAGAACCAACTCAGTAACAGCCAGGAAGCAACAGCAGAGAGTCAGGGACAGCAGAGATTTGCCTGCCTCACATTTCCATTGCATCAGGCTTATGTAAGACGACCCAAGCTCAAGCTGAGAAACCTTTTAAGATGGACCTGTTAGTTCAATTGAATTGCTTGTAGCTGTGCTGAAAGTGGCTGAGAATTCAAAATATTTCACAGCAGCACTCCGGTATTTTTCAATCAGCATCATCTCAGGGCTCAGGGATAGGAAGGTCTTTACCCTTCTGAAATGCACTGAAGAGTTGAAGAGTTGTGTTGTACTTTCTCTCTCAATGCATGTATGCACACCCGCCTTCTTTTCAGTTCTGCACGTGTTAGTAACAATCAGGAAGTGCAGAAGTGGCGTGGGTTATGAACCAAAACAGAAGAGAATGGCACAGCTCATCAGGAACAACAATGTCATAACTTCTCGCCAAGATGCACCTCCGTCAGTTGCTATATTGTATATGTATGTAATACTTTTCCAGTACACCTCCTGCACCGACTCCCTGCTACAGCTGTGACTAAAAGAGCAGGATTGCAAGATGGGAGAAGAAGATTATACTGTTTTGGCTGTATTTGGTCTTTTGGCATGTTTGAACAGAGACCTGGCAAATAAAACAAATCCTGCAGTTGGATACCTCTGGGATTTGACGGCTGATCAAGAACACTTGACTGTTTACAAAGCAGGCATGTTTCTATAATGTTTTAGTCTGCGGTGGCTCCTTGACTACGAGAAACATATTGACTAGGCCTCAAATATCTGAGCCCTTTAAGAGAGAAGCAATTTAAAGAGACAGCTCTGCTTATAGGCTTATATCACGTGATACTGATGCATGAACAGTAGTTACACAACCTCATAGATAGATGGATAGCCTTTATTGTCATTGTACAAAATACACAAGGAGGAGTGCTATAAATCAAACAACAAGAAAGTGCTTTAACCCCGTAATGGCTAGCCCCTGTCTTCCTCCCAATGCATGCTGGGAAGGGCTCCAGCTGCCACTGACCATAAACAGCAATAGGGGTAAAAATAATGGACAAATGATTGATTAAAGTGCATCCAGATAATGAATGCTCTCTCTGAAGTCTTTCCGGTATTTTAGTTGTAGTGCGGTTGCGCGTGTGCTGCAGAGAGTCTGCCCTTGATCCACCTGACTGCGTCAGCACACAGCTGGAGGAAGGGGAAAAGGAGACACAGATTGAAGAGGGAGAGAACTGGACTAAAGCAGAGGAAAGGCAAACACAGAGGAGGAAAGCTTCTGCTGCTGCTTCACATCCTCAGGACTGCTTGTTCCCAAAATCTTTCAGAGTATCTCTCTCACAATGCAGCAGATGTCATCACACCTTACATAATATTACATAAGTCTGATGCCTCAAGCATCCTCACAAAACCCTTTTCTGAGCAGCAAATGGGAAAGTTGTGACTGGGTTTTATAGAAGATTAATAAATGTAATGTATAGAAGAAGTGCTGAATTAAGTGTAAAACAACACTTTAATATGACTGCATCTTTTCTGTCTACTGTATTCTTTATTTTTTTAACTAAAAGAGGCTGGAGGGAAGAAAACAGCGATTGCTCAGCAACTTAGCAAGTATTTAATTTAACTCTTTCACAAAAAATTTCCACATACCTAAGAAGGACATTGAGCAAAGACCACAACAACACCTGGCCAGATCACGATGATGGAGCCCATGATTATTATAGGATAGACCTGTCTTATCTCATACTGTCCTACTGCATGTGTCAAATCCAACCATCTGGGCTACAGATGTACATATTTGCAACTACTGTTTGTTCAGGTGCACTTTAGCGACTGGAAGAGGCAGAGGTAGCACACACAGAGCTGTGGGAAGAATATCGAGACAGAAATGAGGAAACCCGCTGAGCTGACAGACTGCCAAGCCTCAGGTGGCAGCATCTAGAGGTGTCGTTGGGGTGGATATAAACAGATTTTCTTCCAGGTTGTACTATTCCACAAACCCAGATATAAACACTAAAGCATTTTATGATTATGACAACAGGATAGTCACCTGGCAACAGTATTATATGTTATGTTGCAACGAAACTCTCCATAATTTAGTCTGAGCTAAGAAATCAAACAAATGACATCACCCTTCACTATTTCGACACTTACAGAGCAGAACAGCTGACAATGGTTGTCAATCTAGCTGTAGAACAAAAAGACGAAAATAATGTACAGGCTGACAGAAGGTTGTTATTCTTTTTCAGTGTAAGCAAGTACTGAAAAGAAGGAACTGGGTCTAAGGAGTGGCCCACAGCCCCAAAGAAGAAGTAGAGGGTGGAGAATAATAGCAAGAGCGTGATAAAGGTTCTCATAATAAAGCAGAGAATGAGTAGTAAATAATGGAGTAACTTGATGACACAGTGTTAAAGAAAAAAAACTAGAGGAAGTATGTGAGCCCAGAGAGGGCGTTTGTCTTTGTGACTAAATACAGCACGTCAATCATGTCAACCCTACGGCCATAAAATCATCCAACCAACATCAGCAACCAACACCAAAGTTCCTGTTGCCCTCCATGATGTAGACACTGGTATCTCTGTTTCTGACCTGTTACTGTGCCAATGACTGGGTATTCAGACTTTAAAATGATTGCTTTTCTACTGATTTAGAACAGGAATTTAAAGCATCAAAATGCTCTAACAGTCATTGTAACGCTCAGCATTTACAGCATGACATTTTTGACATTTTTGTTGAGCAAATAAATTGATCTAATTGCTTTTAGGAAGGCGTACTGCCATCAGCAAATGTTAAACAGCAAACAATGAAATGTATTGGCTGAGGAAATGTGTAATAAATCAACAAAGGCAATTCAGCAATGGCAAAGAATTTTGCTGAATCATTATCATCATCATCATCAAAACAGAAGCAACAGAAGTGTTAGTGACATTAAAGCATGTCCTTTAATATACACCCCTGCCTTCCAATCAGAACAGACTTTCAAGCGAGCGAGACGACCATGTCAAGACAAAGAGTCTAAGCCATGCAAGCGGCTACACTTACATATACAGAGGTGCACTGAGCTAAATGCTAACATGCTTTAGCAGGTATAAGTTTACCATGTTCACCATCTTAGTTCAGGGTTTTAGAGTGCTAACATTTACTAATTAGCACCAAACAAAAACACTTCATCCACAGGACTTTTTCACAGCAGACTTTTTGATTTGAGTGCAAAAACACCTAAAAAAAATAGTAGTTGCTTGCATGCATAACATCAGCTGTTTGTCTGTATTCATTATATTTGTCCATGAAAGTGCAAAGTCAGGTGCGCCAGAGCTCGACTAGAGCTGAGTACAGCACCTGTGTTAGCATGTGGGGTTCAGGTTGTTCTCCTACCTGCATCTGAGCCGGGCCTGCGCCTCCTCAAAGTGGTTTCTGAGGAACAGATCCAGGGCATCCATGCAGTCCTCCAGAGCCAGCGACAGGTCTGACCGGGAACACCTGCAGAACCAAAACAAAGAGAAAAGAAAGAGTGGTGAAGAGTGAAAATATTATTATATTATATTGTTGTTTGTGTTTGTAAGTGCTCAAAAAGTCAGTCAATCGAGTTCATTACAATTTCACAGGCTGGGAATACAAACATTCCCCTAAACCTTTTTTTTTTATAAAATTTGATTCATATTTGAAGATCCATGTCACCTCACTTTGTACTGCCACCCGCCAGTACCTCTAACTGTCTCTCACTACTGTAGCGAGCCTGTTCTCCTTTACAACAACAAAGGCAGCCTCCAAACACTGACCTACAACAGAGACTGGGATCTTGATATTGTCTCATTTTACATATTCCTCCTTTATTCAACTCTGTCTACTCCTCTACTACAATAGAAACAGAAAGACATGCAGGGTGAGCCAGACAAGCAAACTGGCTCAAGAGAGTGCTTCGCTGTTAGTGTTGTTGCTGTTTGGATCAAACTGCACATTACAGAGGCAATCAATTTAAATTACCGTACTTGCACAGCTGTACTAAAGACAGTGTATTAGGGCCATTGTAAATTTAAAGAAAGAAATATAGAGCCAGGGGAGGGAGGTAATATTCTGAGAAAAAAAATCTCATTTCCTAGATTTAAAATACTTGAATATTCTCTGAGATTAAGCCCAGCTGTATAATCCGCTACGTCCAATGGTTAAGTGAATTGTTGTGGTAGGATTATAATGCAGAAGGGGAGGGCATTGTTTAATCTGTAAATCAGGAGGTTGAACACAGAGAGGCTGCTGTTCCAGCAGGTCAGGGGAGAGTGCTGGCAACACATTGGACAACGCTTCGGTGCTAACTGTTAAAACTAAAATGCCACCACAAACAAAGCATTAATTATTCACATTTATTAATCAGAGCATTCCCAATAATCATTCAAAATCAGCAGGGACAGGCACATAGAAACAGCTCTCTCTGTCTCTCTCTCCTTCACTTCTCTGTGGTTTCCCTTCTGTGTGTGGAATGATTTGGGCCGAAACTTCTAATTACAACCACAAAAAGCAAACGCTTAGCAAAGGCTAAGAAACGTACCATGGTGTCCATTGATGTCTATCTATCTTCTCTGCTCTGTTTTACTACTCCGGCCAGCGCCACACCTTCACATGCACCCCATTTTTAGCCAGACTCATTTCACCATTTTACACTTGCTCAACTGTGTGTCTTACTGTAATCATATGGCAAAATATTTTGACACCAAAAAGTATTAAACCACCTGCCAGCATACTACCTACCGTAAGGTTTATATATGGGGCTTTTTTGATAGTGACAAAGAAGGGGCTGGATTCAATAAATTAAGCAGGCTGAAATCACCTCCCTCTGCCAGCATGGCCAAGAAGAATAGCCTACAAGTTGCAATGCACTGGTTGGACACGGAGGGTGGACTGAGCCCAAAAGTTTTGCTTGAGTCCAGCGTCTGTGTTCAATTCATTCCACTAACTAACAAACCTATTTCTTGTAAAAGTATGATTTTAAAATCTCAGAGAATATTCAATTTTTTTTCTCTCTCGCAAATCTGACTTGTAAATTTGGATTTTTTTCTCTGAATATTACCAACCTTCCTTGGGCTCCGTAATTTTCTTTTGTCTACAATGGGCTGCTGTCATACCACTTTTATAAATAAATAAAAAAGCAAGCTCATGGACCAGTTTTGAATAAGATCATGCATTATTCCTCACTGTTGTAAGTTGTCTTTGTGAAAGCAACTAGCAACTGGTGATTATTGTTCATGTTGCTGTTATTACATGGTGCACATGACCCTCCTGTGACGGGTGTACAGTGTGGCCAAACAGGACACAATGAATGAGAATACTGCACTCCTTCATCCTTCATCACAAGGCTCCCTCCTCTTTGTGTCCACTCACTGTACCATTAATGGATTTGTTCATACATTTCTTTACTTCAGAGTGAGCACATGGCATGTGAAAAACACATTACCACTGAGCTTAATGAGCTGACCAAATTACTAAGTTGATGGAAAATCTGAAACACTAATGTCAGCATTAAGATTTGATTTGGATTTTGACTGTTTTGTAGAATGATACATTTTTCTAAGATTCAGTTATTTGCCATTTCTGTTCATTTGTATCATAAAATGCGAGTGACCCATTTTCTGAGTTGGTCATTTGTTTGTCATGTTATTGATGTGTTTTTGTGAAACGGGAACTGGATTTCGATTTTGTTTCATTTTGAAATGCCGTTTGGTAGTGCTTTGATCTTCTATTCCACTGTATTGATCACATGAGCATGACGTGTCCCCCATTTACATTTACCAGCTGCAGCCAGTCAGTATTACCTCATCAACTCAGAGTTCAGAGGTCAGCAGCAAATATCAGACAGATGCAGTAGAGAGCAGAAACTGAGCAAACACAACTACGATGAATGTGTATAATAGCAGCGACTAACAGACAGCACCCACTTCACATTCCTGCCAATTAGAAACCCACAGGGAGTATAAACTCATCACACACACGCCAGCATAAAGGAGCGCACATACACACTGGTGCAGCTAATGACATGCGGGTGGCTGTATGTGTATGACTGACATGTGTGTTCAGTATACATGTGTCTTCAGGTGGACAAACAAACAAGACTTACAAAACGTGTCAGGCACCAAAGTGTAGGTTTTAGGTGTTCTGACAACACAACAAACAGACAAAGAACAACTCAAAAATGAGATATTGTTTTATACTCACAGGGTCTGTGGGACAACCAGTATCACTGTATGAAAAAAGTACTAATACTACCACAATACCCAGTATTACAATACAATTAACAATTTTGATACTTATTAATATTCAGCTAATTTATAATTAAGTGCCTACTAACAATAAAACAATGAGACATAAAGGGATCAATAATACAAAGTTAATAATACCAGAATATTGCAACAAGGTAGCTAGCATATGTGTTTTTGTCATTGATTTGAAGGATAATGCTGCAGAGTCACATGTCTTCTCCCTGTGGCCACTGACTCCAATCCGAGCTTTCTCTACTGTGTCGTACCAGTTTTCCCTCTGTATGAATATAGGTGCAGTGTCTGCCTACTGTCAATTTTACTTATAACAACAAGCTTACAGAAGAACTAGAAGCAGTCAGATGTGTTTAAGCAGCTAAACCAAACTTATCCATCGTCTTAATGTTCTTATGTACTGCCTCAGCATTGGCTATATTCATTCCATGGACCTTCACCTTAACTGTAACTAGTAAAAACTCATGCCTGACCTTGACTCTAACTCTAATCTTAAAATTAAATTGTTGTCTAAAACCTACAACCAATTCTTAACCCCACACATATAGTATTTATATCACATTAATCCATCTTCTTAAAAGGGTTAGAACCTTACTCAAGTTTAATTACCTGTTAGATTCAGGGCATAACGTATTAAATAATATATTTCAATGGTGTTGTTCAAAGTGTCATGCAGGGGCAAATAATCAAATCAGTAAATAATTTAAGTCTAGGCCTACTATGTTGACCGCATGCTTATGAGGGTGAACAATCAGTGGTGTCATCATTGCCTTATAGCTGGAAACTAACACAACTGGGCCTGACTGACTGGAAGACACAGTCAAGAGAATCTGAGGCTTGGTGACACGAAAATCAGCTTATTTAGGAAAGATTATAGTACAGTACAGGACACTGCTTCAAATGGAGGGAATAACTGACAATTGTATGCAGGAAAGAAAAGGCATGACCAGCACAATGAGGTGAGCCTGTTAGGTTCAGGATGTGCATACCACGCATTGTCCTTATAATTTAATTGAACTTGATTTCTCTAGGGAATAACTTTCACAGTGATGATCATTATCAGTGGGCCATACAAACACACACACATGCCACAGATAAAGCCCCACAGCCATTATTCATATACACACCCCTGCATGTGCACATGAAAACCAGAATGCATGCATACTCACACACACGCACACCCCTCCAAGAGTGACGAAGCATTAGTTTATACGACTGGGAGCTTTCATACCATTCATTCCAGCCGGTATAAGATGTTCACAGGCATCGTACCATTGAGCTGTGACACAAAAGAGCTAAGCTGCTCCTATAATAAACCGAGCAAGTTTGTCACCATGCCTGAGTGTCACAGCTAGACAACACACACTTTTCAGAGCATCTCACAGAGGCCAACTGATTACCAAACATACGCCATCCAAACATACGGCAAGTATCTTACCCGTTTGACAGAGTATCTTCCTCTTCTGACATTTTCATCTGGCAAACTGTGTGTGTGTGTGTGTGTGAAAGAGAGACGGTGAAAGAGAAAGATGACAGAGCTAAAGAGAATTGCAGAAGTGAATGTGAGCCTGGGGCCTTTCCAGCAGTGCAGTGTAATCTATGTGTATGTCTCAGCAGCAGCAGCAACAAGAGCAGCAGTAGCAGAAGCAGAAGGGCAGAGGGGTGAAGGAGAGAGAGAAAGAGAGAGGGAAGACTGAAGGAGAGAGGGAGGGGGGGACAAAGGGAGGAGGAGGAAGGATGCAGCAGCAACAGCAGACCTTAATAAGATTGGGATGACTATCACACATGAGGGGAGAATACACAGTCTATCTGTACTGCCTCTAACCCACACACACACATACAAAAAGCCTGTCACACGTCTTCCGATCATCACCCTCACACACACTGCAGTCTCTGCTCTGATTGGTTAATGCAAAGTCAGAGGTGGGGCTAGATGCCCACAACTCACAGCCGGAGGTTTTTTATATAAGATGGGAAATAACAAAAGAAAACAAAACAGAAAAAAAAACTAGGAGGAAGACAGTGACAGTTGAAAGAAGAAATAAGTTACACGTCCTTTGTTCATACAAAACTTTGTGCTTTCTACTGCTGTAGGTGAAAAAGAGAAAGTGAGATTTAAATGATGTAATAAGCGAGTGCTGCTGCTGCGTAGTGAGCATCTCAGCAGGTCCAGTGTGCTGCAATGTTCAGTCTCTGCCACTGCAGCGACCAGAGAGTACAGAAATAGAAGACACAGATGCAGCACAGCACCTCATAATGTGGATTCACAGAACCTGATGTGAAATCATGAATGAAAGACAGGCACAGTGCCAGGAGTTACTGCAGGTCGTTTAGTAGTTTAGAGGGAACTGACACGACCCACATCTCACATCAGCCGTTAAGCTCAACATCAGTAGTAATTACAGATGTGCTGTCCGTTTTAATGCAGACATTCTGACATGGCATAGCAGGAAGGAGGTGTGATTAATAATATTAGTAAGGGTCACACTCCATTTAGCTTTAGTAGGTAAGGACTAGGACAAACACTTAAATGGAACAGAGCCGTGTTTGTTAATTCACCGTGTTTGTTAATTCACCTCAGTCTTGCATTAGCATCGCAACTTATGATTATTTTCTCAATTAATTGATTCATTGTTTGGTGTATAAAATGTCGGGAAATAGTAAAAGAAAATGCCTGTAAAGTTCAAAACTCAAAGATATTCATGTTTACTAGCATATGAGACAAACAAATGCAGCAAATCCTCACATTTGAGAAGGTAAAACAAGGGCAACTTTGGTATTTTTGCTTGAAAAATAACTTTTGTCATTACTTGATTATCAGAATTGTTGCCGATTCATTTTCTTTCAATTGACAAATTAATTAATCAACAAATTGCTTCAGTGCTATAATTGTTTCATAGAAAATATTATTTCTCTCCATCAGTAGCATGGCTCTATAGCACACTTACACAAACACGCACACACACTCTATTAGTAACGCTGGTAACACCAAGAAAGCATGAAGATCACACTCATGTGACAATGTTTAAGTGCTCATCACTTTTCTCCTCCATGGTAACCCATAAAAACACAGATATAAGAGCAAAGCACTTTGGCCAGCACAGAAACATGAGGGGAAATCCTTTCAAGACTGTAGTAAAAAAAAAAGCTTAAGAGTGTGTCTCATGTGCGCGTGCGCGTGCATGTGTAAGTGTGTGTCCCATGTGTGCTGTGAGGAGCAGAGTCAGTCACGGGTTTAAGGTGGAGATAATTAGATTTGACATGCAGCTGTCCTCATGGTGGACAATTGGATTTGGCAACAGAAAAACAAGGATTTATGACCCAAATGTTGCCATTTCAAACTATCTGGGCTTTTAGCTTAGTACAATAATATGCAAATATCTACTTATTTTATTTGCCGCGCAACAGTGAATCATCCGAAACATTTGTAGTTCTAAACACTGGTGTCAGTATGGTAGGTCTTCTCCTTAAGTCCTCAGTGAAAAGAATATGATGCTTTTGTTTTGTTTTTGTTCGGAAAAACACATTATAGCCAATAATGATTTATTGATAACATACTTCTTCCAGTGAGGTAAATGAATCTTATTTTGAAAGTAAGTAGAACAATTAAGGCATGAAGCCATTACTTGCAAAGTAAAATGGATCTGCCACAAAGCGAAACAAATCGTTCTCTCATGTCTTTCTATTAAATATGTAGGCAGATTTTGTTTCTGATGGACAGAGCAGGCTAGCTGTTCCCCCTGTCTCCAGTCTTTATGCTAAGCTAAGCTAACTGCCTCCTTGCTATAGCGTCTAATCCAAACAGGAAGGCGGTATCAATCTTCTCATTTAATACTCAGCAAAAATGCGAATATGCACATGTCCCAAAATGTTGAGTGTAAAGACTAACCAACTAACTAAATCTGAATTGTAACATGTGAATGCTACATTTATTTACATTTATAGTTCATTTTGCTGATTATGCATGATCTTTTCCTAAAGTTTCCTCAAATCCTCCTCCTCAGGCGACCAATGCATCCTTTACATGCCTTAACAGAGAACACAGGATTATACTATTGAATTAGCAACTGGTTCATGTTCATACTCAACTGATCATGACTTGACACAGGTGAGGTGACAGATGATTCTCAGGTTCTCTCGGTCTGAATTATTGATATGTTGAACAGCGGGGAGAAGCTGTGTTAATGCCAGTAACTTTCTAATGACCTTTACCTCATCATGTTAATATGTCAAGTGAGGAAGTCCTTTAAAGTCAATCTGCTCACAGCGACTCACTGTCATACAGGACTGCGAAATAGTTTTTTTTTAATTAAGTCAAACGTTTTCCAAATAGCAAGACATCAGCGTGTTTTTCAAAGCACTTTTGTTGTGATCTAAACCAAAATGTTGTCACTGGCCAGTCTTACCCATTTGATGGATCTGTTGATTCCAGAGCATCTTTTTGTTCCGACAGCTGTAACCTGAAACGAGGAACAAGATCGAGGCAGTTTTGAGAAAAGAGGGAAATCTCAAGAGATGCAAAAACTGCTGAAAGGCCAGGTATTGTTTGAGGAACATAATCGTGGGAGTCATTGAAACGTGGACACTCCCAGGATACTTAAATCTTGGCAATGATTTGGGGCAGAGACTATGTCTGATATGGGAACAGATCTTGGGAAAATTTTGCAGATGAATTTATTTTATTTTTCATTTAATACATGTCCTTCAGTGGTTTTCAGTTCACTGACACTCACCCGAAGTTTGTGATGACGGAATCCAATTCTGGAGTGTTTATGATTGACAACCTGGGAAAAAATAAATAAAAGTTAGCCTGTATATGACAACATGTCTGTGGGAGATAAAATGCTAACAGCTAATGAACTGACAAGACTCAAATGTATTGTTATACTGTTATTCAATTTGCTATTTGCACTATGAGCAGCACAGGGTTTGTTGTTTTCTTTGTGACACTGCTGATTGTTTCTGACTGTAAGGATAAATGACTCTGTGCACAAAGTGAACGTACTGGCTCAGGGAGTCCGGGCTGTCAGGTATGTCTTCTGCCTGCACGGCATCCCTGCAAAGACGTGAAAAGTCAACTTAGAGAGAAAGTAAGAACGGATCTCATGATGGTGAGAGGAGAATGTGTGCTAGGATATAATTGGAGGTCTGACCTGAAGATCTGAGGAGGACTCACAAGTTTTATATAGATATAGATAGACATTTCAACTAAAATTGTCACCAGCATCGGACTTCTTTATGTGATAAATAACAGACGACATCAAAAGGAAGTAAAAAAGTAATTATAACATGAATATATTCATTACACTCAATGCGCATCAACAAGGCTAACTAATAATGACAAGTCGCCAGCAACAAAGAAGCACATAGCAGTAACACAAGACTAAATGGATCAAAGCTGTTTATTCCTCAGATTTTATGCTGTATTTTGTTATTAACACTTTTTATGCACAAAATGTTATTTAAGCCAGTGTGAAGCTTCCATCTTTAATTAAGGTTAGGTCAGTGGTTCCCAACTTCTTCAGCTTTGCACATGTAGCAAAAGATTAGAGAAACATCTAAAAGTAAACATGATTTGATGTGGCTGAATTTAATTATTTACTGTTTACCACCCAGGTAATCCCTTAAATCCATGTTGTGATCACTCTGACCTCCTGGATTGGAACCACTTGGTTAGATCACCCCATCATGAACATATTACAAATATTTAAGTATGTACCCTACTGCTAACACACCAAAAGCCTGCTTGACCACATCATGAATGCAATGTTGTCTAACAAGACTTAATGAAAGCAGCTACAAGGATCATGCTACTGAACTTCACCTATAGTACAGTGATATTGACAGTGATCTCACAGGCAACAGACTCTCTGGATTTATTAGATAAAGGGCTCCTTCAGCTACCTGTCAAATACAACTTTTTTGTCTTTCTGGATGGTAAACAGTGGCAGCTTTGGCAGAACTTTAACAACACAGGTCATATTTCTGATGTAAACCCACTCAGAGGAGATTGTGTGTGGTCTGCAGAGGATCTATGAGGGTCCTGAACATGTTGTATTCTACACACAACAATCTCAGTGAGATGGCAGCACACTCTCACTGTTGGCTGTACTATACGAACACAGACAAGTACCGACAGAGTCAGGACTTGCACAGATTTTCGGAAGCTCATCTCTTCTACTCACTTTTTACTATCATTTTTCTTCACGCTTCGCCTCCAGTTGGTGATAAAACTCATTCCACAGCACTGGGATCCGGTGAAACAGCAGAATTATCCCGCAGGTTTACGCAGTGGACATGGACGGACAGACACACGGGAGAGGAGAGGAGCAGCTCACACAGAGTCCACACTGACAGGAATGAAGGTACAGCAGCTGCTGTGCGCCTTCCTCCTTCCTGACGTGCTAAGGTGTGCTGCTCCCATCACCATAATAATGACTTCAAATGCACTCCAGTGTAGCTGCTGCACTTCCCGCTGATTGCATGGTCCTAAAGCCGTCCAAATTAAAGTTTCACACTCAATTAGATTTCTTACTTAATTAATAAATAAACACGTAGTGTTGTAGTCAAGACCGCCAAACCGAGACCAAGTCAAGACCAAGACCAGAGTTTATCGAGACCGAGACAAGACCAAGACTTTTAGGGGTTGAGACCAAGTCGAGACCTAGACCGAGGGAGGGCGAGACCGAGTCAAGACCGAGACCAGTTCCCCACATTACATGACACACAATAAAATGTGGAACGAGATCATCTGAAATTGATCTGAAATATCCACATTCCTATTATAGCACTCACATACGAACACTAAGCGGCGGAAATCAACGTAAGCATCGCCCGGGAGGGGTGACAGTCGTTAAAGGTAACAACCTTAATTGGGGTTATTGGTTGCATTTTAAGCAATACGTTTCACATCCAATCAAAGTTAGGAAGGATGTTAACAAATAAATCAGACAATGCAAAATCAATTTATTGATACCCTCAAAGTTATGGTCTTGACTGATCTTGAAATAAAATCCCGAATCCTCATTGTCCGAGTTCGAGACAAGACCGGTCTCAAGACCAAGACCGGTCTCGAGTAGGCCTACTACAACACTACAAACACGTAATACAATAACTATGTAATAATTAATGAATATGTAGCCTAATACATAAAGCAAGTTAATTTAATTAAATCCCAAAATGTTTTCCTCATAATAAAAATAAAATTAAATTTGAATAGTGTATTTATATGCTGTATTTTAAGTGTATTTTGATTTGAACTTTTTAGCCAGCATAAGGATAAGAAGGCATTAAAGTGCTGGGGAGGGTGGAAATGTGAACTACAGTTCTGGGTAAACTCCATGATGATGATGATGATGATGATGTAATATTAGCTCCTGAACAGCTACTATATCGACCTTGTGGTGAGATTATTTTAACAACACCCTCTTCCAGTCAGGAACTTTTAAACTAAATTATTATTATTTTGATTGTATGCTGTTGTTTCTAATTGCTCTGTAAGAGAAAAATATACATACATTTTACAGTACAATTACTTAAGTACTGCGTTTGAACAGTTTCAATGTACAGAAACAATATTTCTGCTGGACAGTGAAGTTATGGCTAATAAATGAATGAATAATTGATTGAATTGCATTTCCCACAGGACATGCAGGCAAGTACATTCAAAGCTTCTTTATTTTATTTTTTCCAAAAAAAAGAAAGGAGTAGAAGCCACAGCTACTTCCAGCAGCAGGGGAAAAGTCCACTGAAGTCAGCTCCCCCTTCATCAAGTTCAGATAGTCCCTGTGACTTCTGGATGAACATATATGAATTTGCCATATACTTTTACATTTAGATTGTCACTCAGGTACAATCATCTTATCAAATGTCGCTGCAGCAATAGTTTTAATAGAAATCATCACACACACACACACACACACACACACAAATACCATCCTAGTACAAAGAGTACAAAGCAAAAGACATAGAGAAAAGGCTTCAACCTACTGATGTATCTGTGTATTCAGACACTGCAGCTACAACTTCAGACTGACTGGCCACATCCACAAAAGAAGGTTTTGGGAGATGAGTGTGATAAAGGGGTGTCTGGAGGACCACCTGCGTCACCTCACAATGCGTCAAATTCTGTTGCTTCTTTTTCTGAGTTCCATGAATAGTTACTTGTTTCTTGTGCTCATATATTTGATTTAATTTAAAAAGCAACTTTTCAGAAACCACTTTGCTCAGTGTATATTCATGTGCTCATACAGAGCCAACCCACACTTTAGCACACACACATTATTATTAATATCTCAATACAGAACATAAAAATACACATGAAAAAGTCCCATTAATGTGCCCATGAGCCAACTGTGAATATGATGGTTATTGTTTTTTTATCTCTTCATGTTCTACATCTAGTGGGGAAAGTAATTTTAATGACATTACAATAGGTGATGTTGACGGCACTGATGAAGAGGCTCTTCAGGCTGCAAAAGCACTTGCTGCCCCACCCAGTTCTTGCTCATATGACATGCCTTATAAAATGATGCGACAATGCATTGATACAGTCCACCAGTTAGCCTTACAGTGATGGACTGATTTCGATTATTATTTGAAGATGTTTCCAGAGCAGCAAGTCCAACACAGCCTCATCTCAAAGTATTTCCTCGGACACTGCAGGGGACCGGAAGAGGTGCTTCCAGAGTGGTTGGTATAAACAGTATCCATGGCTTGAATATTCTCACAGCTAAGACTCTGCCTACTGTGAAATTACCTCACATCACTTACAATAAATACTTATTTGCAGGTAAGGTGTGTTTGGTTTATGCTACATTTGTTTAAAGTTGTAGTTTTATTTATAAAATGAATGAATGTTTGGTTTGTGGCACTGCTTCTGCTGGTTGTATTTCATTTATATCGTCATTATTTATTTAAATAAAAGGTCAAATGAATCATTACTTTTGACATGACAATTGGAATTTCGCCACAGATGCACTGCTGCAAATATATAAATATTGCAGTACTTTCATCAGCGCCATTCTGAGGGCTGGATGGGAAGCTTTGGCACGCCGGATGTGGTCCGGGGGCCCCAGTTGATGATCACTGATTTAAAAAATTAAACCAAACAGGTGCTAATGATAACAAATTCAATATGTAGGTTGAAACACAATCAAACATTTAATGTCAAAATGTCATACACCATGGTAAGGCTAAGCACAGCAACAAGACACAAGGTAGTTATACTGCATCAGCAAGCTCTCCCCCAGGCAGACATTTCAAAGCAAACGAGGGTTCCCAGATGAGCTGTCCAAGCTCTTTTGAAGAAGCACAAAGAAACGGGCAACGCTGAGGATCGTAGATGCAGTGATTGGTCAAAGGTTACTGCAGCAGATGAAAGACACATCACGCTTAATTCCCTTCATAATCGGAAGATGTCCAGCAGTGCCATCAGCTCGGAACTGGCAGAAAACCGTGGGATCCTGGTACACCTATCTACTGTTTCGGAGAAGTCTGGTCACAAGTGGCCTTAATAGAAGACTTGCGCCCAATAAGCTGTACCTCTGATATGGAAATAAGGCCAAGCAACTCAACTATGCACCAAAACACAGGAACTAGGTAGCAGAAAAATGGCAGGATCCTGAAGGTTCCTTGCAAGTTTGTGGCTGCATTTCTGCAAATAGATTTGGGGATTTGGTCAGAATGAATGGTCTCCTCAGTGCTGACAAGTACATGCAGATACTTACTCATCAAGCAATACCATCAGGGAGGCATCTGATTGGCCCCAAACGTATTCTGCAGCATGACAGCAACTCCAAACATACAGCGAAAGTCATTAAGAACTCTCTTCAATGTCCTGAAAGTGTTGGTTTGCCTCCACAGAGCTCTGATCTCAACATCATTGAGTCTGTCTGGGAATATACAAAGAGAGAGAAGCAACTGAGGCCGCCTAAATCCACAAGAGGACTGTGGGGAGTTCTCCAAGATGTTTGGGCCAACCTACCTGCTGAGTTCCTTCAAAAACTTTGTGCAAGTGTACCTAGAAGAATTGATGCAGAGTCTTTGCATTTTGTTAGTTGATAAATAAAATCTATTAACATGTCTATTTTTGAAAGTATTCTTACATTTTTTTCCACACATGCCCAAAACATTTGCACAGTGCTGTATGTTGCAGATTTTACATACAAATCTCAACTTCTTAACTTCAGTTTGTATAAAATATGTGTTGCTATAGACTGGGATAAACAGTAGTATGTAAAGTAGTTACAGTTGACTCCACATTGAGCAGCAACATACAGTAAATGCTGCTTAAACATGAATGCATCTATTGCTACAATAATAATTCAATGATAATGTATAATACATCTAATTCTGATTAGGGCTATTCTACATTAAGTACTTTTGTACATATGTGTATTTGTTGATGAGACTTATCACTTTTACTCAGTGGTGAAGAAAGTATTCAGATTCTAGAGTATAGTACATTATATAAATACCCTTACAAGTAAAAGTCCTATATTAAAAATCTTACAAAAGTATAAGCACAGAAGTGCTGATATTATCAGAAAACCTTTTGGCCCATGTGAGTGTTACATTTTGATGTGCTACTTGATCATCAATAAAGATGCATTATGTGTAGCAATCCTTTTAATGTTGCTGGACAAGATGGAACTAATTTTTTACTTTATGTCCATTTGGGTAGTTTATTCTATAATAGTGCATCATATTTTAACAGCTAATGATGTGCTTTAGATTAAAAAAGTACAATATTCTCTAAATGTAGTGGAGTAAACACATACAGTAGCAACAAATGTACAGGTACCTCAAAAATGTATTTAATTTCAGTACTTGAGTAAATGTTCCTCCACTGCTGCTTTTGCTGCTTCCACCGCTTGAAGACAGTTGCATGACTTGATCCCAGTAAGAACACACAAACTGCAAAACTACATGTTACAATATTTATTCTGTATCATTTAAATGCATTACATATTCTGGCCAAACCTCCCAATAGGGAGATTTTCTTACATGTTAGAAAATACCAAATAAAATAGAATTAGCTTGAGTTTTAAAAAGCCTTTATGGGTAAGCCTAGAAACACAAGTGGTTCTTGATTTGTAAAATTTGTCTGTACAAATGACAGCAACGTGTCTGGTGGCCTTTAAATGTGAAACCATAAACTGAAGCATGACAAGTGACTCAGTGAAGGCGGAGAACAGACAGACGACTCCTGTTCTCTATTGTAGATAGTGTATTGTATTTAGAATAAACCTGTACTGCAATATGAGAGACGCACCAAGAAGGAAGTGCAGAATCAAACACTGGCAGTAAACTGGTTAAACATGAGAAGAGGAAACTATGACGATGCTTACTCTCAACAAGGCCGGAAAAAAGAACAGGAAGAGGTGTCCAAAATGTTGGACATTGTTTGGTCAGAATTGAACAAAAGACAATGAAAACAAAAGCCTTCTGCTCTTCAACCAAGCCTTCGCTTCTTCAGAAACCAGTTATCATAGTTTTGCACTCAGTGTTAAGTAAATTAGTTAATTTTCTGGGAGAAACACAAAGTTACCCAGCAAGAAGAATCACTGTCCAAACCAACTGCTGTATGGGCGTTAACAGGAATGAGGGTGCAGTGCTGTTGGAGCGTTTATCCTCACAATACACAGCAGGTGTTTTGCAAGTTAAATCCCCACAGAGCCTGAAGTGGACGGACAGAAGACAACCTGCTCCAAAGAAACGCAGAGAAACACAGACACAACTTTTACTGACTTTGTGTTAAGACTTTGAAATCCGGTTAGTAAGGAAGCATCTCCTGGAAAAATAAAAAGTTAAGAAAAGAAGCACCAACAGCGACACACTTTGAAATGGGACATGCTATAAGATTTGAATTTTCTAAATACACTTCTCTCATTAAAATTAGAAATTACCCAACCAGCACCAATGCTGCTGACGTGTCATTCAGTGACACTGACCTCTGGACTCCCAGTAGGAGTGGGGTGGTTCTCTATGTGGAAAAATCCAGGTTAACAACACTATTAACATTATTCATTTAATGTATGAGTAAACAGAGCAGGTAAAGTTTTCAACACTCAGTTTCCCAGTTTCTATGTTTTGCAGCCACATGTCAGCAAAAAATAACATTCATTAATCTCGGGGGAAATTAATGTCTATTTATTAATAATTAATTTCACAGAATTGAACATTTCATACTAATTCAAAGATAATAAGTATGTGGGTGACAAAATAATATTTTTAGAGCGGCAAGCATTAATGCCATTTCAGATTTTTTTTTAGAGGAGGGTTCTTTTGTGTACATCCCTTGTAGTGTGCCCTGAAATTGAATGCTAATCAATATGTAATTATTACATGTAATAGATGTAGTTTCATTCCTTTTCAGTATCAAACTTTCATAACAAACGTTATAACACAGGCACAACAGATGCTGACATTTTAAAGAACTTAAAGTATCTAGAAGCTGAACTGTGATGGATTTGTTCAGTTGTAGTATAAATCTGCACATGCATTTTAAGGACTGGTAACTTCCAGTTAAACGTGTAGAAATGTTCTGTCACCCTGTCCTGAAGAAAAAGAAAGAAGAAAAATCTCATAGGCCGCCCGCCATCATACAGGACTGAAAAAGTACATGGTCACTCCATTGACAGCTTGTTGTCTTGAAACTACACACATTTCTCCACTTAGATTCAGAGAATTAATCAAGAGCTGGAAGGAAGTTGGGGGATTTTGGGGCTCTACAAAAGTAACAAGTCTATTATTAATTAAAGAAATTGAATAAAGTGTAGTGAGTATTGTTAGTGGATAAAGACAGGACTTTGACATAGCTATTTCAATCTATTCTGAGTGTATGTTTAAATAAATTACATTCTGGACAGTTAATGTTAATTGACAATCATGAAGACCATATTCACTGCATTTGACTCAACTATCCATTCTGTGGAGCGTACACTCCATCATGGTCCTCTCCTCCAAACAAAACCAGAGACAAACAGAATGGAAAAATACTGCAATGCCAGTGAACAGTGAACGCAGCCTGAGGAGAAGGGCGATGAAAGACTCAGATGGGTTTATTCTAAGAAAGTCTCTTCATGGGGTGAATCAGTCCTATACAGTCCCCACGTTGCTTTGGTGCTTTCTGGGCTGGGCCAGGCTGTGCTGTGCCGTGCCGTGCCGAGCCGAGCCGGGGAACGAGCTTCTCAAGAGAGTTCAGACTTGCTGAGCGCGATGGCCAGCTCCAGGTCCTCTTGTTCCTGCTGGGTGAGCCTGGCAAGTCGCTCCTTTTCCTCTCGCTCGCTCTCGCGCTTTGCCCACTCTATCATGTCTTCCTCTGTTGGATACTGCACCATGAACACAGAGAACACACAGGGGGGAAGGAAAGAACACACATTTGCACAGAAATGCGGGGGAAAGGAGACACAAACACAGACAAACACATACAGTTAACAGATTCTCAAAGATAAAAATAAGTTCTTAGAGCCTGCTGATAGAAGATAACCAACAGTACGGATAATATGGTGCATGCCACCAAACTTCATAAAGGAACTGCTAATTGCAGGGCTGTTGAACTAAGTGTTGCGTTTTTTTGTGTCTGGCCCTGTAACATCCATGATAAACAATATTTTAGAGGGAATGTTTTCTGGGTACAAGGGTGTGCAGCCATGTTTTTGAGGCAAACAGACATATATCTTAACTAAATAATTAATCAGCCAATATTAGTTTATATTCAAATAAACACATTCATTAAGAATCCCTTAAATTTGTCTATGTACCGTTTTAAAGTTGAAAATGAAACTGGCCAGAGCTCTGTGTTGAACAACCCATGTGACAGTTTCTAAATTGCATCAAACATATCTTAACATTTCTGTACTGCAACTTCTTGTTTTCTTTTTTTTTTTTTGCCAGGAAATGAGAGGAACAAGAGCAATGGGAATGACATGCAAGGAATGTTTCAGATTATATGGTACGCATCTTATACCCTAGGCCAATGTGTCAACCCCTGCAATTTCTTCTTGCTGAAAATATTTCTAATGAGTAAAAAAAAAAAAAAAAAGAATAAAGTTGCCATTTTATTTCTGTGGGGGTTTAAGAGAGGAGGTTTTAAAGCCAACAGACATCAGTGTCAGATATCTCAATGCCTGAATTGACATTTATGATCAATACTATAATATTGGACATTTAGACTTGTCATTGCAGGAGAAGCACTAATTTGTAGTTCATCAATATTTATCTGTATCAGTGAGCCAGCATGCAGCAACAGAGCCCTCAAACTGACACCCCTGAATGTAACACATCCATCACTAATGTTATTAGTTAGCCCTGTGTTTGATAAGTCAAAAAGCTTCATTCAGTCCCCCTACCAAAACAAAAAAAACCCCAAGCCATTTCAATGAATTTGGATGAGCATGAAGAATGTGACAGTCACACATATTGTGGAGGTATGTCTTCAGGATAAAAGCAGCGACTGAAATGGGACTTGTTTGTGAAAACATAGATCTTCAGTGAAAAATGAAAGGGAGCTGTAACGTTTCTTGGTTCACACATACAACAAAAGGCAAAGGATGAGAATTTTAAAATACACAGTACGCTGGTTAAGTCAGTTAATCAGTACAGACCGGACATGCACTGTGTCAGCAGGTTCATTGTTCTCAATGAATAACAGACAGAAGCACCACAGGTCATCCAGTGTGTATCCACCCATGCAAAGAAAAGTAGACAGCGATGACGACGTGAGAACATTTAAGAAACATAAAAGATTTAGTAGAGAACATGCATTTATTACTTGTAGCCGATAAATCCCACTGCTGCTTTTAAGTATGAATGAAATCAGACATCAATTAAGTACTTAGCAAGAGGAATGACTTGTTGTATTGCTAAACCCTACACATATCCGCTTCTTTTGTCGTTACCTTCTTTAATTTCAGTTACTGAAATGATTTGATGGGATTCTGTCAAAATACTTTTAAAAGGACCATACTGGTGTTTTTGGATGTTTTTGTCCATTTAGTACAAATCCAAGTTTATATGATTGCCAATGATTACCCAGAGCATATCACACTATTATATAGTGGACCATTTTTCCTGCTTTCCATTAAAAAAAGAAAACTTGACATTATTAGCTAAATTTGCATATCAGTCCATGTTTACATTGCAACACAGCAATGCAGAAATAACAGAACTGACAAACAAAAGTAGGTGGCTTGAAAGGCAGAAAATAATCTTAAATTTAAAGCATGCTTTGGGGAAAAAACATTGGTATGGTCCTTTAAAAGCGCAGGCATTTGCAGATAGTGGTGTCATGGATGCACACAGAAGCCAGAGATGGTGCCCTTGATTCAACTCTTTATTCAACTTTAATGACACAGGTGTAAAGACACACAGAGAGAATACAGGCGATCTGTTTCTCCACAACACACTGCTGACCAGACAAAGGCTGAATGATGAACTGCTAAAGGAAGGGGTGGATGGGTGAACAGATGGATGCATGGATAAATAAATAGCAGCATGTGTAAAGGAAAAAAACAAAACAACACTGATTTGAGGAATGGTGGAGGCAGTGGTATGAGTGAATGAGAGCCAGCCAATCAAACACACAGTTAGCGCGTGCAGGTTCAACAGGGACATGCGGGTGCAATCAAGTGATGGGAGAGGCACTAGAATCAACACCGTCTTTAATAATAACAATCATCATCATCCATAATAGTCATCCATCCCAAATTCACAGCGTGACAGTACATTTCTAAGGGGTATTAGAAAGAAATGAGCTGAGAGGATTTTAATACTGTTACCAATTTATTCCTGACATATCAATAGGGGTTTAAACCATGTTTAGAGCAATATACAATGATTTATTTTGCGGTTTTGCCACAACAGTTACAACTGTGCTTCTTTTATTCTTCTGAATCTTAGATATAGGACTATTTGGACATAGCTCAGTGAGCGAGAAGAAAACAGACAGGGAAGTAAAATTCCCTTGTTCTTCTCTGTTAAAGCAAGATCATTATTACAGCAACCTGGCTCTTGCTTGTGAGAAGAAATGATTCAATGCAGTATTTCTCAAAAAAAGGCATCAGTAGTGTAGCTTAGCTGTTCCATTTTTTCATGGCGCACGTTTAATTAATGAGTTTGTAACGTTGTTACATGCTCAAACGGTCTGAAATGGGATCTCACTCTTGCTTCCCGTTAGTCGAGGTCAAGTGATATAAAGCCTTTAAGGCCATAATTGTGCCAACTTAGCGACAAACAGACTGAGCCCAGTCACTGGTCAGACCCAGAATGGCCACTTCGCACTACTGGCAATATGAAATTTACCTGAGTTGCAGTGTAAAAAGGCACGGAAAATGAAACATTTTGCAATTAAATAGGACATGCACATGCACAGGCTGTAATGTCAGTGTGCTGAGTTGAGGGGGGGTGAATGGGTAACAAAAGCCAAATACAAGCAGCCTGCTATCTCTCCATTCACTGCCGAACATTAGGAGGGTCGTGGGATCATAAAGATAGGTGTGTATAATTCATTTTTAAAAGAATGTGTGTGTTATTACAAATATGTTGCAGAGTTAATATATTAAATGTATTTAAAACTGCTATAACGACATTTCTGTAGACAGTGCAACTTCCATCATAGGTTTAGATTAAGTGCAATCCCAATATTAATCAGTTACAAATAAAGAATTACAAGTATAAAGAATCTTTACATGGCAAGGTAATGTTGCATTCATAATAAATATTAAAATTCACAGGATGCAAGAAAAACAAACTCAAATGTTGAAGATTTTATAGCTTATGCTAATATCTTATAAATAAACTAATGTATCAATAACCTGAGTTACTATGTGACACTTTTCATAAGCTGATTGGCTAATCACTTCTTTGGGACTTCTTAAATGGCAGTGGATGGAGTGATTTATAAAGCTTGCCTGATTAGCTTGATGGTTGTTGTGACTTAAATAAAACAACTGAATGTGATTTATTAGCAGGGGGAAAAAAAGAGAAGAGGGCTTGACTACTGAGAGTCAGGTGAAGGTGAGGGAGAGGGCGAAAGGGAGGTGCTCACTTTATCAAAGCTGGCAAATCGGTCAGCTTCCCTTACGTTGTGACGAGGAGGGGAGGAGGGGGCGAAGGGGTCGGCTAAAGGATCCTTAGCAGGCAAGGAAGAGGAGGAGGCTGAGGAGGTGAAGTCTCCAGAAGGCTGTGGAAGGAAGGGCCCTCGTCGTTGGAAGGAGTCAGAGGACTCTACTCTGGAGATAGACGACCTCTTGCCTGATAAGCCACAGACAGGCAGACATGTACAAAAGTCAATACAGACAGAAAAGGAATGGACACAGAGAATAAGCGAGATCTACTGTAAAAAGACATTAACATTTAATACAATACTAAGGTAATTTAAACTTCAAATGACAAACACAAAGTTTTAAAACATCCTAAATTGACTAATAAGAGCACTACAATTTGACCACAGTTACCTTTGCATAGTGAGACTGAACAATGCACGTACAGACCTGGAGGTGGAGGAGGTGGTCTGGTTGGCGTACCCGTTTTTGGGGGCAGGGCTGGGGGCACGTCAGGGGCGGCAGGCTGGCTGTCTTCCTGGAACAGGTTCTTGTTGTTGACGCCAAACTGGTCAGCACCGTTTGACTGAGACAGAAAGTTCACACAAATCAAACACACACAGTATTTGCAAAAACAGAAGAAATAGATCGGGGGTGGAATCACAGCAGCTGTGAGGCTATTTTTCGATTTAGTGAACACATTAGTCGGGGTGGAGTACAGTACCTTTAGTGCATAGTTTTCCTTCTTTTATTTATTTATTTATTTATTTTTTTAAATACTGCAAATATACTGAATGACTACATTATTAAACAACATTTTTAGAAAACACAATTTATGATATTACACATTCAGTATCATTGCTTTTTGTATGTACTGAACGATGAGTTTACTGTCCATTTCCTCCACAGGGGAGAATTGAGTACAAGCGTTCCAGTTGTTTCCTCCTAAAAACCACAACACACTCAGCCACTCACCCATAGTCTTCCTGGATGTTCTGGTTTTACAGAAGCGAGTTCACTTTGTCGCAACAATTTCGACTTTGCTCAACTCAACTGACTGACTGATATTCAGCATCATACTAAGGGTTATTTCGGCACTATGTAGGTGAAGCACAGGGCATGAACAACATCACTTGATTACCTTTGTCAGGGCACTGAAATCTGCAAAGCCCCCTCCAAATGATTCATTACCAAACACAGCAGCAAATGGATCTGAAACACACAAACATAATGGTCACTGAGCGTGTAACATTGGCAATACTCAAATATACACTGTAAATAGTGAATTTGGGTCAATATAATTTCAACAGCTGCAATGGGATCTGTCCCCAGAGGGTGGCGGTATGCCACAAGTCATACCTGGATCTGTGCTGGCGCTCACTGTAGTACCACCTGGAGCAAAGGGGTCATTTGTTGCTGCAGTGTCCTTCTAAAAACAAGACATACAGTATTTAACATATTGTACAATAACCTATGCTGTGGACATGAATATCCTTTCACATACACATGATTAACTGCATCAATTTACATTATACACAGATAAAACACTACCGCTGATCCCATTCATAACTCAACAAATTCACATTTAGCAGAAACATTTAATAAAACTAATTTATTTCCACTTTCAAATCCTAACTGTTCCCCTTGATTACTCTTTTGCAGGGAAGGCAAGACAACAGCATGAAAAGTATACTATTACAACACTACTAATACCTAATCTGAAAATTAGTATTAAATACAAGGCTTCTGCTATTACTTCCTGTCATTTTGACACCTCTGAAAAACTTACAATTAAATGAACTGAGGCTTTATTGTGTTTTTAAACAGATTTCTGACCATATAGATCACAGGTACATTGGCATAAAGCTTTACGTTTTATTCAAGTTTGGTTAGATGATGGAAAATAGTCTGGCTACAATTAAAAATATAGGTCTGGTAACTGCCATGTTTTCACAAATGAATGATAAATGTAAACAAACCCCTACCAGCATCATAAAACATTAATGACTGAGATTTACCTGTTGTTGCTTCCTTATATCAAGAATGGCTAATAACCTCCCATTTAATTTGGGAGTGAGTACACTGGGACCAAGTTTTACATCCAACCTACTCACCACAGCCAGATCAGAGCTGGGGGGAGAGCAGCTGAAGGGATCTGCCCCTCCGCCCTGAGAACCAAATGGATCTGCCTCCCCAGTGGCGTTCATCGTGCCTCCAAATGGGTCAGAATCAGCCATATTGTTCCCTGTGGATCTGAATGGATCCTTGGCTGCTAATGCTGGATTGGTAGGCTTGGACATGAAGGGATCTGGACTTGCTGCTGGTGCAGCTGCTGTGTCATTCAGCTTGGCTGCAAACAGGTCTGGTTCTGGCATTCCAGCAGTGGTACCAAACGGGTCAGCTGAGGCAGAGAAAGGGTCGTCTGAGGAAAAGGGGGCGCTGGAGTTCTGTGTGAAGAAAGAGTCTGCAGCAAAGGGGTCTGACCCTTTAAACGGATCTCCTCCAAATGGATCTGAAACAGCGACAGATACAGACTGTGATTCACAGATATAGTAGATATATATGCTTGTCAGATAACACATCAAATAAATGACGCATTTTTTAGGATTTGGTTTACATGAGAGAGATTAGTTTGCCTGTTCATCACTTAGAGAACTTACCTGCAACATCTGCTTTTCCAAACGGATCATCAATGAATGGATCGTCTAGAAGATTATAAATGTAAAATGTACAATAAATACAATTAAATCTGTAAAACAAATCAATTTGAGGAGTAGGTTGACTTTTTGCCTCTGTGTTTACTTGTAAGCTATTAACTAAACTTTAGATGTTTGTGGGGACTCACGGTCAGTAAAAGGGTCTGAATGGAAGAAGTCAATCTCAGGCAAGGAGGGAGGGCTGGTCTGAGGCGGCATAGAGCAAGGGCCGACTTGAGGTGGTAAAGAGGAGGTGGTGGTTTCTGGGGACTCTGCTGGCTCTTGTTTGCTCTCTGGCTCTGGCGATGCAACCTGTTAGTAAATGACGACACATTTTGATGAATTAATCTGACAACCTCAGAATGGTAGGGTTGGATCCCACCAATTGTTTAATGTGCTTTTTAAGGCATTTACAACTGCATTTAGATTTGTCAACGTTTGATCAGATTATCCAAGAAAAGGTACTGTTTTTTTTTTTTTGCTGTGGCAGTATCACAGTCTGCAGGTGTACTAATGGAAATAATGACCCACAAAAGAAAAAATGGATTAACACAGGTCTGTGGTGTAAAAGGAGTTTTATAAAATTGGTTAAATGACAAAAATATACAGAAACCCAGGAATTTAGGAAAACAAGATCAGCCCAATGTTGTTGGCAGTCTGTATCACACAGCTATACTTCAGTAACTCCAGGTCTTTACCTTTGGTGGACTCTCTTTAGGGGATTCCTCTGCATCATCTATGACCTCCGAGGAGACGTCGGGTGTGGGGCTACTGTGTTCCTGGAGACATGAACAGACAATACAGCAAGAGTTACATATACATTATATTTGGTACAATTCTTGTATTGCTACAAAACTATGATCACACTGAATGCAAATTAAGTCTGCTGGTCTTGCACTAGTGCTAAAAAAAGACGAAAATCTTTGTTTTTCTCACTTTGTTGATACAAAAGTTCAAACAGGCATCTGTAGAACTTAGATCATTACAATACAACTGAGAACATGACTGACTAAATTAAGAGGTTAAGTAATTAATACATTTTTACTATGTCTCATGGATTTTAAATCTGGCCATTTTAGATCTGGCCATTTCGTTTTTTAAATGCTTCAAAAACAGGAGGAAAAACTCTATATTATATAGGATATTCAAACGTCATTTCATTACAATACATTTGTTAATCCAAAGACTTTCTTTACAGGGATTGTATAATTGTGATAAATTATCTCCATTAATATAAGATATAAGTTTATAATTAATTACAATTCTTTGTTAGCGCTGTGGAGCTTTGGGAGAATACTGCAACGGATAGCGCTTTGAGTGTGCAACGCCTCTGTGCGCCATCTGTGGGGCCAGAGCATAAAAAAGCTTAAAAGTCTTCTGAGGACGTAATTCAGGACTGCTTGGACCTATTCATTCTAAAAGAGCAATGGCCAATAGGGAAACTCCACCACTCGGCCGACCAATGGTGTAACTTCATCTCTCAGTGAGGGACAGACGTGGCCACGCTTTGTTGCAGTCTAACCAATAAACAGTCCCGCACACTTGTAGTAGGAAGTGATGCAGGCCTTACATTATTTTACATCAACAAAAACAACTGATAACTAATGCAAATGTATTTATTACCGTAACAGTGTTCTCTAAGGGCTTGGCCAGAGTCGACACACTATTATAGATATCAGAGGAGGCTAGACTTGTATAGAGATCATCCAAGGGATCAGGTTTAAGCTTTTCCTCCTCTGGAGTATTTGGACTCTCTTCTTCCTTCTCTTCTTCCTCTTGTGTCTCATTGACCCCTTCTTTCTCTTTTTGATCTGAATGTTCTTTCTGCTGATTGCAAACAGAAATAGGTTCTTCCTCTTTCAGCTCTTTGGGCTGGTCCTCCTGGAAGAGGTCCAACTGGAAGGGGTCCCCTTGGTGCAGCTCTGCAGTGGGGCCTGCTGATCCATTTACCATGACAGGAGAACTATCCTCCAGGGCCCTCTTCCAGCTAAGCTGGGCAGTTACAGACCTCTCCTCCACTTGAAGGTCGTTCAGCTTCTGCTGAACCTAAAAGAGATGGAGAGGTTCGAAGAATAACAGAGAAAACTAAAACATAGGTCCTATTTTCTATGGAGAAAGGAATCTTTATGAGCATGAGAGACAGATTTACACAAACCAACCTGTGCAACTTGTGTAAAGGAGTCACGGACAGACTTTTGCAGAGGTGTGAGCTGCTCCTGAGCGGCCTGGACCTTTTCCTGCAGCCTCCTGCTCTCCTCCTGCAGAGCGAGGAGCTCCTCTCGGGCCTGGACCAACTCCTCCTCAAACTGACATATCCTGTGTTCCTGCTCCTCATGCTCTGACTGCAGCGATGAAATCTGTGATGAACATAACTGAATAAGCTGGTATCACTCAGGAGAATGGAGTCACATGACTGGAGTGGGTATGCTACTGATGTGCTTTGCTAGTGGTCAGTCATTTCAAATTGTTTTACAGTACTGAAATAAATTAATCTGCCTTGAAAAACATTCTACTAGACCTACCAGTGTGGTCTCTTGACTGGTCTGCTGGCGAATGTGAGTCAGCTGCTCTTCCAGGGAGCCTTTCTGTTGGTCTAGCTCCTCCAAGGCTTCCTGGACCTTCTGACGCTGAGCCTGGAGCCGCTGCAGCTCCTCGCTCTCCCTCGCCACCTCATCCTGTAAGTCCTTCAAACATCAAGCCAAAGAGGAGACGGGGAAATAAGCATGTGTTTGTGTGTTCTTTCACAGGCAAAAAAAAGTGTTAGAAAACAAACTTGATTCTGGCCGGGCAACTTTGTTTCAAGTCATTCCCCTCTATCTCCCCACATTATCAGGTCTCTCTCTACTGTGATGTCTAATAGGCATAAACTAAAAAAAAAGTGGCAGCACTCTAGAGTTAAGCTGAATACACACAAGAAGTGACTCATCAGCAGAGTGGAAGTGCCACAAAATGATGATTAATCCATCCCACAGAGACACCAACTTCTGTTACAAATTCAAACAAAACTGTTATCCTTGGCTGTACAGGCTTTTATTTTGGTTTAGAGGCTGCAGATTGCTTAATAACTAAATATGTCTGTAAGACTCCTTTCAGCAGCAGCTGAGTACAGCTTTGCAGCTTAAAGGACAGCAGCAGTGTTTACAAGGGAGGCTAATAATCAGAAATATCTCCACCACTGACACGTGCACAGAAAAAGTTTGACGTGTTACACCACAGCCACATGTAAGTCAGTACACAGGCGTTACATCCTCTTGTCCTTTTTATTTGAATTGCACGCCAGTAGTGACAGTCCAGAACAATTGTTGTCAAGTTAACAATGAATACTACCACTCAGTTGATACACAAGTGAAAACAAAATACTGCATGTAAAAAAGGAGGACATGCATTAAAATGTGCACATCGCAGTGAGTGTATCGGTTTCTTTACAAGGACGATTAAAAATGCTCCAGAAAAGCTTCTGAAAACTGAACGGGGTTTGAGATGTGTGATATGGGCAATATTTTTCCTCTATATAAAAATGTTTCCGAGTATCCGTGGGCATTTTCCCTTTATTCAGAGGAAGACTTTAGAGAAGAGGGGGAATGAGATGCAACAAAGGCATTTGGATGGACCCAGGGATGTTGCAATCGCAATTTATAGAATTCATCTTAACCACTAGTTCAACCAACATCCCCATATAGATATCTTATATGGGCGGCCTACACAAGTAGATTTTCTTCCAAACCAACAAATATATTTTGCATGGATTATTCTCCTTTTCAAACATTTATGGAAAAGCAGCTGAGAAGACATATTGATTAAACTTCCAAAATGTGGCTTTGAAGTACAAATGCGTATACTGGAAAATGACTTCCACTAGTCAAAATTTAGCTTGTGAAACCAATGCCGTTTTGCAGCTGAAGTGATGGACGTCTCACCGCCTCCATATGGCTGCAACAAATAAATTATCTGCTTTTGAGAAACAGTACAGAGGAAGTCTTAGTGTAGAATCTAGGCAGAGGAAGCGGCACAGATCACGACAACCAAACCACACAATATGTGATGTCGAGGAATATATTTAGAGAACACATTGCAGTATAAATAGCCAAAAGCACTTCAGGCAACCCTGCAGTGCAGCTAGGAAATTTAGCTACATCAGCGCATCACACCCCCTGAGACCCACCCTCACACTCAAAACATCAGACTGAACTCCCAAAAGGAGCAGACTAGCCCTTTCAGCCATCAGCTCCCAAAATAGAGCCCATCTCTCAGGGTCTGAGCAGGCAGACACGCCTACACAAGGTCTCCACACCAGTCTCTGCCTCTCTGTGAAACATTAACTGTGTTTCTGAACAAGCATCTAAGACTGAAGGCCAAATGTAGCGTTGATCTCCTCCTTCAGCACATACATCACAACAAAAGTGAACAACTGCTATAGAACCTATGGCTCTTAGGTTCTGCTTTGTCCTACCAGGATTTTTATTATCAAATTTTCATTATTTTTAAAAAGGGATATGCAGTGGAAATATATACACACTCATGCTTGTACACTAGCTATGTTTCAACACCAGTCCTACGAAAGGCACTGCTTACAAAAACAAGAGAGCAGAAAATCAGCCTTTCTGCTATATATCTATACGACCAAGCCATCGAGTCTGGCTGCCCATTAATCCCTCATTCCCTCTGTACTGGGATCAGAGACAAACTCACAGACAAACACAAACAGCGAGACCTTACCTGCACTTCGTTCGTGCGCTGTCTGATGGCCTCCTCCTTCTCCCTGATCTCCTCTTCAACAGAGCTTTTCTCCCTAGGGGTCCAGCACAAGAAACAGGAGTATTTAGCCACCAAGGACAGAGAGGGTAGACCCAGTACTTCAAGACCACCCAGCCAGCTTTCTTTACCCTGCCCCTCAACCACCACCACCACCTCTTCTCCCTGAACAACCATGATGTCCTGAAATCACAACTCCACGCTACAGAGAGAGCCGCCTGAGGGCTGTGGATGTCCGGCGCAGTAAACGCGAAGAGGGCAAGTGTTGTAGAAAGTGAGCATGTGCTTGCTCAGTCAAATGTGTGGGAGATGAGGAGTGAGAAGCAGGCAGCTGCCTTGAGGATGGAGGGAGGAGGGACGAGTGATGATGAGCTAACCTGCTGTGCAGCATTTATCATTTGTGCAGCCATTATGTTCATCCTCTCTACTTCACTTTCACCCACCCAGCCAGAGAGGAAATTGAATTGGGTGAGGTTAGGAGTAGGGATAGATAATAACTTGTGCACAACTGACAATTAATGAATGTGTATTTATTTTCCGCTATTACTCTTCATAAAAGGGCACATAAGTAACACTAAAATGTTTCTGTACTTCTGTTACAGAATACACAAAATTTCAGTCCATTTGTCTCTCTCTTTATTCAACATGACTAATATAAAAGCAAGATAACTGCAATTTTAGCTAAGAATGAATCCTTAGTATGGATATAGGGGTTCACTTTGCACCAGATATGGATATCCAATATTGGATTGTGTTGGACTTTAAGTGCATTATGTATGCATGTATATCCCATGTGTAAAAAAAAAAAGGAAACAACACATAAAGAAGAGGCCTATATACATACATACATACATACATACATACATACACACACACACACACACACATATACACTTTACTGCTTTTCAGTAAAACGATGTCTGTGTCTGGGAAAAAAAAAAAAAAAAAAACTACAGATGTGCTTGTATTTCAATTTATTACATTTTCAAGGGAATATTCATTTTGTTACTTGATCAACCTCCTGTAAGTATTTATGTAATTTTCACCACACTGCTCCATTGTTTTCTCACATAGAAAATTATTTCTGTCTTTTCAGGCAGCTGTAAATAATGTGCACTACAGGCTACAAGAGTGCGATATGTTTCATTCCTAATGATAGGATTAATAAATTACACATACATTTTGTATTATTGTTTAAGTTGTGAAAACAGCATACTTACACCGATTAACACAACACTCCTTATTCCTGTTCAGTTTCACTTCTAGAAGACTGAATTTTTTATAAAATCTAAAGAAACAGGCATTAACTTTAAAGAGTACTGATCCTTTGCCATCCATTTCATCACAGATCAAAAATAGCAGCAGCTATTTTTATATTCTCTCTCTCTACTCTCACATCAAAATGCACAATTCCCTTGATAACAGTACTTCTTCTACCAGTAAACCTACAGCAAAACTCAAGTAGAGTATCACTCCTATTCTCCTCTTACCCATCCTCCTCCTCCTCTCCATCCTCTTCATCTTGAGCAGGCTGCTGCCACATTTTGAAGCAGCTACAAGCGCGCATCATCTTTTCAAGCTCCTCTCGATGTGCTGCCTGTCAGAAGCTCTGATCTCAGTCACTTAGTTTCCATTTCTCTCCATCTTTCTTACTTCTACCTTCCTCAAACAGCTGTCATCTAGTGTTTCTGTGTGCAAGCATCTGTGTTTATGTACTGAAAGTTTGGGGGTGGGGTGGAAGGCTACTTTCTCACTTCTCAGTCTCAACTTTCATGAATAGGGAAGCTAAATTCAGTTAGTTTATGAGATTTAAATCCATAACAACTGATAACCACCTGTCAGGGAAACCAAGACTACATGTAAAAAGCAATGCAAATAGATGTTTACATCTACTTGTTTACTGAGGAATAAAAGATAAATGAAACTATCAAAAAAAGACCTGTTGTGACATCGTTTAGTGAAAAGTATTAAAGATGATGTGATGCAAAAGCAGATGCTTTCTTACATTTGTCCTAAAAAAATTTTTTTTTAAAATCCAGAAATGAAAAGGTAAAATAAACAGCAGCATTATTTAACTTTAGAAAAACAAGACAGGGGAGGTGAATACATTGATACATTAAGTCTGGTGTATATAGCATCTGTCAGCCTCCTTCCACCCCACTGTCAAACAGAAGCTACATAACTCAGCTTTATAACCATCTGCTGTGTTTGGTAGCCTGCAGCAAAAACACAAATGTTTGTTTATCTTCACCGGAGCAGTGGGTGTTCAAAGAAAGACTGAGTGTGTGAGAGTGATATAATTTTGTAGGCTAACTCTTTCACTCAGTGTGGTTCACATATAATAAATTCAGCTGGGATCAGTAGTTCGTATAAATCACTTGTCTCCCAATATATCAAATTTACTTGTGCTGCCCAGTCAGTTCCCCTTAGTTTGTGGGAAAGCTGCTGGTCACAGGATATAGAGATACTGGCTCTGACATCAGACCTTAATGGAGAATTCCCCTGTTTTTATCACAAGAATGTTACGTTATGCAATTTGACATGGTTACATTGAATGATTATTCCAACAATACATACATAACAGCTGGACCTAACATGAAAAAAATAATTGTTTTGTTTGGTAACATTTGATGCACACTGCAGTCAAAAAACAGCTTAAATATCATGTACAGTGGAAACCGCTAATAGTGATCATGGTTTGGGACCAATCAAAAAGCTGTGACAGAATCATTGCTATACAAATGCTGTTTAAATAATTTGCTTATAGTAATCAAGTAGTCTGCTTACAGTGTTCATTTTGGGGCTTTTCATACATGGGGGAAAAAATCTGAATATTATATGTTTTCAAACAGCGTGAGTTTATTGAGCCTGTGATGGGAAACAACAAGTTTTCGATCAGATCAGAATTAGTTCAATCTAGTATACTGAACCTGATGGAAGCGCGTGCGATGTGATGAAAAAAAAAAAAAAACGTCATCAATGGAGCACCGATAGTACAATTCACCATGGCAACAGGTAAATAAGTGCAGAGCCTCTATTTTAATCCAGTGGTGCTAGAAATATGAATTGGTGCCAACGCAGACCATGATAGGCTATTTATGTTAAAATGCAGGAGTAGAGGAAGGATCAATACATTTAATTTAGAGTAGCTCATTCATCTTTTATCAGACTGGAATTCTCCAATAGCCCATTACATTTAAAGGAGGGCTATATTTTATTCAGCTATAACCTGACGGGACAAAGTGCAGGTGGAAATAACTGAAGATGAAAATGTAGATCAAACAGATAAGACTTTTTAATAAGTTTACCCATGGACCTGTGATTTTAAAGCCACAGTAGGGTATTAATATTTTTTTTGCAGTGGAAAATGTGTCTATAGGTTCAAACTAACTTTTAGACGTCTATTTTACATAAAACAAATCTTGCTCATTTCGTATTAAATGAAATTCTGTCAAAACACATTAAGAGTATAAGCAGCAAGTATTTAAAAATCATTTAAAATAGGCTACATTCATTCGTTTCAGCTGCACCACAGTCATAGAAATATACTCACAAATATTCACATCATCTCCAGCACAACTACGATAGAAATGTTCCAATCAGTGTGTCACAATATGACAGATGACTGTTCATTGATCAGTTACAGCTTTATACAGATTAATTTGATTTAAACAGTGATTACTGCAGTAATGTAGCCCATTGTTGTGTTTTAGTGCAACTTTTGCCAACCTGACAGTTGCCTTAATATCCACAATGTTACAAAGAAGGACAGTGCATAGATTTTATTCTGACGATAAATTGCAGATGTCCAGAGATCGCTCTCTCTGTCCATAAATTGATGACAGGTTCATCATAATAGAGGCAAGGTTATAATCGTTAACGAAGACGAACGAAATAACGACAACTAGATGTGAAAAAACATGGTCGTTAACTGAAACAAAAATAAAAACGAGGGTTTACTAAAAAAACGATAACTAACTAAAACTGTGCTGTAGGTTTGCAAAACTAACTAAAACTAACTAAAATGAAAGAGTAAATGTCCTTAGTTTTCGTTTATTTATTTTATAGGACCTAATAAGCCTCCACCTCTTTAGGTCCTTTTCAGACATTTTTCTGTGCTCATTGATCAAACGGCGTTATCACCACATAGGCTTTATTTACTGAATGTCAAGGAATGGTACTTCTACTAATTGTATTAAAATATTAAAGACTCTAAACGTTAATAAAATATATACACTTCGAATCATTTATCAACATTGATAAACCCCAAATAGCGTTTAAAAGCAGTATTTGGAGGTGCATGCAATTCTCGGCAGGCAGGCAAAACTCAGCATAATGCCGGCAATTCAGCGGTTGTTGGTGAGCCACGGGTGCGTTATGATTTTGTCCTCCGAGTGAAGAGCTGGCCCGCTGCGTGTCCATCAAGAGAGCCCGGGTCAGGGCGGCGTCTGGCCGCAGAATAGCAGGTGGCGACCGCTGTAACTAGGAGAGCCCCATGTAACGTTAGGGGGAGGCTAACTTAGCCGGGGAGGCCCAGGTACGGATAAGCTGTGTAGTTGGTTGGTTTTCTTTTTTACTTGTCTTTTTTCGTTCCGTTCTGATGGTCTGGCTTAGCATCCTGCATGTTGGATAGGCTAAACTTGCCCATTGATTGTGAGCTCCCCTTGAGCTGGGTTAAAGTGTCTGCTGGTCATTATATTTACTGCTAGTGTGTGTCCCTGTCCCTTTGTGCTTCACATTGTTTTAATACCTATTTTTTGAAAATAAAGGTTTAGATTTTAATATAACTGCTTTCCAGTCATACTTACAGGGTGCTAGGGACCTGTTTGCGGCGTGTGCTTCATTTATTTGTAGTATTCATTTCGACAACGTGTCAGTATTTCATATATAAAAAAGGATAGCCCTTTTGATTGTCCTTGTATTTTAATTTTTTGTGAAAAAACGAAACTGGACTGAACTAAACTGAACTGAGCTTAACATTGTGTAGCGACAAAGACTAAAACTAAGCATTTTCTAAAAATAAAAACTAAACTAAATTTGCAAACCCACATTAAAAACTAATTAAAACTAAACTGAAATTGAAAACAAAAAGTCAAAATGAAATAAAAATAAAAACTAATGAAAAATTGAAAAATCCAAAACTATAATAACCTTGAATAGAGGTCATGTTAAAGATTATGTCTGGGTAAAAAACAGACGGTGTCACACAGCTGCTTAAAGCTCCGCAGGGAGGGGTCAGAGAGAAACATAATTTCATCAGTTGCCGGAATTACTGATCTATGGTTTGTCTGATCTTGGTCTCTGAAAAAGAAAACCCAGAGTTTCCTTCATCTCAAGCTTGACATACTAAGAGTTTTCACTAATCCTGCTTTCTGAAACGGGACCTTGTTAAGCAGTAATACGCTACAGTTTATTTTCAGGCCTGTTAAAAATTTAGAAATGCACAGAAACCACCACCAAGCTGCTGCAAATACAGTATTAGTAAACAGCACAATACTGTTTTAGGTACTGGCCTAATTATAATTTGAATACAGTAAGCTATACTTTATAAACTGTACTGTATTACTGTATATTGCATTTGAATTATACACAGTACAGTAATGTAATTTGAAAAGCGTTTCAAACAGCTGCTCTAAACAAATACAGGACTACTTCTTGTCACCACTAGTAAGAGAACACGCACCAATATGGGGTCAGTAACAATATGCATGTTTTTTTATGAATGTGTGAACAAAAGCTTACCTCTGTAGTTCGACAATCTCATTACTGAGAGAGTCCAGCTCCTTGATGGCAGAGAAGTCAGCTGCTAGGTTAACCGCGTTGTTCTGGAGAGGAAGCGAGGCAGAAGATAAAACAGGATTAAACTACGGAACCGCACTACTGAAGGTAAAACACTAGAACGATGATGAAACTTCCTATAATGTCAAACAAATGAACAACAGAGCTACGATGATGAGGTCACTGATTGAGACATAAAGGCAGGGATGGAAGTGAGACTGACTCATGGGTAATTATAATGGGAGGATATGAGTCCAAGGGTTTTATTCAAACATATCTACTGTGTTGGATTTCACTTTGTTCTCTAATGTTAAGAGGGTGGAGACAGCAACAACCCCACTTCTCTTGTCCCTTTTCAAAGACATAAATCAAGCGAAGTTCAAGCCTTTGATTTACATCTACATACTTGGTGCCACTTGTGCAAAATATTTAAAACAGCAACCCCTGTTCTTGCCAGCTTACCGCCTAAGCATAAATAGTAACACCTAATGATGATTAAGTCAAATACAGATGTAAAATATGATTTAGTTTTTTGTAACAGAAGCACAAATTTGGAGAAAACTACAATGAGACATGGCAGAAAGATGACGAAGAGCGGAAGCTCGTTACAAGTAATGAGATGCCCCCGAGTCAGTAAAGTACCACACACTCACTCAGGATCATCTCGCTGCACATGTGAAGTGGATAAAATGTAAGAATATAAAGAGCAGACACAGAGGGAACAGCATAAACGTGTTGCATAAGGAGGAAAAGAAAGAGCTGCAAGCTTGAAAAAAGATCAAAAATGAAGAAAAATTTTAGTCAAATTAATAACAAGAAACTTAATTTTAAATAATCATTAAATAATCTGTCAGTTATGATAGCATACTTGATAATAACATAAATAACAATCACACAAAGACAGGCAAAAAGCATGATGTGAATGGTTAAAGACAGACTTGTTTTGTGCCTAAAAAGAAATCAATACTGCCAGATATCTTCCCACACACACACAAAGCCAGTAATTCATGCAGCTACTCAGCTTATTGCGCCTTACGTTACATCATTCTAGTTTCTACTGTTATCACTACAGTCCTGCTGGTCTGTTGTTCTAACACCATCAGTCTCAGTGCATCATCAGCTACATCGTCATGTTGAATGGAGACACAAAAAGAGGATACAGACATAATTATTAGACTTGAGTGCTCTGAGCGACTCACCTGTTTGATGTTTTGTCTGTCAGCCGGAGGGATCATCTCTGGCAAGAGACTCTGTGGAGGGTCCAGGCCTTTACTCAACTTCTGATTGATCAGATGAAGCGCCAGGGCAAACTGCTCTCGGGTCAGTTTCCCAATGTCTCCTATGTCACAGAGCTCCCTGAGAAGACAAACAGACCCGGGTTACATAAGAGCCTAACGATTTAAACCTCAGGCAACGACTATTTTTGATCATCATGTTCAGTGCTTATGGAAGCCAACACACAGGACAGTCACAGCAGGACAGAAGCTAGTCAGCCGTGCAAAGAGAAAAATCTATATGATGTGATAATTCTCACAGTCAGATGCGTTAGCACACACCATTTTTCAACCCCAGTCCATAAATTTATAACAAAGCATGTGATTTTAAAGATATTTGTGCAGCCTAATGCCAACAAAATGTACTCTGCAACTGGGATATTCTTCAAATATGTTTGCACTCTATTTACCTAACATTACTTTCTGTTTCTTCATAATGTAACATTCATTATTCATTTGGCTGATGCCAAAGCGACTTACAATTGCTGTATATGTCGTTGCACGCCTCTGGAGCAAATAGGGGTTAAGTGTCTTGCTCGGGGACACATTGGTGGATGTATCACAGTGGGGAATTGAACCCGGATCTCTCACACCAAAAAAGCTACATCGTGTATGTGTGTTTTGCTTATATGGTGGCGGAGGAGCTGATTGATGGAGTTTTACCATCTCTACTTACCAGATACGTGCAAGTGTGCCAGAGGGCAGCCCAGTCTTAAGGAAGATATCTCTGACTTCAGGGCCAGACACGAGGCCGTCCATGTCACTGTCGGTCTTGTTGAATAGCTCGTCATACTTTGCCTTGTCTGCTGGTGACACCACCCACTGCACAAGCAACAAAACAGACTTTTAACTAGCACCATAGTTGCTTCGTAATGGAATTTATTAATACAGCCTACGCAGTTGACGGACCACTAACTCAAAAATATACTTACCTTCACGCTCCCTCTTGTCTTGTTCTTTTGAAAAACACACTGAACTATCCAGTTTGACATCATTTAAATGTTTGTTGCTGCAGCTACGTGGTAGTAAAATAAAACATCCAAAAGCTTGCACACACAGGAGTGAAGGGTCCGTTACTCACAGGGACAGCTGCTGGTGTTGGGACAGGAGCTGGGGCGGGTTTAGGGGGGTGGGGCATGGTCTTAGAGCCAGCATGGGAGGAGCGACTGTCTTTGACTGAGGGGGGCGAGGGTAACAGGGGCATCACGGGAGGCACTGAGGGTTTTTTCCTCTTGGAGGGTGGAACCAGGGGAGGTGGTAGGGACATGGGAACAGGCTCCCCCTCCAGAGCTCTGTACACCAGATACATGGCCTGGGAAAGGGCAACACAAATCAATGATAAAAAGGCAATTACCAACAAACCATCCTGTAAGTTTTCAGTCTTCACACTTCCTCCACATGTCTGGAATTTGATCCATTTAGGGCTACAGAAATGATTTTCACAACTTGTAAGAGCTTCTAAGATTGTATGTGTAATTTAAGCACACACACGAATACACACAAACAAACATTTGGTGCAGAAACTTTCAAATCAACACCTGGAGCGAAATTATTCAGATAGACTAGAGAAAACACACTTTTGACAAAAAGTGCTACAAAACCTTGATATGCTTTAGATGCCTAGAAGATCAACACTGTAATATACAGGTGCATCTCAAAAAATCTGAATATCGTGGAAGAGTTCATTGTTAGCGCCAGAACCAGACTGAGGGATTAAAGGCTCTGGAAACCTTTGCATGTGTTTTGAGTTAATTAGCTGATTAGAGCTCTTCTCGGGTCAACATTTCTGTATTATAAATTCTTATTTACATTACATTTGAGATTTGGAGTTTTGATTTCAATTAGCTGTAAGCCGTAATCATCAAGATTAAAACAATAAAAAGGCTTTAATATTTCACTTAATGTGTAATGAATGCAGAATATATTAAAAGATGAACATTTTGAATTTAATTACAGAAGAAAATTAACTTTTCCACGATATTCTGCAGCCCAATCTGAAACTAACTGCAGACTGTAACCTATGTGTTTTTATTCTATGATATTAGCTAATTTCTTACCACAGAAAATTCATCTCTGTCCAACATGCCATCTCTGTCGAGGTCACTGAGCTCCCACACCTTCAATACACACAGAAATCGTTAAGCATTCATCATTACAGAACTAATATGATACATAATGACGTGTCCCTGAAAGCCCCGACTCATTACCGATTCTCACTTCCTCTTTGATTAAATTTTCTACCCAACTGATTTTTGATTTCACATCCTATTTTTCAAACTTTCTACACTGTATGGCTTCATTTATACAACAAAATTTAGACTGTTACATATGATAAACATTGCATGCAGTCTTATCCAACCATCTGTCTATTATCAATCAATACAATCTATTATTTGTCACTTTTTATTTTTATAAAAGGGATGTTTTAATGAGCTAAAGCCGTCACAATTTGGTAACTATTTACATCTTCTGTTATTTTTAAAAGCATATGATTTCACTTTAGTTTTGTCACTTTGCATGCATGATAATAAATAATCAGTATGTCAACAGATGAAACTAAAGTGTCTTCATCATACCCTGCCCAGGATGTCCACTGGCAGTTTTGAGTTAAGCAGGACAGGCTTAACCTTGTCTCCTGTTAGAATCCCTCCTACTGGACCCAGACTGTCAAAGATGGAGTCAAACTTCATCTTCTCTTCAGGCTGGGGGAAAAAAAAAACAACAACATATGTACAATGATTAGAAGCAGCGGATTGAAATATAATTCATTTCTGATGCGAACAATATAGTAACATTTTTCCCAGAAAGTTCAACAAGCAACAGAGTAATTTGGACCCATCAGCTGTGATGTGAGTTATTCTAACTTTTATAGGCACTACTAGTCAATAAACAGCTATTGCTGACATTGTATGGCTGTAAATGTGTGTGTCCTATTTAAGCTGACTTGATCTATTTGACAACATAAAAATATCAGACTGTGTTGGATATATACTGTTGTAGTTCTCTAATGAGGAAGACAAAGATATCAAAGCAAATTACAAATACACATAAATCACCGTGTTTTATTAAGACAAAAAGATAACAAACTTGCAAGTGCCTCACCTTGACGACCCAGGGAATGTCAATAGCCACACCTCCTGCTAACAGCGGGCTGCTTGACTCATGCTGGTTAAACACAAAACATATTCTTAGTCTGTAGAGCATAATTTAAGCTGCCAATCATGATACAAACACCTCTGGCTATATAGTATATCTGGGAGTAACCTCAGCATTTATAGCATGGACAAAGCAGTGCATAGTAGCAGACTTACAAATTTGGGAGGAGGAACAGCCACATTAAGGCTCTTGAGCGCCACCTCTAGGCCATTTTGAGCACAGGCCACCAACCGCAAAGCTATGAAGAATTGCTGAGGGGAACACAGAGGTACAGTGACATAAGTCCAGTGAGCATATGCAGTTTGTGTAGGGCTGGGCGATAAAACAAAAATGTCATCACAATAGAAAATTTCCTATCAGTCGATATTTATCACGATGAATGTCAAATCATTATTTCTTTCAAGTTTAAAGGCTGATTTTTGCACCTGATTGAAAGTTGAAGAAACCAGATGGTTAATTGTTGTTTTAAACTATTCTTTATGGTCAGATCATGACAAAACACTTGCCAAACAGTGGATCTCTTCACAAATCTGAGGTGGAACATTCAAAACAATAATCTTTTTTCAACAAAGACGTATGAGTAAAATGAAGTAAAATCTTTTTTCAGTTCTTTTTCCTCAACAAAATAATTCTTAATAGAAAATTGAAGCGCTGATGCATACGTGATTTAAATTAATTAAATTGAACATTTGTTATGTTTATATGGAGTAAAATTATGTCACAGTAATTACTGTTATCATTTTATCGCCCAGCCCTAACTTGGTGCACACAAAACAAACAAATCCATATGATGCGACTCCGCAGTGCATTTATACCTGCTTGTTAAGAGAACCTTTTCTTTCAGAGTCTGCCAAATCCCAGATCTATGGAGACACACACAGTGTATTTATTACCCTTAACATAAACAGCAAAGACAACAGAGAAGTAATGCTGCCGCACTGATCTGAGTCTTTGCTCACCTTCCCCAGGACCAAGTCAGCCAAACCCGACCTTTTCAGGAACAAAGCTGCATCAGCCGCTGCTACCCGCCCACTGCCAGTCGGATCAACCTACACACAAACACACAGTCATTAGATCTTATAACATTTCAGAAACATCAATAACACATCTGTACTGCCACGAAAAAAAGTTAATTTCTTATTAGTCAATAGCTTTAGACAACAACATGGGAGAAAAGCTGCAAGTACATTTTTAGCAGCATGAGAAAAGCAAATAATGAACAAAAGAAAATGGCCCTGTGGCAGAGAAGTCTCTGAGTCACTTAGATTGATACTGATAATAAACCAAAGCTATTTTCTCAGCAGTCTATTAGCTTGATATTGGATCTCTTAGTAGTCTTTCATGAGGCTCAAAGTGAGCTCCCCTTACATGTTGCACAAAAGGGAAACATTATTAATTCATAGAGATTCTTCCTTTACTGGACACAGCGGCCAGAACTGATATGAGAGAAGAGAGATCACTGCTGCAACATGCTAAAGCAGCTAAAGCTAGTTTAGTATTTAAACAGTCAGTGCACCCAAATCTCTCTCTCCATCTGTTTTTGGGTTTTTTTGTATTTCAGTCATCTAATCCAGAACAATTCAGCCTACAGCACAACATAGTAACAGTCAAATCATGTTAATATTACTAAATCAAACAATGATCATCTCACAACTTAATAATATTCTGTACACACATTTTAACCAATGCGAAAGACATTCTACTTTATAAAAGACACTAAGGCCTAATTTCAATAAACCATATGTCTTTGTTTTTGGGAAGACACATTTGCATACCTGTCGATAGTATTTGTCATAGATGGGATTTCCACTGGAGAGCTGCTAAGGAAGAAAAAAAAAATACAATATATAAATACATATTTTAACTTCTACCACATTTCTCAACAACAACACCATTTCTGTTTGCTCATGTGGCCTCTTTTAGATTCACACATGATATTGATCAAATCCCTAAATTTACCTTAACACTTTCTCAATTCTGCAGATTCAGTTTACAAGCTCAACAACTGCTACACCAATCATCCAGTAAGCCAAGGCAGCTGTCAAAAAATATGTAATAAAAGACTGATCCATTACAGATGGAGGATGCAGACACTATAACAAATGTGTTAAAATTCAGCTTTTTTTGCCCCTCTTTTCAACATCATGCCCATGGACACGTCTGTCACTAAAACAGCAGAATTATTTGTCAATCGCCCAAAAACATGTGCCAGGGGAAAATGAACACAGGGACTTTAATCATTGCTCAGACAAAAAGAACAGATGCAACATTTAATTTAGTTCACTGTGCCAAATAATAGCTCTCATCAGACCTGTTTCACTATAAAAGTTTTTTCCACAGCATATACAGTTTAAGAAGGGTGACATACAGGTAGGATGAGAAACATGATGACTCCAGACATGACAGTATGCTACAGATGTCTGAATAGGGGTGCAATTAATAATCATTTTCCTTTTTTGATTAATCTGGCTATTTTTTGATTAACCACCTCATCATTTGACTTATAAAATGGTAGAAAAATATCCATCACAAGAGCTGTAGGTGACCAACACTGCAAAGCCCAAATACAAACACTTTCGAATAATATAGAGTCCCATTTGCTCTGCTGGCACCAGTAAATGTTTGGCATCTATGCTTGACAAATTAATTAAACAAACAATTATCAAAGTTGTCTGGAATTCATTTTCAATTAAATCAACTAACTGTCTCAGCACTAGCTAGATAATCCCAGTAATCATTATTTGAGAGGCATTGCTATTGTGTGCTTCCTGGCAAAGTTTTGCAGGAGAAAATACAGTGTCTTCCACCATACAGCAAACATCTATGAGTCACAGTGATACACACAGTTTCTGCTGTGAGCTGAGTGACTTCAGGATATAGGCTACACTTCCCAAAGCTGCTGATGGTCAGCTTTAGACAGTTACAACAGGGCGTCACTCCACAGTCTAATCTGGCCTTCTGACATATCCTCCCTAAACACCCTCCTTTCCTCTGTTAACACGATTGTCCACTGAGGGGCCAAACAGGAAAAGTATCAGCATTTCCTTCTGCATATGCCTAAACTGACAAATGGTTGTTCTGCTTTTAAATCAACAGGTGCAGCAAAAGAGGAAAAGAGTGGACAGTGATTGTCTGAAATGTGAATCACCTGGGGAGTGGCTAATGAACCAGTGAGTAAAGCTGACTTAATGTTCCTCCACAGACAAACCGACGTGCAGTAGAGAGTACAGCAAACATCTGTTATGATGTCAGCCTTGTTACAAACTTGCACGCACGGCTCGCTAGAAAAAACACAGCCTGTGATCAGCTTAGTTATCTGTCAGTTTTGCCAACTGCCAATTTACAGCGAGATAACTGTTCACTTATCTTTCTCTGGCCAATGCAACTTTTTCTTCTGTGACACACAATAGTGTGCCTGGAACTGTTGGCGGCTGTAACACTGTGGTCATTGTACTGGTGACTCTTTAATTGAGCACTGAAAAAACGCCCCTCAATCATTCCCCAGCGAGCCCATACAAAACTGCAACAGATAGCAAGATACATTACAGTGCAGGAGTTGACAAGCCTGTCTAGTTTGTTCTGGAAATGCCAACTCCCTAATTAACTCATGGCAATAAAACACATTAATGTCACTAGCATCATGGTATAGTGTGAGGATTATCAGGTGGTACAGCTGACAGCACACTTAAAAACAAGCATCACATGACAGACCAATGAAGTCTCACAACACAGAGGTATTAACACAGGTTGCTGAACTCATCTGTGAGAGATAAAGAAGGTGGCAGACAGCTGCTGTCTGTTGTTTGAGGCAACAGTGGCTCGGGTAACAAGTCCACATGGATTGGACCTGGCTGTTGCCTGCTAAATAAGTTATTTACTGTGCAAACAAACACATTTCCACACAAACAGCAACATACTGACATTTTGTGACACCAGTGCCGCTACTCTCGTTCACTTCCTCTTAATGGTTGCACAACGACTGACAGACTATTTTGAGTTTTTCTGTTAACATAATGGACACAAAAAAAAACAGTTAACGTTCACTTACGTTCAATATAGGAAACACTAACCCGGGTCGGTGAAGCACTTACAACAAAACCAATAAACATGTTGGTTATTCAGTCTAACATACAGCAAGCTTCCCCAGCAGTAAGGACATTACCAACGGAGGCTTTAACGTTAAATATATATGTTACATGCGTAAATCTTTTAGCGGAAAACAATGTTAGCAGAGGCTCTACCAGCAACAATATGACATTAAAGCCACAACAGAGCCACACATGAGTGAGTCTCGCATTAACATCTCTTTGGTCAGGACCAACTAGCCTGCAGCAAAACGAGGCGGTTCAAAGCATGATTAACATACACTCCCAACCGAAACGAAACCAAGTAACGTTACATGGCTTATCTCAAGTTTGATAAAGCGGCTCTAAAACAGCCCAATACTGCACACAAACTAGCTGTTAGCTAGCAGGCTAGCTAGCTAGCTAGCTACGCCCTTACGCAGTCCCCAAAGAGATTAGGCAGAAACTTTTCCCAGTCACAGCAGGACTAAACTTCCAAAAAGAGAGACGAGGGCCGAGGAAAGCTCGCCTTCCTGCCTACGCGGCTTCACTAACACTGTTGAAATGTCTCCGAGCAGAACACACAGAGGCCATGAGACGTTTGCTGTGGTTAGATTTGAGTTGTAAGACAGTGTTACCTGAGTAAGAGACAGAGTGGCAGCCATGGTGTTTCTGTTTCCCACTGCTTCATGCTGCGCTACTGCCAGACACAGACAGAGGCCACTGAAAAACCTGGCACTGGATCTCCACGACAGGAATCAATTCAAACTTATAACTGGATGGCAAACAATCAGTCACCCCGTCAAACAAAACAAACCACATGCCTAAATATATGAAATTATAGAGCAGAAATGGAAGAAGAATTTTATTTACCATGTATATATGTAACAGCACCAACGCAACTATCAGGGCCTGAGCAAGGATTTTAGAAATACCGAGGTCATGAGTCCTTCCCCCCCAAGAGAACCCACCAATTTCCCCTATTATCTGTATTTTTAACTTTTTTTGTAACAATTTGTTTAACTGTTAACAAGAAAAAAATGTAATAATTTTTCAGCCTATCTATTGGCCTAAAAGTTGTCAAATGTACCTTAAATATAATGAGTCTAAAAATTCTGGACTTAAAATAAAGTACCTACCATGTATAGGGTTTTCAATTTTAAGTAAAACTTTCAGGTTGCCAAGAAAACACTGCTGAGAACATGACCAGTAAAACACCAATGGCCCTGACAACAATTTAAAAATACTCCATTGCAAGAATATCATTCAAAATCTCACTTGGGTAGAAGTACATGTATGCTAAAAGGCCTTTTCACAATATCTACTACCATTAGGTGGAGCTAATGTTAACTACTTCATATACTGTTGAGTTGTTTCATCCACACACAATTTTATAAGATCATGTGTTTTATACTTGAACTCTAAATCTGCAAAGTAACTATAGCTGTCAGATAAATGTAGTGGAATAAAAAGTACATTCCCTCTGAAATAAAACAGAGTGAAGCATTTTTGCTTATATCCCTCACTCTGAAATATTGTGAAGAAGAGATAAGGTATCATAAAATGAAAATACCCAAGTTTGTCTTTATGGCAGAGGTGGAATGTAACTATCAGAAAGATGAGCAAGTAAACAAATAAGCCCTACTGGCCTGTGTTATCCACATAAAGGCAGGCATTAAAATAGTAATAGTCACTTTAAATATAAGAAAAAAAAATTTAAGACGACTTCTGCTCATTGTATTTCTGGTTGTTTTTAATTGGACAGAACCCCTGTCTTTTGGGGGTTGTTGTTTTTTTTTTGTTTTTTTTTTTTACACAGCAACATGAAAACCTTCCCACTTCAATTACTACCATTAGTACAAAATGTGTCTTTTACAAAAGGATCATCTTTCAGGCTGTTTGGGACAGGGGTTTGGGGTTCAGCAGTGCAGAGATATTAGCATCAGAAATGAGGAAACAGGTTGTGTACATCGACTACGAGTAAATCTAAAGTGAACGCGTACCAAATGAATGGAAGCTTTCCTGCTACTGAGTGCCCCTAATGTACATCGGAGTTTGAGCACAGCATATTTAGACACACGAGACTACTGTATGTGTACTGAAGTGAAAAAGTGTTAACTATACAGTACAAAACTATGCAAGCGATTCACCGTAAAGCGCCGTATTACCACCCAATGGACAACGGCCTTTTTGAGTAGGTTATCAGATATACAGTCAGTCTTGATGCACTCTTGTTTGAATCAGAGCAGGCACCCTGCATAACAATGTCTAACCTGTTGAATCCTTTGAGATTGACATAGCTTTTAAAAAAAAAAGAGGACCTGTGAGTGACTTGAATGACTGCAAAAGATAGCAAAAACAAACACGAAAAAAAAACATGTCACACAGATTAATAAGACAATCAAAACACATGAGGTAAACAAAAACATTTGTGGTTTCATCCACATACCAAATATAGCATTTCATGTCACAACATACTTCATTAAAAAAAAAGTTTTTGCAGAACACAAAAGGACAATTTATAAATTTCTGTTGAGTATAAACTGCGAAACTATTTTGTTTTATGATTTCCTGTCTTGACATTCGTTACATCTTCATTTTGTCTATCACTATTCCTCGTTTAATATTAATAACAATAATAATAGTAGTAGTAGTAGTAGTAGTAGCACATGGAAACAGAACAATAATTGCCCTTTTTCACCTACTGCCTTACTTTGTAAACAAACAAAGAAATGAAAAACCCCATCCCACCCAACCCCCAGCCCAGGGTGTCAGTCATGAGGGTCTATCATCTCAGTCTCCAGCCTTGTTCCAATGGCTCATTGACACAGTCGGGTTATTTTCTGAGCAGTTCCCACATGGAGTTTATAACTCATCCTTGAGTTTAGAGTCTGTGCCGTCGTCGTCCTCTTCTTCTTCCCCCTCCTCCTCTTCTTCTTCATCTTCATCTTCCTCCTCCTCATCTTTCTCCTCTTCCTCCTCCTCCTTCGCCTCTTCTCTCCTCATCTTGTCCTCCTCCTCACGTTTCTTTCTCTCTTCCTCCTCTTGGCTTTCCTTCATCTTCTTCTCTGTGTCCTGAAGAGGATGAAAATTAAAGTCATAAATATGTCGTTCCTTTGTAGCAGCACTTGTCTACAGACAACTTCACTTAATGCTACACCCACCAAGCAATGAAATTAGGGTATATACACACACCTCAAAATACTCAAAATGAATGAGCAGCATATATGCCTACATGAGATTTGAAAACCGGTGAAGATTAAAGTTTTGTGCTTACCTTAGTTTTACCCCATGTGTCGTTGCCTACTTCCTCTGCCAGTTTTGGGTCATTGGTGATCAGGAAGTTATCAAAGATAGTACCAGACTTGACCTACATCAAAAAGTAGTTAACAGTAATGCACATTTTAATATGAGGTAACAATTTTGCACTGCCAACCCAGTTGTGCACAAATTAATACACACTGTGCAAGTAAAATAATCCTATTCCTGAATGGATATAATTAAAGTACAAATACCAGTTTCTTGTTACTTTCAGCAAATTGACTCTTCATCAATCTGTAAACAAGACAGTCGACTAGTATCTCCTTACCTGCCACAAGTCTAGTCCAATCACGCCGAAGCTGTCGTATTTATAGATCTCAGAATCAGCTGTGTACTCCGGGTTGTCAATCTCAGGGTGGACCCACTTGCCTTTGTAGGCAGGATTGTTGATCTCGCTGGGCTTCCACTCACCCTGTTGACAGCAAACGGACACAGAAAGCCAGACAGTTCATGTCAGAGGAATCACAAATGCAAATACGTCTGCTGATGAAGTTAATTTATTTTGAATAAATAACATATAAACTAACTTGTGCCGGCTGGTGAAGAAGTTAATGGGGCAATAATTTGTCAAAGTTCATAAAATGCCTCAGAAATAGGGATGTGAAAAATGACAAGCACAACGTGCTTCCTCGTATTTTATAATAAGTAAATATTTTCAGCACAGTTACAATTCAAGCTTTACTCATGTTGAAACAATCTATGTTATTTATTAACTTACTAACTTATTCACTCAGTGACTGACCGATGTAGTGTTGCATAACTGATTTTCATCTCGAAGGGTGAAAAAATAAACAGAGATTTTTAAATGTCTTGTTCCACTGCTAATCTTTAAGGGGCATTATATGGGGAATACACAGCAATAGTGTAACCTATTGACTGGACATTGTATATTATTATTGCATGAAGTGGGAATATTTGCTGTTTACCTTGTAGTCAGGGTTAGCAACCATAGGCGGCTCCCACTCTCCGTCCATCTCCTCATCCCAGTCATCGGGCTTCTTAGCGTCAGGATCAGGGATGTTCTCAGGTTTGTCCCAGTCCTACCAAAGAGATACAGGTGAAGACATGACCTCACAACAGGCATTTAAAAAAAAAAAAAAAAAAAAAGGACATATGGGTTTCACACAAATAGTCACAAAATGTTGAGCAAAAGATGATTTGCTTAAAAGGTCTGTGAAAAATCAATCAAGCAGAATGACCTCTGGTTTCTTGTCGTCAGGGTCGGGAATCTTCTCCCGGTCATCCCAGTCCTCTGGCTTTTTGGCTTCAGGGTCCTTAATTTTTTTGGGAGGCAGGAAGTCCCAGTCATCCTCCAGATTGCCGGACTCGACCTTCTTATTGTCAATCTTGACCTCGTAAGTGTTGTCAGGGTTGACTATCAGTGTGTACAAGTGGGTGTACTCATCATCCTGCAATGTATAAAAGAAACGTCAGCAGCTATTCTGATTGCTTTTTATTCACCAGTGAATTACATGTTATGTGTTTATATATATATATATATATATATATATATGTGTCCTTGCTGGTTTGGTTTTTGGTGAGAAGGCTAATGAATTGGAATAAACTTTAGGACCAATTTCTTCATGCAACAGAAAATAGAAAAAGCTTGGAATAAGTAAGAACTTCTGCCATTTCCGCAAGTAAATATGAGAACAACAACCTTTTATTGACATCTCACCTTGCATCTGATGTCCTTGTTAATCAGATGGTTCTTGCCTTTGTAGTTGAAGATGACGTGAACCTTCTTTGTGCCAGGGCCACAAATATCAGGACCTGAACAAGCAAACAAATAAGTACAAAATGTGGAATCCAATCCTTAAGTTAAGAGTAGAAACTCGGGAATACACAAAAGGATAAGGGATCTCTCAAATCCATCTAACATGAAAAAAAACAACAACATTTCATTCCATTTGCCTCACAAAATGTTATATTATAGGCATATTTTAGGAAGACTGTGAATCACGAGTGTTTCATTCGTGTCTATTTGTCTGTGTATGCAACAAGACCTGTAAAACTGTGGGGAAACATAATGAGAAGACAAATGCCACGAACACGTATCTTCCAACATTGTGAAGGTGACTGTGGTCTTGTGCTTGATGACTGGTACTGTAATTACTGAAAAATAAACAAAAAAAAGAGTTTGGAAACTATCCACACTCACCAAACATGATGTTGTAGACGGAGTCTCCATGCATGTCCTCCTGGTTGAGGTCAGAGGGGAACAGTTTAATGTAGCCTCCACCACAGTCTATGCTCTGCTCGTGTTTCACAGTGAACTGGATGACTAGAGTCTGGCCCTGGTTGCTGAAGTCATCAAAACGGGATGACAAGGCGTAGAAGCGGGCGTCCTGGCTCGTCTGCAGACCTGTTAGCGAAATGAAATGTTATTGCTATAGTTTGAAGGGACGATCCAGCGTTAAGTGCAATTCATCCATGTTGTTTCTATAAAATTGGAGAGGTTAGTTTAAATTTGTGAATTTGAACACATCTCGTCTCAAGTCGCACAGCAGAGAGGCAGCCTGTTGTGATGATGTCATGTGGAGGTAAATACTGGAGCTGCCGCACAGACAGTAAATAATGGAACAACTCTGAAACACCCACAGTGATTGGGCTGTGGTCACACACACTCAGATCCACAGCTAGAAGCCCTACATTCAGAGTAATCTCATTTAGGTAGAATACCCCAAAAAACAATGACATACAAGCCCACTGACTCTACTCACTAGTTCAGTTTTTTTCTGAACTCCAGTGTAACTTTAAAAAGTGTCATTCACTTGCAGCTCTAAACTCCACATCAAAGGAGAGTGAGTTGTGTAGATTTTGAATTCTCAAACTTGAATAACACCATGTGACGTCCCGTCTCAGTATCGTGCCACTAGCACATGTGTAACTAAAGAATTATAGCTGGGGAAGGCAACTTTAGAGAAACCAAGAGACATCTACATTTTGAAATATCCAACAAATCCCACCCTTCCCTTTAGGTCTCCTTCCAAAGCCACTCCCAAAAAATACATTTGCATGTGCAGAGAGTGCAAGGTAGAGTGCACTCAGGTAGGTTTCATTTAATCATTTCATTTGGGCCGAATTAAATGATTGAATGAGTTTATTACAGTTATCACAGATAGCAGATTTTTTTTTTGTCTTTTTTGTGTCAGAGCATTTGATTTATAGACTGCAGTCGGGATGTAAAGAGAACTTCAATAGAAAATACTTCTAAAATAAATTACCTAGCTTTAAGAAAAATAGTCCTCTTACAACTCTCTTTAATCTTAAAGATCACAATGAAAACCTTCTTAACACAGGCTGCAGACAAATGGAGGATACATACTCATTATTCTAAAAAAGAAAACACAGCATAACACGTAAAACAATGAAGGAAGATCCACAGAGGGTGGATTCAATAACCTTTCCACTCACCTTTGTCTTTCTCTGCATCTCCATAGAACTTTCCTGCAGTCAGGACAAACTTGCCATAGTCTGACTTGTGCTTGGATTCCACCCAGCGACTCTTCCAGGTATCTGCAGAAACAAGTGTAGGTTCAGCTGCTCAGCGGTCACTCACAAGCTGCTAATTCGCCACTGGTGATGCAGGGGCACTGGGAATGTGTCCGCCGTATTGGGCATGTTTTATGTGGCTGCCTTCATTATGTACATGGTGGTGTGTGTAGTGAGACTGGTGATGAAATAAAACAGCTAGGTAAAGAAGGGTAACAGTGAATGACCAGGGGAGGGATGTGAAGTAGGGGGATGGGGAGACAGACAGAGTTTTTTTTTTGGGGGGGGGGGTCAAACGATTAATGGTTCCCATGTAGACTAAATGTAGGAGCACATAGCAGACAATGCATCACAGGAATAAAGGTAAAATCTTAAGCTGTCATGTCAAGAAATCATTCCAACAACACAATATGAAGAATAGCCACATTTGGCGCTCATGTACTTATTCAATAGCATCATATCTGATATATAACTGTTTCAGAGAAGCACAACAAAACAGTTAAATAATAAAAATGTAAAATTCTGTGTGAATGTCCTCACCTCCATCTTCAAACTGTTCTCGCCAGTACACAGAGGACTCGGCCAGTACAGAGGCGGCCGACACGGCCATCAAAAGCAGCGACAGGGCCGTCATTGTGACGAGCTGAAGCCCCTGCCAAATACAAAGCTAACCTACTATTATTATAAAATACGTCTGTATAATCTATCTACGCCGTACAGCAGGAGTTGTTTGTCGGTCCAGTCTCTCATACAGTAATGTTACAGTGAAAAGGGCAGAGACGCTGCCGCCGCTCTCCTCTCGGCTCGGAACAGATGTCTGAATCTGATTGGACGTCGGCTCGGAAACTCAATAAGGAAGCGTTATCCCTTTCGGCCAATCGGAGGAGGGAAAATTTGGACGAATGCTTGCTGTAGCCAATGGGAGTAGACCACGCGTTTGCTTGATACCTACCCAAGGAAGGGTGATGCGTCGTGGGTGAGATAGTGTGTATGGAGAATAAAATCATAATTCGCATGGGTAAATCAATGTAAAATCAGCAGATATGTTTCCCCCCAACCTATCAGGCTCCTAAACTCACATCCATCCTCAGCACTGCTCCATTGATCTTTGAATAGTGTGTATTTCTGTTTACCATTTTTATAATCGCTTGTCTGCTATGTAGAGGGGAGGTACAAAGCTCAGTTTCATTATATAACCTATTGTGAAAATAAGTGTACCTACCTACCTAATATCACAGTTTTTAAAAGATGTATCTGAAGCCAAATTAAATCAAGTAATTCAAAATATGAAAAACACATTTGTCCATTTTAAAGATTCTCTCCAGACATGTTTTGACCTATGGTTTTAAGATGTAAAAATACTGTTTTTAACAATAATTTGTCAGTTTTTTCCACACAAAAAAACACTAAACTACTTAAGAATTATTAAAATCACAACTAATTCTCTCTAAATGAAAAAATCCAGAATGTATGAATATGAAAAATCTGTGTATGTGTTGTGGAGGTCTCAAATTTCCACACACACAGTTGCACATTGGATCATGATTGGCTTACAAACTACTGTTAAACTCAGATTAAGGTGAGCACATAGAAACTTTTAACATGTCCTGCTTGTGTCAAAGTCTGCACATGTATCATTTTGCACAGTGAAGCACAAACATCAACAAGTGAAGTAACAACGAGCAAAGGGAGACTTTTGGACTTGTGTAGAGCTGCAACTAGCAATTATTTTGATAATCAGCTACTTTGTCGATTGGTCGATCTGGCAACTTGACTCTCAGAAATAATGTTAAATGCTTACAATAATTTCTTACAGCCTCTAAATGTATTCCATTTACTATCAAGGGAAACTACACAAAACAGCAGATTGAAACCAATAACATTTTGGTATTTTGGCTTAAAAAATTACTCAAAGTAATAATTTATTATCAAATTGTAGCCAGTTACTGTTCTGCTGATCGATTAATCAACAAATCCTTGATTTCTGTTGGATTTAGTTTACCAGCCCCGGCATGACGTGCTTCCACTATTTAAAGAAATAAAAGATAAGAGGTATGCACCATGTAAAACAAATATTTTTTTTGACAAAATAAACCCCTTAAATAATTCCATAAAAACAACTTTTGTTGATTTACTGTGAATTTTTATTTTCTTAAACCATTTTTGACATTTCTTTTCACATTCTTCTTGTGATAACGCTGAGCTTTAGCTAACAAAATCACTAAAGCACATCAACTCAGACCCAGTGAGTGTATGTGAAAGTGAATGCATGAATGACAGCGATAAAGAAAGTCAGGGAATAAAAATATATATTTAACTAACAATGCCCCAAAACAGCAGTATATTATGTAATAATGAAGACAACAACCATGTATCAGGTTTATATGAAACAATCAAATTACTGACAATAAAAAAAAATATTAAATTGCTTTTGACATGTTTTCCAGTAACAATTTCAAGTAACATCTGCACCACAGCACCATGTACGTTAGCTCTTACACACTTCATACTGTCCACCACAGTACCATTTAATATTTACTAATGGCTTACAGTACCACCAAATGTGCATTCAAACAACCCCACAAAAAATGCTCAAATATGGCACGTCAATAAATAATCAGTGCTATCAGCACAATGTCTGACATGCAAATACTAACGCAAGAAGAATGACCTCATCTAAACATTTTAAAAAAAAAGTGCATCTCAGACTTTGGCCAAGGTGAACAGATATAGTGTGACAAAAATGTATGAGTATTCTTCTGTGACATACACTGCACAACCACTAATAAGTCTTCTATTATCAGTCTTGACACTGTGAGGATTCCACACTGCACATGATCACCGTCTGGCACTATTCATGTCTGCAGGGTGGGTTGTGCTGCTTTCCCCTCTCATACTGGATCTGCCCTGCTCCCTGGCCTTCTCTGAGGGACCTGGACAGACACTTGTTGTGTCTGTGGGGGGAGAGTACGCAGAGCAGAGAAGACACATCTCCTCTGTGGCTCTGTATGCAGATGGGCTGGTAAAGCAATCTCACACCTCCCTCCAGGTCTCTCTGTCTTTCTGTGTCTGTCTCTCCTTCTAGGGGAGAAAGAAGTTGATCCGCTGGGGTATGGACTTGCATCCCTGGGCTGAGAACAGTCTCTCCTCTTTGGGGACATACAGCATCGCCTTGGCCACCTCATCCAGCGTAGCTTCATCCGTCTCCAGACCTCGTGCTGCATAGGCGTCCCGTGCACAGAGCTTGACATGGCGGTACTCCAGAGGAAGGAATGGCACAAAGAAGTCAATCAAGTGGCCGGACATCAGCTCACTCTGAGCAAACCCACCTGGGCGAAGAGAACCATAGAGACAAAATGCTAAGAAAATTACACAACTAAACTTACACCAACCAATGTTTGATATTATGATAGAAAAGACTCGCTGTAATATGAGAGGGTTGCTGGTAACACTGATCCCGGCTAGAATCAACACTCCAGTCTGCAGCTCTATGCATGCAGCTTTCAGCTACTTATCTTGGTCAATTAAAACAGTTAAGGAACTTTAAAAAAAAAGGTGTGCAGCTCACTCAGTAACAGACAAAGACACTTTCTGCCCAGGCCGAAGTAGGCCAGCACTGCAGCATACCTTGAGACTCCATAGTTTCTGCTCGTAGTCGATGCTCCAGGTCTTCCATACCGATGTCCTCTCGATTTTGACCAGAGTGCCAGAAGTCCAGCGCCACATCATTGATCGTTGCTCCACCAATATTACTGTAGAGACAACAGGCACGTCAAAACCATAATGTAAAAACTCTCCACCTGTTGACATCTGTGGAGGATTTGATTATGTCTGGTTTGGGTGGCTGCATCAATACCGTGAGGTCGTGGAAGGAGATTTTTTCATGTTTGTTTTCTTAAATATAGATTGTTCTTGGACAAATTATCACAGATTAGGGTTCACCAATAATTATCATCTTTAAATCCATTAACTTCAGATTTAACTAGCGTTACCTCGTTATTGTGATACAAATTCCTTTACTATTTTTAAGTTGGTCAAAAAAATGTATTTGAAAATGTAGTTTAATATAAATTCAACATGATTAATTAACATGTGCTTTTGTATATTTTAACTTACCATAGTGTTTTACTTATCCCTCTCCATCATATCACTGTATTACAACGATGTAGTGAAAAATGGGTTTCTATATTTGACTTTACAGATAATCCGTCAACCGAAATTGGAGTAATTGAAAACATGAAAAATCCACAAAGAGGACTAATGGAGACAGAGGGAGAAACATCTTTCATCGCAGATGAGCTGCCAGAGTACCTGGGCCAGAGGTTGCAATACATTTCTGAGTGGTAGTGACTTTCCAGCTTCAACAGACAGGACGTGCCTGATATATAAACCAACCTGAGGAAGAGGAAGAGAGCTCTGCGGTAGCTGGTGCCATCTACATTGTCATAGTGATCCATGTAGGGTTTGATGGCATCGATGAGACCTGGGTGAAGCTTCTCAGCCTCATCAAAGATAAACAGAGTCTGAGGGCAGCGCAACACCATGTCGCGGATCGCCTCTCTCAGCTGGCCCTGGATACAGGGAGGAAGACCAAATGAAAAAAAAAAAAATCACTAAAATCTCTAGATCTAGAAAAGAAAATGAAGACAACATTTCTTTTTACTCTGTTAATGTTTCAAGACAAGCAAAGCTTAAGTTTTAAGTGAAATAAATAATTTGAGTTTCACATTTTATAAAGAAAGATATTAAAGTAAATTATCGCTGTTATTGTAGCCAAAACCCCATAAAAATAACTAATTCCAACTGACATTAACATTACAGAAAAAAGCAGAAGAATTTGTACTCTGCTACGTCTTGTACAGCCATATTTATCTTTTATAAACATGTTTTTGCTCTATATAGAAATTACTTTTTTATTAATTTTACTTTTGAGACAGGTTAAAAACTAATTTCCATCTCACTTCAGTCATGTGGGTTTTAGAATTTATTATTAACCTTTAACCAACTACATCTAATTTATAAGAGAGATACATGGCACACATGTTCAGAAATCCAGTCCACATGTAGGCTACTGTGTCAACAGTACTTGGAAATCTAATGCAGTCATTGTGTAAAAATGTGTTTAAATGGGTCCTGTGACCTGGTTGGAGAGACACCAGGTTCCAAAAAGCCATGTATGTTAGTACTTGTAAGGTCAATGTTTGATTTGAAGCACTCCTCATTCTGCTGCATTACAACACACAGTCGTTTCGCAAGCGGGGGTCCCAAAGACCACTGCCAGCAACTCTGTGCCAAGAGGGCTCTGCATGTCTTACCTTGTACGTGTCCACCAGTCTGGCGTGTGGGAAGTGGAACGGGGCGATGAACAGTCGGACACACTCACTCTTCACCCCGTCACGATACAGGTTATCGGCGATGATCCGGGCCACAAAGTTCTTGCCGGTGCCGGACCAGCCATGGAATGAGAGTGTCAGTGGCTTGTTGGACTCCGGGTTGTTGATAAAACCCTGGATGGCTTTCAGAACCACAGACTGAGCCAGGTGCTGCCCATGGAGCCTTGTTTGAAGGTCTCTCGCCAGACCTGCACATGAGCGCACGCTTAAAAATGACACTGTAAGATAACAGTCCTATCACAGATGCATCGCTCTGCCTAAATACTAAAATTTGTTTTTACAGTATATATATATATATGTGTTTCTTTAAAATATGTGATTCACCTGCTTATACATTTAAGGGCCCAAAATGCTTTTTAAAATTTCATTTTATTTTTTATTTAAGGGACAGTGCATATTAATGAACATATTAGCTTTTCAGCAATGTAAATATGCCAGATTTAGCCCAAAGGCTATTTTCCATCTGTCCCTTGCAGGTCGTCACAAGGTACAAAGCAACACAATTAAACATTAAATTAAATATATAATACAACACAGGAGGACAGCTGTAGGGAGTTTGCGCTATCTATAACCTGGAGTGATTGGCATAATCATGCATGCCATATAATATGCAGTAGTCTTTGCTCGGTTTGTTGCTAGAGCACATGAAATTATATTTAGGTTGAGAAGCTATTCCATGTATCTCAGTCCTGCTCAGCATAAACAGCATGTTGCTACAGTCAAGCAGACATATTCATTGGAGTTAATCTAAATCATCTAAAGTCTCTCTACAACTCAATGAAGCCAAGCAGCAGCTGTGCTCTGGTCCAAACTCAAATCTTAAAGCCAAAATAATAAAGAATTCTTTACTTTCTTTATCATTTTGTTTTCCTTAGGGTGAAAATTTTTCCCAAACACAATTAAACCATTAAAATTCAGGGTTTGGAGAAAAGCTGAATTACACATCAGTCTGACCTCTTGTAAATACCATTATTATAATACACACTCATGCACAGGGCCATATAAGACATGCCAACCACAGGGCTGGAGTGTGATACCTGTAATGTTGTTAGTAATCCTGCAGTCTCCAGATTCGCAGCACTGGCCCAGGCTACAGTACCACTGATGCAGCAGGCTAACGTAGTCCTGAGGGAAACCTGCCCAAAGGTCCCTGATAGGAACTGCTCACATCAACAGCAAAACAACGAGTCAGTGCTGTAACCACTTAGTAATAACACATATCACGAGTCAAGCATGTATGTCAACAAGAAATGGCTCTATGTGACATGCAGCTAGCGTTATACAGGACAGCATAGAAATGGTGGTCCAGTATTAACGTTACATAATACCTTCGTTGCTGTATCGTTTCATGCCTCTTACCTTGCTGTGTAGCATCATCCTGGTTGGGCTGACAATCGCCTTCCCATATATTACAATAAATATAATTAAAATAGTAAGTGGAAACATTGGAAATTCTGTCGAACTGGAAGAAGTTGGCCTCCGCGGACCGAGCCCAGAGCAAAGGCAGCAACAACCGCGCAAACATGAGTGAAAAGGCTGGTCCGAGGCGGTGGAAACGAGACAACGCCGCGTCCCGATCTCGCTTTCCCATCTAAACCTGGCGACCTGCTGAGTGTGGGATGTTTACCCCCTCTCGCCTGGGCAGCGAAAGAGGGGCGCTCGTTTTGCTTGCGTGTACTGCTACTTAGCTCCGCCAGTCTTCAAAGGGATTGCTATTGCCTACCTCGGGGCATTTACTACATTCCACTTATATGGAGTAAATCAAATGGACACATAGCCGTTAAAGTTAGTGTGAACACTGCACCCGCCCCTGATACACCCAGGTGTACAAAAACTCCTCATATTTGGCAAAGAGACTCCAATGAAACCGCAAGTGTTCAATTGCTAGTTGCGTCATTTCCGTGATGTTATGATAGTCATGGACAAAGTCCTAAGTGGATTTTACACAGTGTATTTTGGTGACAGTTTCAGACGGTTGTAGGCTTATTTGTTCGATGACAAATAAAACATGTTTTTATATGAAATTCCTGTTTCAGCTGTGCTGTTTGAAATCCAAATGCGACAGCGCCACCCCGCGGTGGTTAGTCGGCTTTACCTCTGCCTTCACAGCGTTATTTCCATTCAGTACATATCGTTAGTCTGTCCAGTTTTGTTGAACCGACATCTAGCTCATGACACATCCTTCTGGCTGATCTGCATCAGTGTATTTGGCCGAGTACATTTAGTGACCATCATGTACTAGAAGCCTGTAGGGTGTTGGCCAAGACCTTTACACAGTCATTTGTACCACCATGTTACAGCAAAATGTGCACTTTACCAGTGCCATTTAATTGGTCCTCTATTAAAAAAAAAAAAAAGACAAAGAAACATTGTTTTAATATTTATTGACACATTACACCACATGTACTTCATAGTGATGTTGTTCAGACTCTGGTCACTATCCAAACAGCAATGCATCTGAGAAAGAAGGTTTAACAATTATTACAGGGCAATTCCCTACCCCACCCCCATCATGATACTCTTGTAAATCTGCAAGCTTACTCAGTTGAGGATAGCATCCAGGTTGCACCATGGGGCCCAAGGTCTTCACTGCATCATTAAGAGAACATACATGTCTCATTAAAATCAGAACCAACACCACAACACAGGAAGTTTGTTTAGACCACACAACCTCAGACAAAAATGGAACGGTAAGGGATATAATCATGAGCATCATTTGGCAGAATCTTTTCATCATAGGTGGTGGCCAATATTGTGAGATGTCACCCACAGAATCAGAAATCTTGAAGACTGAACATGGACACCTGCTTACCAGAGGTCAGCCTGAGATCCAGCTCTTTCCTGAGATGGGAGGGAAAAATATATATATAAATTACAAGTCCGTGACTGGTTGATTAAAGCTCAAGTCACTTGGTTACTCAGTAACAGATTGTCCACATTTTAGTTCAGGTCAGACATTTGTCAATACATCACTGAACCCATAGCAGCCATTTTGTATTTGCAAAACCTGCAGTCTCACCTGAGTCCATCTCATTTGCTCTTCAAATGAGCCTCTGAAGGGAATAGTAACCTGAAGAGACACATAGCATAAGGTCAATATGCACACCAAACTGTGGGATAAACAGTCACACTGACCACATCAGCTAGAGCTAATTGAAGTGACTCCATAGTTTATAGTCAGTCTTCACTTATCATCACACAGGTCAGTCTATGGGGATCAAATAAGGGTTGACAGCAACCGAGATCCAACTTACATGTGCAACTCTTTCAGACCCAGATGGTTCAATTTTGGTACCAAGCTGTGATTCATTTGTGCAGAAGCGCTACTAGTTTAATATCAAAAACATGACTCAAGTTTGATAAGTCATGCTACTGGTCATCTGGGTCTGATGTGCTTCGTTGCATCAATACTCACCATGCTTGCAAGTCAACTTGTCCTCATGAGTAAATCCCACTTGTTCTGCAAAGTCAGAACAGTTTCATGTTAATTATGTTATATCTATAAGAACCTTGTTTCACTATTAACAAAGCAGATCAGAATAAATGACTAACTTCCTCAACTGGATCAGAGACCTGATTCACATTCATCACATCTGAATGATATTTGATTTAGAGTCCAAGTATGTAATGCACTTACCAACACAAAGCTGTTATGATTGACAGCAATGTTTTACATATCTGGATGGGACAAGACAAGACCTTTGTCATTAACATGCTTCAAACACTTGAGGGACAAGTTGACAGTTACAGTTGACACATCAGCTAGGAGCGAAAGACAATACATGTTCTTCATGGTTCATCTGCTGAACTATGCACTCATCATTGTATCAAGTGTCATTGTTGTTGCAAGTCTGACTTCCAACTCACCGTTCTTTGGCTTTTTGTACTGCCAGACAGCTTCTGAAAAAGGAGTAGACAATTAGTAATCACTTCATAAATTAAGCTGCCTCACCAGTATCAACAGCTGACATCTCAGCTAGGAGCGAAAGACAATACATGTTCTTCATGGTTCATCTGCTGAACTATGCACTCATCATTGAGTCAGGCCATTTTGTTTTATTAAAAAGGGATGTTTAAGAGCACAAAATTAAACTCACTTGTTTTTAATCCAAGAATATTAAGTCTGGATCCATGATGAGCCATCTGAAAGTCAAACACCAAATGTTAATATAAGCCCAAATTTTAAGTATGCAGGCATTTCTTAAACAGCACTGCATCAGTTAAAAGTAATCTTTCATTCTTTTTCAGAGAGATTCCCATTGTTTTGTAAACAAAAGTCATCATTGACAGTTTGTGTTGAGATTGAGAAGCAAACATAGGTTGTCCCAGTACCTGCTCCAGGTGCTGACTGGTCAAGTTAGCCAATCCAAGTGCACCTACAGGAACACAACATAAATTAGCAAGCCAACACATCTTAGGAACTACTAGGTCTCAAGTTCTGTGCCTCAGATAGATCAACTGGTGGGTTGAGATTATCGTCATCCATCTTGTCGAGAGTAGCAAATAAGAGTCATCACAGCAGCACAGGGAAGACTTGCAACCCAAGACAGACTGATGCTTCTCTGGGTGTCGCAATGCAGACAGTACAGCCAATTTGTTACTCTGCATCCATTAGACACTCAAACAGCTAAGTGTATTCAACCATGGGTCTACAACTGAGGGGACTCATGCACGGATGTCAATTTGATATGATATAACTGATTAAAGTTATGTTTAGTGTGCATTTTAAATCTCCTTTGCCATACCGACGGCACAAAGTCAGTCTTTACATTAACTACCTAACACTACAATTCTTAGTGGGGTCAAGCACAGCCATCAGACACAATTTTAAACTACTGCCTAAGGTGTGATGCAAGCACAGACATCTACTGTTGTGAGAGTTAGCAACAACTCCGGACACCTCAGAGAAGCATAAAGCAATCTTAACTACCATTCAGAACTTGATCCTCACCTGCTCAAGTGCCTCCCAGTGCTTTGTGTCTTGAGGCCTGTGGAGATGCACTTTAGTAAAATACTGGTACATGTGTTACAGTGCAAACACACTATAGTGTCAAGTCTCAGGGTGAAATTGCTCAGAAATCACTTCTGTCCACTACTCTTATACAAAATCATCACCGACTTAGTGTTAAATTAAGTAGATTTGGGTTTATTTAACTCACCAGCATGACACTTTATGCAGTTCAAGACTTAAAGTGATCTTCCTGAACCTGAAGAAAGGAAAGCACTTGTTAATGTTGCACTTCTTGCAGGCTTTTAATCTGATGAAAGAAAGTGCAGCATATAGGCCTACTTTAACTTTCAAAGCAACGTATGGTTCCTTACCATGTGGCGTCCATCTTCATTTTATAGCGAGCCTGTAGACAAGCCTGCAAACAAAAGACCGATACATATACAGTCAGTAACTTAGTTTTAATCTACGCAAGTTATTTAAGGTTTTAAATATCAAGTTATGGATAAAAATAAGCTGTAGGCCTACACCCAGTAGCTAACAGCACAGAAGCTGTTAGCTAAAAGCTAACGTTAGGCTACAGCTATTTTAAGACGTTGTCCCATGTGGTCAGAAGAGTTGGCGTTTCTTCAGGTTTACTCAGATGTCCCTACCAACATTTATTTCATCATGTATTCATGGGACAGTGATATAGCTAGGTTATTGTAGAATAATAGTGAAAGACTCGCTAGTTAGCATCGCAACATGCGCAATGAAGCAGAAGGCCTCCGCCACGTGCTTCATAGTAATTCACATTATTTCAATCACGAAGAAGTGTTAAAGAAAAAAAACACAGCACAGGCTTAGAAGAATAACTATATGCATGTAATACCCCGCTTTCAAAGTTAAAAACTCAATAACTTCACGACAGTAAAGCAGATAAACACACTTGCACAGAAAAAACATAATTACCTGATCCATGAAACGAGGAGTGAGGCCAGACAGACGGTGCACAGCCTTTTTATAGGGGATGTCACAAAGGATGATGGGAAAAATTTATGCAACGACTAGCGCCCCTGTTGGTCATGTTGAAAACAAAATATTAAAATAACTATTTTTTAATTCACCGCCATTTATTTATTGACATTATAAACAGCAGTTAGACTAAAACAATCTTAACTCGGGTCCATCAGGGTTAATTATTGTTTCTGGGGCTCTCAACCCCATCTCACCATCTTCCTCAGTGCACGGAGTTTGCATCATTACTGAGCTAAGTTAAATCCTTCTGCTACATGCGGTTGAAAGTTCTAGGGGGGGAAAATACTATATGGACCTACAGGTAGCCTACGTTTATTTTTATTTTCTTTGGTCAGTGTAAATTAAATAAACTGAAACTCAACGTTAACTACACTGTACATTGTGAAATTGCACAAAGTAAACTTCAATTCAATTCAGCATTATTGGCATGAATGTCAGACAACAATATTGCCAGCTTATGATACAAAAGTAGCCTACAATTAATTTCATACAGTTCATTAAATAAAGTAAATAAAACAGTAAAAGTGTGTGTTTCCATCCATCCATCGTCAAACCGCGTATCCTGCATACAGGGTCGCGGGGGGCTGGAGCCAATCCCAATTTACATCGGGCGAAAGACCATCGCAGGGAAGTGTGTGTGTTTGTGTGTGTTAAAATAAAATAATAATAATAAACACTGTGTGTGTGTGTGTGTGTGTGTGTGTGTGTGTGTGTGTGTGTGTGTGTGTGTGTTGTGAATTCAATTTAAACTTTGTCTTATTAAAATGTAAAATATAATCCCTTTCTGTTTACTCATAATTGTGCTGAATCTACAGTTGATGCGTATCAGATTTTCTGACAATGATGCTACTGAGCTTAGTGTACTTGCAAAGGCTGGATTTCAAAGTTGCCAACTGCCCTAGATTTATTGGAGTTCAATAATTTAATTATCAAGTGCATAGAATTTAGTAGGGAAGGTACCAATTTCCAGCGAAAAAATCTAGTTTTAAAAAGATTACTTAAGTTTTTATTGTGCTGACATGGTGCATGATCTCTACGCTTACTATAATCTAATTGACACACAGAAAACTTGAGATGACCAGTTAGTGTTCTTATAACATATAGGTTGGTCGCTGGATGAATAAGGCAGTTACATACACTGCTCAAAAAATGAAGGGAACACTTGAATCACAATGTCTGGCGATGCTCCTGATGATAAGGCAGATGGTGTCCTGGGGGATCTCCTCCCAGACTCTCTCTCTGGCAGAGCTCCTTCTGTTCATCCTCGCACAAAGAGCGGGTCCTGCTGCTGGGTTGTTGCTGTTCAGCTCTCCTTGTGTAACAGCCTGTCTCCTGATATCTCCTCCATCCTCTTGAGACTGCTGGGAGACACACCAAACCTTCTTGTGACAGCACTATGGATGTGCCATCCTGGAGGAGCTGGACTTCCTGTACAACCGTAATGGGCTGCAGGTACCACCTCATGCTACCAGTAGTGACAAGGCCACCATCAACATGCAAAACTAGAGAACAATCAGCCAGGAAGGATAAGGAGAGAGCAATTGTCTGTGGCCATCGCCTGCAAAACCGAAATTCCCTTTGGGGGGTTGTCTTGCTGTTGCCTCTCCAGTGCACCTGTTGTCACTTTTATTTGCACCAAAACAGGTGACATTGATTCACAATAGCAAACGTTTCCTAACTGGATAGATTGATTTCCCTAATGTTACACTGTGATCATTAGGTGTTCCCTTATTTGTTTTGAACATTGTAGTTTGCCATGTGCACTGTACTTAATGGGATCTTGAGGGTTAACAGGGTACATCCACACACACATAAGGTGGGGGCCTAACAGCAATGCTCAGGGATGGCATGTTCACCCTGCATGCTTGTCTGAAATAACCATGACAATATCTTGCAGGAATACACTCATGGAGATTTAATATTATGCATCAATAAACAGGAAAATCTGATACAATCAATTGTTATGATCAAAATGAAATAAAAAATACATTTTGATAGCGCTCCATCAGGCGATACGGAGTGATACTGAAATGTATGGCAAGGCCTCGATTCAATATAATTTACAAAGACAAAACATGGAGGAACAAAACAATAGCTTCAAATTTAGCTTGGACTCGAATTTCATGTGGCTTGTTTCTAAACGCATTTTTGTACGCTTTAGAGGAGGGTTAAATTCAACAGCTGAAATACAGGTATCAAGATTTTTAAATTGTATGGTCACTTTATGTGTAGTAAACACTAGGAATATGTTTGTTTTATATAGCCCATCACCACATTAAATGGTTTTAATATTCATTTAAATCAACCAGATTACTTTTCATACAGGCAAAATATCTAGAACACACAATAATCAAATCTCGAATGTTAACCAGAAAGACAACAAGGGACTCTACAGCATTAACTGATATTCTTGGGCATTTTCAGGTAAAATCTTTATTTTTCCATTTCATCCAAATATCATTGCATTCAGATCAAACTATGTAGCTGTAAATAAGAGAATGAATGATGGTTCAAAAAAGCAGAGGTGTACAGTAGGATAAATATTGCCCTCTATGTGGTTGCCATCTTGAAAAACACTGGACAAAAATCACACGCAGTTTACAAGAAAACTGAACCCGGTAGCACACAGTCTGGACTCTAGCAGCACTATGAAACAGCAGCAGTTTCAAAAGTCTACTCTGGCTCATCGTTTTCAGACAAGAGTTTACCATCCAGGAGTCCACTTCGACATCTGTGTGTTTGGAGATGAAACAGGTGATGTGTGGAACAAAAGGGAGACTTTGCAGACTCAGAGCTAGTCTCACATCCTCATCATGGACCAGTGATTTATAAAGACAAAAATATGTAAACAATCATTTGTTCATAAATGCCTTCAGGTAACATGGAAACATTTCTAGAGGATTGATTGTTCTCTGTCCAGATCAACACCCCTTGAGCCTTTTATCTAAACCTTTTTGGCATAATCGACACCCACATCTCTATATTGCATATATTCCATAACTATCATGACTCTCCCAATCAGGTTGTTCAGATGGCTTATTTAGAGCGTTGTCTGGTTAACACTTGAGCCAAAAACAAAAAGAGTCACAAAGTTAATTTTAAATGGGAACAAAACCTCAAAAGGGTGAATGGAATGATTCCTAAAGATGTAAAGCCATCAAGTTTATATTCTCAAATATTTTACACTATTGCCAGAAAGAAAAACAAGAGCATTTAAAATAAAAAAGAATATATATTTATATATCCATCATATGTATATAAACAACAGTTACAACTAGTTGCAGGCAAGCGGAGAATTCCTCCTCCGCCGCTTTAAGATTCATCCATTCCACCGTTATAAGGCTGTCAGACTCTCGGAGGGGGCAGCAGCTTTCATTCCTCAGTCACCAGATTCCCTGAGATGTAGAGCGCCGTTTTTATTTATTTATTTGATTTGAACACCATCAACCACACACCCCTTGCTACCCCCCCCTACCCCATTAAAAACCGTTTGTGTAGGGAAACGAGTGCTGCTCTGGCTCGTCCTGTGGAGCTGATGAAGGGTGCGGTCGTGAAATTGACGGACACAGTTGTGAGACGAGACGCGTCGACCCTCCCGTCTCCACTTTGCGCTGCCGAGTCTCATGGTGGCGGGTGGTGTGTATCGGTGGAAGTGACATTGCCCAAATAAGGAGAGGAGCTTTACTAATTTTCATGTTACATCTTAGATGCTTTTCCATTGGATTTCATTCATTTCCATATTGTTATTTTACAGTCAAATGCAAAGCTGTGTACATGTTCAATCATCAGTCATTCCAAGGCTTGGAAAAGAAGTGGTTTTGCAAAAGAGTTCTTATGAAGACTCTGTTGTGTGTGCATTTCTTTATGCATATGTATGTATGTGCGTGTATCAGAGTGTGCACATTGTTCTCAGTGCCTCTGAGAGGCTAATCTCTTTAATAGAGGCTCATCGTAGACCCAGCACTCCCCGTCCTCATGGAATAGCTGCAGAAACACACCAGCAATAACAATTAGACTCAAATGTTTGAAACGAATATATAAGATCCAATAAAACAACAACATTATCTGACATTTCTGATATTGATCAACACTGATCCTTGTCTACTGGTGAAATAGAGGTGTTTGATCTGTCACATTTCAAGGATGGGATGCAAAAGATGCATGTTAATGCCTTAGCATTTTGTGAGCATTATGTTCATGTTCTTTGTGGTGGGTGAAGAACAGGCAGACAGCCTCACCCTGGTCTCCCATTGCTGCTCGTTCTCCTTCCTCTCTCTGGCTTCGCCCCTTTGTTTCTCCTCCAGCCGATGTTTGGCATCTGTTGCTGCATCAATGTCTTTCAGCTTCAGGTTCAATGTCACATCTCTCCACAATCTGATGAATTAAAAAGGGGGTGAAGAAAATCAAACACTCAAAGAAAGTTTATTTCTGAGTGAAGGACTTTGTCTCTGGGTCCTATGTCCCATGATACGCAAGACTGTTCTCACCTTCGGGACTCGTAGTCGAGCTGGTCTTCCAGCTTTCTCACTTTCTTCTTAACGATGCCTATCCTCTTAGTGTCTATGAACACTGTGTTCTCCTAGAAACACAATAAACACATTTATGTATTAATGCATGTATTTGTTTTAGGCAGTTATTCCCCGGTGCAACGAATGCCTACATTTTGTTTTGGTTCAACTAATGAGTTATTGCTTTTGTGCCTCAAGTAATTTTTCATTAATATGTAGCCCCCACCGACAAATAAAAAAAGAGAAGAGAAATGGGGAAAATGAAAATAAAGGACTCACTCCAGTTGCCCACTTGGCATACATCACTCCGTTCCATTCTCCTTCAATGGAGCAGAAAGACTTCTTATCATTAGGTGGACTGAAAGACAAAAAGGAAACAATAATGATATATTTCATTAAAAAGGGCAGGGTCTTTCATCCAATATCAGACTGTAAAATGTGATTTCAGTTGTATTGTGCAACCATTTTCCTCTTACAAAATCTCAGCGGTGATCCTGTGCTTCTTTCCACCGTAGAAGGGTTTGGTGTGGAACACGATGTTAGCACTATAGCCCGACTTGGAGCAGGAGATGTTGCACTCCCCACCCAGCTCCACCCACGGCACAGTCAGAATCGACCTGGACAGACAGGCTCGAGTTAGTGAAGCACACATTAATGACCAGATGTGATTCATTGGTGACACGGACAGACGGTAGGATTACAGTAACACGCACCTGCCATATCCGTTAGGGAAGGTGAGGATGTAGTGTTCATCGTGCTCCAAACAAGACACACAACCTAAAACAAGACCAGAGAATGATTATTACAACCATGTGAAGTTGTGGCAGTAAAGTGTGTCAAGATTCAGATTTTGGAGTGTATGAAGAGGTGCTCTCGAGTACCTTGGCCAATATTGTGGACACCTATGGACATGCCTAAGAATTTAGACTTAGTCCAGATATGAGCGTTGAACTGGATCTTCTTACTTAAACACTCTGCATAGAATGCAGAAACTAAAAAAGAGGAGAGAAAATAAAGTGACAACAACTCAGTAAAAGAGAAAATGCGGCAAACAAGCAATAAGCTTGCGCCATTAAAACTTTGTCAAACAATTTCATTAATATTTAAAAAATTAAGATAAGTCTACATGTGATCAACAGCCTGTATTTTGCTTTCCAAGTATTTTAGCCTCTAAAATGATGTAAAAAATTAGTGGTTCATGGTGACTTTCAAAAAATGATCAGTGTCCATCAGGGTTTTCTTGAGCCTACATGTCAAATGGTTTAAAAAGTGCTGTGTTATTGCTCAGAAGAAAATGGTTTGACACTCACTGGGTGGGTGGTGAGAGACCTGCTCTGCCACAAACTGCACACTGTTTGCTGAGGACCATGGAACTGGACCGTCCGATACCGTCTCCTGCAGGGTGGAGGACAGGAGACGGATTCAGAATAGACAGAGAATGGCGCTTTTTCATGTTACACATATACAAGATATGAAAAACTCAATAAATTTTGTAACTATGTAAACAACATTAAAATGAAGGTGTGGTGGTGTGTGCTATAAAAGGTATATTTTTAAAATTATTTTACAACACAGGTTTGTATAATGATATAAAGTGGACACCAGTCTGTTCAATTAAGTTCATATTTTTTGAAATGCAATAAATCAGGCATTGTTTAACATTAATCTGTGGTGAAAAGATGAGATTCAGTACCACAGCTGATTTTATTTCAGCCACAAAAGCTAATTTTCATTGTCCAAAGTAGTCAAGAACCAACTAGGGCTGCAGAGGCATGCGGTCTCACCGTTTGGGGGGGAGGCTCCTCGGTTTCGCTGGGTAGATCCCAGTGGCAGTAGAAGACTTCTCCCAGGATTGGGTTGTAAGGTTTCTTGGCCACTGAACCTTTCCTCCCTGCATGGAAAGCTGACAGGTACCACTTTACCACATGCACCATGCGCTCCCGGGGCTCCGGCTGCTCAGCGATACTAGTGGAAGTCCAAAGATTGAGTTAACCTACATAATGTTTTACCATTTCTGAATTTTTTTATATACTTGTATATATCTGTGATACAATAGCTTGAAGTAATGAGAGAGATGACCGTTACCTTACAAATAAGTCAGGATGTGCAAAGAAGTCTGCGTACATTTCTAACAAAGACCTCCTTTCTAGGATGAAGGTAGGCAGGACCACCTGTGAAATATAATGAAGGAGAAAACTGTTAAAACTGTAGCTGCGTGGGTTGTTCAAAAGACACAGCTTGCACAGATGATGTTGGCGAGTAAAAGGACTAAAAAGGACCACTGCAGTGAGGGAAATTTAGACAGAAAAAAGAAAGCAGGATCACAACGAAGCATGCTGGTCAGGGGTCCTTTACCTTAGTGAGGTCCATGCCCAAACGAACTTGAGAGAGAAGATGCATGATGACGCTCTTGTGCTCCTCCACAGACTCACCTTCGCCGTCATCATCACGGTCATCGTGGCTATCAAACGGGTCTGAAGACAAAGCAACACAGGACAGGTCTCATATGGTTGTAATAACATTAAATTTAATGGGGGAAAACTGTTGTACCATATTTGTGTACGTATCGTGTGCTTTCCCTTTTTACCTGCATCTGTGGTGCCGTTGGACATGGACGAGTTGAGGGACTCGTTTGTGTCTGGTCGTTTCAAACCTGTTACCTCATTAGTGAGGGATGAGGCAGCCGCGGGCCCTGAGGGACTGAGGGGAAAGAGGAGGAGATAGAGGAAGCGGAAAGGGGGCAGGAAGCAGGAGAGATAAGGAGATTTTACAGAAAGTTTTGTTGCAAACTTCTCTGGCTTTATTCGCCTGAAGCAGCATTTTCCCACCAAACCTGCTGAAGGCGATAATTACACTGTTACTTTCAAGCTGTAAAGCAATAGATTCACTGTATGCAGTGATGGTTGCGGGGAGGCGTGGTCATACTGTACTCACTCTATGCAGTGTTTGGGGGAAGTGGTGCTCTGGTAGAACTCGTCAGCATCGTAGAACTCATCCTCACTCGAGGAATAGGAGAAGTCCGGCACCGAGTGTGAGGGGAGGGGCATGTGAGCCGGGGAGGAGATGCCACTGCTGGGGCCAGACGGGCCACTCCCTGAAAGAGGAAAAAATATATAGAATCAAACATTGTGCATCATGTCATGGTTCTCTTGCAGCATTTTCCTTTTCATTTTATGGATCTATTTAATTAATAAAGAGTCCTTTATTCATCTATCAAATCAACATGTTGTCAAGCCGGCTGTGTACAGTAGAATTAAGTAGTCTTTAACATGGCGACAACCTCCTCTGCAGAGCAATTTGACAGGGCTGTTGAGCCTGCAGCCTGACTCCTTAGAGCACAGCGCAGCATTTTATAACTGCTGCCTCAGCACAGAAGACAAACAGGCATGAACCTCTGCTTTCCCTTGCCTTTTTTATTTACGTAATGTTCATGGACACAGCATTCCAGGTTGGAGAAGTACAGCAATAATTAATATTATAACATTTCCTCTTGTGGTTGAGTCCTTATCACATTAGCTTCATGGTGCAGGTAAATGAAGGGTCCAACAGGCTCTATGCATCTTGTAATCTTTAGAGGAATGTGTAATTCAAATTAATTAGTGGCAGAGCTCCCAGCACTGTGATATCACTGGCTGCAAGAGGGAAGTGAACTTTCACCTGTGCTGTTGGGAGTTGGGGTCTGCAGACTTCCCATCACCGTGACAACGGGACCAACGGATAACGTGGAGGGTCGTTGGTCGGATTTACACACCTGAGAAGCGTCTTCAAACAAAAAGAGAAAATAGAGTTAGTGCTGAAGCCTCATAATGAAGCCAAAAACATAAAAAAAAGGAAAAAAAGAAAAAAGAAATCCAGCGGGCTGAGAAAATGATCTGAGACGCGTCAGACGGTGGATTCAGCTGTGAGCGGGATTAAACGGTCTATTAAGAGACCGAAATTAGATTGGCCTACTTTGCATGGTTAATTTTCACATTTAAAAAAAAGAAAAACTGTCTAGTCACAGTCAACGGACCAAAAATGTTGTCAGATCTTAGTCATACCACGTGATTAAATTTAGTAAATTGTATTATTTTCTGACTAAAATGTCTGTAAACATAATCACAACGAAGAACAGGAATCTGCTTCAACACAGAACTGCATTAATACATTCATTTTCAGGTGAATTATGCCTAAAGAATTAACTATGATCACATCAATACATGTAATAACCATAATGCATCTAATGCGACTGCACCCTGCTGTAGATCTTCAAGTGTCAGGAACTTGTATCAATTTACCTTCAAAACACTGAAAGAACATTTAATACATTCATCAAAACCCTGAATGATATTGATATTGTCAATATGCTTCAGGTTTCATCCCCGTCTTTAAACACTAGAGTATAAAATGTTGCTGAGGGAAAAAATATTAACTCATTATGATCATTTGTCACGAAGCCCTTCACACAGAGCCGATAAATCAACTTGAGGAGACTAAGATGTGAACAACAGGGGGCGGTGTTGTCAACCTCTCTGGATGATGTTGCACAATCACAGTGTTTAAAAGTGTTTAAGAAATGGTGTGAAGGCAGATGTCTGGAACCTGTGGGTAGTGTGGTCTGTGTTGGCATCGTGGTGTTGTCTACGGGGGTGTCCAGAGGGGGCTGGTAGATCCCATCCACTGGGTTGATGGTGCTCTGAAGGAAACAAACAAAAACAACTCTATATGCGACATCAAACACAATAGCACACCCACTGCCTGCTTACTAATCTAAAATTTTCTTTAACATCCAATAAACCTTGAGATAAGAATCCAATACGGCAAAATATCTCTATAAACTAGTCATACAGGAAAACAACTTATATTTCAATATCTAGCTACAATATGACTAGCCTTGTTTAACAACACCTATAACAAATGTGGCTACATGCTAAACCACAGTGAAAAACCATTTCCTTAAAACATCAAAGCCAGATGTCACCAAATTCACAGCTTGTGCATCGGTTATAGATCGGCTTAATGGTGTAGCTACTCCACAACAAGAACAGTGAAATAAAATATGCACCATCCAGCGCAGGAAGATCAATTTACTTTCATTCCATTTCCTGTAAAGAGTGGCGTGCTTCTAGGTTTCATTAATCTAATCAATCAGAAACCAGCAACGGTTTGAAATCCAAACGCCAGCAATAGCTTTATACAATAACGAACAGCTCTTCTTGAACTCTGAGCAACCTTCTAGTCTAAAAAGGAGTTAATTAACTCCACTGGGCTGCAGACTAAATCAGCACCATGTTTTAACTCTCCGGCACTTGATCTCCCTAGAGTAAAAACCCGTGGGGACAGTCGTATCTGCAGTGGCTTGCCCTCACCAGAGCCACCTTTACATCATGTGTCTATGCATTTGAAAACAGGCTCAGTGTAATGGGGTGACTGGCACCAATGACCCAACTGACAGGAACACTGAAAACGTAAAGCAAAACAATATCGACCCCCATTCCCCAACAAGTTACCCCTCAGGGCTCTTGGTGACACTAAAATTAGATCCAGTCAATGTGACGTGTTATCTTGTTAGTCAAAATTGACCTGTAGTCTGTGATTTTTACAGCTTTTTTTTTTTCCTAGGCAAGTTTTGATGAAGTCATTTGAGATGCACAGGAACAGGCACGTAATGTGAAGCCATGGTTGTTTTTCTGAACGGCAAATTTTTCCTTTAAAAATACTACTCTACGGATTTGGAAATGACTCTCTGATCTTGTTTTTGTTCTTCTGTTTCTTTGTGCCACCAAAGTGTTTAATGGTAAACAAAAGGCAAGTTCAGATCAGAGGTATCATGCAGAGACGCTTGGTCTGACATCTCAGCCCTCCTCTGTTCCCACTTCTGTCTTACCCTCAAGCTTCCTTCCTTCCTCCCTCCCTCCCTCCCCTCCGCACTGCCCAGATACTTGCCTACTAGTCCACGTGCCTTCATGAAAGTAAGGTGAGGGCTACTAATTATAGCCAGTTGTCGTAGCAGAGCAAACCTTAACTAATCATAGAGCATAAATTGTTTTAACAGATATATGCTGAACAGATATCTGGTGGACCTGGATTTAAATGATTCCTGCACTTTAGGGCGCAGTGCTCAACAAGGTCAATTAAACATGGTCCTGGTGGTCTATAGTGCATTCATTATTTGATCCACATTATAGGTATACAGGCAACATGACAGACATTTAGACCTTCTAAAGCTGCAAAGACAGCTGTATCACAAAGATTATGGCATACAAAAATGTGCAGTTAGACGGCGCTTATGCTGTGCTATTTACACTACATAATACTGTGCTTAATGACTATGAGATTAAGTCTACTGTAAGAGCCACAGAGGCCTCTGTACGGCCCCTGTGGGACTCTTGCTTCAAGGACCACACTCATTCTATTTAAACATTACTCTTGCCTATATGCCTTTTTAAATGTATACATTAACCATTTTCCCCAGCCTTTGGCAAAAACAATCAAAAAAAATTCTCCATCATTAGAATATCATCTATAATGGTCAGCCATTGTTTGTAATAGGGTGCATCGGTTTTGAACCAGTTCTTGGTGACAGCCTTCTTTCCGTCAGTGAGAAGTATTGGTCTCCTGCGTATACATTTCCCTCCCTGTTTCCCAGGCATAAAACAAGACAAGACTGGGGGATTTTGTAACCCAATATCTCACACAAAGTCCCACAAAGGTTGTATTTTTATACAACTCCAAAAAAAAAGGTGTGATTTGTTTCCATGTGGTCACATAGCCTCCAGCATGGTTGTTGAAGACTAATTTTTTTACTTAACTTTTGGGGTGATGAAGTAACGATTTTGATTCTTCCAAATAAATTCTCTCCAGCTCTGTGATTGTGTAGCAGTCTGGTGTATTTTCCACATATCATACCACCATCTCATCATTTTTTTAAATCTCTTCATTCACTCCTTTCTCCCATTTAGCTATAACATATAGTAAATGTTGAATCCTTTTCTGAGTCCTGATTTGTTAGACCTTATGTGTTCTTTAAAACTTGAAAGCTTCTCATTTCAACATCTTTCCCACCAACTCTTTAAATCTGAAGTCAGATCTTCTTGGTTTACATTCACGATTGAAAGCAATACATTTTAACAGTCCAAGCTGATTTCCCACTTTAAATAGGATACCATGTATCTAGAGTAAATTATGTTACTGAATCTAGGTCTACCTCATTTTTAATATGGGCAGGAATCTCTCTTTCCCCAGTACTAACTTGAATCGGGAACTTGGATGCAGACATTTGGATATCTTTCCATTGGGCTGCATAATCGGCAGTGCACCAGAACTGTCAGTAATTTAAAATCCATGTGACATGTGGTTAAAACATGCAAGACACTTGGTATGGCCCTCGACATGAAGACAGGACACCTACAGAGCCACTAAAGTGCTCTTTGGATGGCTGTCCAGCTATTAGTGCTTGATGGTTCAATAAGCAGGCAGTGTGTACGTGATAAATCAATAAGAATAAGCTGAATAAGCTCCCTCTAATTGGTGGGTAAAGTGAAGTGCAACATTCTCTCATACACAGGCATGCAAACACATGTATAGTCTCCCGTACACATTTTCTGCAACAATGTGCATTTTCTATATTTAAAGTTTTCACACACACACATCCACATTTCATATCTTCATGAAGAAAAGAATAGCTCCCAGCCATTGCTAAAATAATTTAAATCTCAGATTCTCAGAAATTATTAACTTAATCAACAGGATAGTGGTGGCAGACATGAAGGAAAGAGCTAGAGATGGAGCTTATCTCCAAATTAGACGGCATGCACTAAAGAGATCTGATATATCTGATTTTCTAGAGTAGAGAGTAAATTAAGCAAGAAAAGAAAGTTAGCAGTTTGTTTGATTTCAATTTCTGTCATGGACGGAGAATGTCAAACTTACTATAAGTCCGTTTGCGTGTTGCTGTTCGTTACTTTGGTCCTTAAAATTTTGAGAAGACAATGTTAGACTACTTGTGTAGTAAGGTTGAAGAGTCACTTCATAGAGCATCCTGAGCATCTGCAGCGTAGAGAGCAATGAGATGCATTCCTCTCGTCACATGGAGCTTCACAATATTCACCAACTTGCCACATGCAGTAATCCTTTCATCACATGGTAAAACCCTCATCAGTTCTTTCATTATCAGTAAGGACAGGATTGCTCTGCCATGCCAATCTGTAAAGTAATCTACATGTTTCCTAGATTCTTTTTCACGAGTAAAAGTGTTCAGTGATTAAAAAAACCCTACAAGTCTCACCTTACAACTATGTGAAGCAGAAATGATTGCTCCACTTCCTTTACAAAAGTGCTGAATGGAACATGTGATGAAACAGAGTACTGGGCTACACCCTCACCAACCAACGACCCAGATAGCAACTGTAAGCAGGGAACTACCCCAGAGGCAAGGTAACACACAATGCACACTGATGTGGACTCACAACAACAATGACTATGGTGAAGTGGGCAGACCAAACTACAAAGAGACGAATTAGACATGCGCCGATATTGTGTTTACCTTGGCGATTTGCAGCAGTACAATACAGTGCTTGATGGACTCTACCATGCTCTGAAAGAAAAAGATTGAAAATGCATATTTAACAACTGGCAACTGACTTCAAAACTCAAAGACGGGAAGGAAAATGTGTTAAGTTCTGACTTACACAAGTAGTCTCCTTCAAATTTTCAATTTTCTGTAAAAATGGAAAGAAAACAGGCTGTAAAATCAAACAGCAATTTTAAAAACAAATACAACATACAGAAGCAGAAGCGCTGACCAGTTTAATGGCAAATAAAGCACAACTGGAAGACAACTTAGAGCAGCAGCTTTTTTGTTCTTTGGAAATCTACAAGACAATTCCCCATACTGAAGAGATTGGCAAGGCAACAGTGACAAACTAGTCAAAGCGACCAAAAGCCAGAATTAATCTCCAGGAGGAAGTGAATCACTCAGTTGCTGGTAAACAACTGAGACATACTAAAACTGAACTGCTTCCTCCAACAAAACTAAACAACTCTACCAGATAATTAACTTAAAACTAAAATTACAAGTTACCAAAAAAAACCCGCCCTTTGTGGGGCTAACAGTAGCTGCTAGTTCGGCCGGATTATTAGACTAAAAAAGCTGGGTGAGCTGGTGAAACATATGGGAGGAGGCCTGAGCTATCAGACTAACGCCACTTGAGGTACACAAAGCAGTATTATGAGACAGTCAATACAAATGAGAAATAGGTCATAATGTACCATAGGTCATTTTTGAACCAATCTTTTAACCTTTTAAAAAATAAGATGGCTTAAAACTACAGTGACCAGATGAGTATACGTGAAATCCGGGACAGGGGGTCCGGGTGTAGCGCGGCCTCCTGTACATTACATTTAGTGTCAACAAACAGTAAAAAAAGTGAAAGTCAAAACTCAACGCTAAAATTAGGATGCCATTAGGAAAACAACTATGACCCTGTTGTATGTAACAGTGTGTAAATCATGATCCGTTACATACAATTCATTTAATTTTATCAGTGTGACCATCACATTTGATCTCTCTTTCTCCACGGCCGCCTGCAGCTACACTTTGCCTGTCCTTCCGACTACAACTTCCACTGTCTTTCTCTATACTAGAAAACAATAACAGGGAAAGAGCATGCACACGTGTTACTTTGTGGCTGTAATAACGCTGTTTAAACAATGCCCACGCTACTCTGCAGTAGCCAATGAAGAGCTGGAACACTGTCCATCTGTGGACAACGATCAGTATTAAATGCTTTATTAGGCTATAACTCATCAAAACTCAGGTTCAGACAAGTTTTCGTGACAAACAGGATTCTGCTCGTAAATTCGGGTATGTTGCAAACTTTTAGGACGTCTAGTCCCCTTACTTAAAACTGACAAGCAACAGATACCAATCATCTGCACCACACTGACAGCTTTCATCTATTGCTCCCCAGGGCTACATGTCAGCCTGCTTCCCCTGCTGTTAGCCTCAGCTCTAATGACAGCCAGAAGAGCAGACCAGAGAGCATATGCACGAGGACATAGCAACACTGCTGGTACTCACTCTGCGTGATTCATCCTCTTTGCAGTCCTTGATCTTCTCATCAAACAGCTGTGTGAGAGTGACAGAGAACAAGAGATGGAAAAGAATAAAAGAGGTGAAATATGAGCGAAAAAGTCATATTGTGCATGAAATGAAAAAAGCATAGTAGTTTCAATGAATATATATATTTGTTATTTATACCTTATTTATTTTAACTTAACTTCTGCATGTTCTTCTTTGTTAAGTTGTGTATGTCTTTTTATGTATATTTAATGTAAGCAGCTGCTACTGCAACACTGCATTTTCCCTTTGAGCATGAACAAAGTGCCTATCTACCCATTCTTCACAGATAATGTGGCGGCAAGTAGCAAGCTCTTCTCCCCCAAGGAAGGACGCTTCCAGTATTGTCATTAAGTCTGCCTGAGAAAATGTGCTGCTGCTGCTGCTTCTTTAAAATACATAATTTTCTGCTTTATCATCGTGCTACCACAAATCTTATTCTGTATAACTTCTGCTTTCTTACAGAAGGGAGTGAGAGCAGCAAAGTGAAACAAGAGACAAGTTAAGGGAAAGGTCATGACATAGTGCCATACCATGTCTATGACAAATTTACAGTTTTAGAGTAAATTTTAGGTTGCAATTCAGAATAAATTATTTGACCTGTGAAAATTATTTATGTTTAGCTAAATGCGTCAATGTGAGAGGCAGGTAAAAATAAACACAATATTCCAGATGAAATGATGATGTCTGTTAGGTGTTGCTCCATTGAGTCCTACCTTTAACTGGTCGATCAGAATCTGTAGGTAGGCGTCAGCTTCAGCTAGCTTCTTGTCAAAGTCTTGAACACTCGGAACAAATCCTGTCTCGGCCTCCTGAGGATGGAGAAAAAAAAAAACATCACCACAATTAATTTCAAACGAAATGTGTGCAGTATTTGCATATTCCAAGTCAAATACTCGTAGTAGTCACGTATTATCCGTTCATAGAAAATAAAAATAAGAGCTCATCTCTGTCACCTCCTGGCCAGGTAAGCTTTGTAAACTGTTGGACAAAATGGTGGACAGAAACATCAACAGTTCAGGAGAATCTTCCAGCAGCGTACTGTACTGGGGGGGAGATATGAATACTATTGTAGCCTACATAAAAGGCCAGCAGGTCCGTCTGCCTGACCGACTGACTAGAGGCCAGCTAATTTCAGGCTTCAACTAAACTGAATCAAGGAACTCAAGGCTGGCGAGATTTTAGCTACTGACAGGGAAGCGTGTGTGTAAAGGGACTGAGGTGCAGTCAAATCCATTGTTTGTTAATTAGCTTGCCTTAATAGCCCCATCAGAATCAGAAACGCAAGACTCCGCACACACATGCACAGACATTTTCATTACATAATATCCATTAGAAGGTAATTACTAGACTATTGGCAGGACAGACGTGACCGGGCATCTGTCTCTTTCTGTCTGAGCCGAGAACAATCCAGTTGGCTGTGTCACAAAACCAAACAGGAAAATGGGCAAATAAACGCACGCACAGACAAGACTTCCTTAAAAAAAAAAAAAAAAAAAAATCACCAGTAACAACATTCGGCACCAATGAAAACACAATAATCCTTCTAGGTCAAGCCAAACAAATCAGTAAGATAACTAACACAGCGTGTGTCAGCAGCAGTTACTCTGACATGAAAAAACACAGAACACCACCTCTCACACGAAAAAGCAAAAGAATAATAGTTCAACTGATAACGACTGTTAAAATCAAACAGAAACCTTGTTAGTAAACCAAGCTCTACCGCTGCTTTGTATTTGCTGCGTCGCACAGCCCTGGTGTGTCCTGAGTCTGTGGGGGGTTTTCTTCCTGCTAAAGACGATCTCACAGGAATGTGAAGAAAAGCCATTAACAGCCAAACACCGTTAGCAGCTGCCCCGGCCTGAGACCTGCTAATGTTTAAACTGTAAAAACATAGCTTTATAGAGAACAAAGTCTGAGTAAACTCAGCAACCATGAAGTCTGCAGTTAACTGCCCAAACTTCCTCAAAAAGGATCAAAGGTACTTTCACTGTTAGCGTAAGAACAAAATATAGCTGGCCACAAGAGGGCCTGAGCAAAAATCTAACAATTTTGATGCACTTGTGAACTTCTATATACTGTATACATGTGTGCGTCCTTTTCTGGATTGGCACAGTCATCAGAGTGTGAGGAATTTCCCCTGACTGCTAACTCCTACTACACTGGAAAATCACGCCAGTTTATTGAGAAAAGAGCAGCTATCTTTCTGCTAAGGCATTACACCATGGTCATTTCTAGTTAACAAAACACATAAATTCAGATCAAAGCCAAAACTTTTACATGTGCTATGTATATACAGGGTGTGGACTACACCTTTGGCAATCTCATAAACTTCAAATTTTCACAGTGAAGTGTTGCCATACATTACAACTGTTCGTTGTAAGCCTAAGTACATGTGAAAAGAAACTAAATTGGAGCAGGAAAATGAAGCTAACAGGGTGAAAACAAAACAGGACTGCAAAGGAAGACACATAATGGAGGGGAAGCATTTTGTTTTTTTATAACCCGAGCATAAGTTTGGAAAGTCACAGGCAGGTGGTTGGTTTAAAAACAGCCACTGTACCACTACGTCATAGTGCTTACTTCCTTGCTGTTCCTGAAATATTCCCAGATGTCTGCACCTCCACTCCCACCATTTTTTGACCGGCCATAAAACTGCATAAGATAGGATGTACAATGTTTCCTTTGTAATGACAGTTTTGCTTGGGGGGGGCACTATTACAATGGTTATCAACCATTTCGATAAGTTATTTATTTTTCCATGTATGAACATTTCACGGTTCCAGCTTGACAAATGTGAAGATTGGCTGCTGATCTTTTTCATCATTTTACTTTAATTGTTAATAATTTTAAGGTTGGACTAAACAAGCATTGTGAACATGTCACTTGATTGACATCACATAATTGTGATGGCATTCCTTACGATTATCAGAATTTTTACAAACCAAACACCTAATCCATAATGAAAATAATCTTCAAGATGAGCATGGTGGATGGGGTTGGGGCATTATTTCTGCATTGAGTACTTTTACTTTTAATACTTTAACATTTCCAGCGCTGGACTTGTACTTATAAACAGAATATTTTTAGAGTGTGGTCTTAACTAAATAATCAGATTCCTTCCTCCACCACTGCCCACTCTGTCTATCAAGGTAAACAAACTATTAATAACTATATAAGCTTAGTTAGTTTTCCATCACGTTAGCTTAGCACACCCACAGCCTGACTCTGCAGAGCCTGCCCTTTAAGGAAACTGGTCTTCGTAACCTGTGTGACGCAGCCTGGCAGGTTTCTTATGGGAAACGAGGCTCTCCCGGTGTGTGCGGAAAGTACCACCACATTGCAGCAATCATAGATAAGTGTATGCGATGCGGGTTCGTTAAGTTACTTTTGTCATTCGTAACGTGACTATTTCAGCAACGAAGCTACTGAATGTATTGTGTTCGCTGGTATAAGAGAAAAAAAAAGTCCCTGTTCACGCAGTGTTACTACAGCGTCCTCCAGCTTTCTTCACAGCAGAGTTGTGTGCAACTTAGCGGAAACACTGGGGTAGCAGGATAATCGTAGCGACGGTGGACGGCAATAGTCAGTTATTGACGGTCACACGTTACATGCCGACGTCAGTGTGCAGAGTCGATGCAAAACACAACGTGGTCAGTCAATTTATGTGTTGAAGTGAAGTAGGTCTAATTAAACAACCACCGGCAATGGCGGCTGACCTCATGAATTTGATTCGCTGTGCATCCCTGTGTGTGTGTTTGTGCGACATGGTGGGGATATTGTAGAGCAGCCCGCAAAGTCTCACTCACAAACCCATCCACCCCACCCTCTACAAACAACACTCGCCCCCACCCCCCAGTTTCTATTTGTCTTTCCACGCAGTGTGACCCACTTTAAAATGCTGCCGCTGCCCCAGCAGCGCACTGCAGCCGTTTTAAAGTTATCCCTGCTGTGGTGCAGTGGCGCTTTGCGTTTGTGTGTGTGTTTACTTACTGGGTGCCTCGCTCCAATGGACATTCTGCGTTAAACCTTGTACATCTCTCCCATCAGGCCATTTAGCCTGACACAAGATCGTTTTCTCTTTCTCTGCCTTTTGTTAAGTCTGTTTTTCTCTGCTTACAGCAACAAAACCAGCTCTGGTTAAATTGGCGTCCTTTTCCCCTCCTCCCCTCCACCACACACAAACAGAAAACAATCTCCTTCGCTCGCTCTCCACTGCAGTATGCCAACATAAACCACAGCAGCCTTCTCGCTGTGCAGCCAGTCTGGCTACAGTATATCCTTCGGCAGCAGTTATCAGCTGAGTGTGTGGTATGAAGGCAGACAGCGTTGAGTTAATCCAGGACCCTCCCCTGGCAGGAAAGCCACACTTCCTCTCACGCAGGCAGAAGAGAAAACACATAAAGCAGCGGCGAATGCTGACAGGGACAAGCATTAACGCCCACTCTGATTGGCTGAGGCAGCAGCGGCAGATGTTTGGTTGATCAAGCAAGCACGTCTCGGATTGGTTACTGCTAGGTCATATGAAGCTACGACACAGCGAGCTGCATAAGTGTGTGTTTGTGTGTGTGCCCGCCCAGAGCAAGCAGGCGCACGTAGCACATCAGAAGGATTTGCCACAGAGGGAGGGCAGGAAGGCAGGAAAAAAAAGAAAGGAGGGAGAGCAAATTAAATGGTTGGTCATGAGGGTGAAAATGAGGAAATGGTTGTGAAGAGCTGTACGTATATGATGATGACAGGGGAAAAGGAAGAAAGGTTTGGGTAGGCCAGCAGGAAAACGGTTGGCCAGAGAACAAGTGGAAGTCGGGACAAGCAAGAAAAAGTCTGAGACACACGTGGCCTGAACACTGGTAAAATAACAGACAAAAAATAAAAGAGACAAGCCAAGCTGCCAGCAGGTCAGCAGTAAATCAAACAAGAAAACAGTCCTGCCACAAAACTAAGCCAGATTTTATGGGACTAACCACCATAACATCCTCCATTTTCATGGTCTGACTGTCATTATTTCCATTTATTAAGACTCGTCACTGACTCTCAACTGCAAAAAGATCAGGTATGAGCAAGACACAAAGCTAAAGTGCTAAGAAACAAGACCTGAGATGCCAAGTCCCTTTCAAAGTCATCATATGAGTGTTGTGGTGTAACACTACATGATTTACAGAATATGCAAATGCATGCAATCTCAGGTTCAATAAAAATCCCACAATCAAAGCAATGACATCTATGGAACATTTTAGTCTTCACTTTATCTATGCCAGTATACTCTTCATGTATTACAAAGAGCCTATTTGCATAGGAAAATAACATGGTAAATAGTAAAACTACATGCTGACTCAGGAATTAGCGTAAACAGGCAAACAAAAATCAAGGAACCCCACAGCAAAACGACTAAACAGGTAAACAAAAAAATAAAAATAAAAAATACCCACAGCCAAATTACTTTTGTTTGTTGTTATACTGGATGGGCTAGACACAGACTAACAGAAACTGAAACACTTACACATACAGCGCATGTTTACATACCCGGAGTTGGAGGGTGTGACGGAGGATAGTTCCCTCTAAGGCGTGGATCCACTTCTCCCGCTCGTCTGCATCTCGGGCTGAGGGCAGAAGCACACAGACACACCCAGTGAGCCCTGTTTTCCACACAGACACCATCAGTAGCCATTACACTCGTGTTACACACTAATGGCACAAAGACAACACTGAAATGACATGAGTACTGGTAATACAGTGATGGATGCTTTATATTCATTTAAATTTATAGTTTGCTTTTTATCTAAATTACCTTAACCTCATGTTCAGGGCTGAAAAGTCTACAATCATGTATGTATATGCAGTTTCACAAAGATAACAACCATAAGCTTTATTTGTATAGCCCTTTTTATATATTAGATGGGCAAAAAATGTGCTTTACAACTTAAATAACACCACAAATAAAAACACAGACAATAAAGTCCAATAAGAAAATAAAAAGAAACAGTACAGTGTTAACTTCCTGGCTGAAAATCAAATGCAGAAAGATGTCTGATCCATATATTTCATATGGCACATACAATTCCATAAAGGAACATTTCAGCATTTTGGGACATACATCTTAAGCCCCCTTTCCACTGCATGGTACCAGCTCAACTCAACTTGCTTCTACTCGACTTAGATGAGAAGATACTACTCTCATTTCTGTCTGTTAATTATGAAGCTAGAGCCAAAAGCCAGTTAGTTTAGCTTAGCATAAAAACTGGAAACAAGGGGAAGACAGCCAGCCTAGCTAAAAGGTCATCAAACTGAATAGGTAATAAAATCCACCCAGCAGCACCTCAACAGCTCACTAAATAACACATAATATCTTGTTTGTTTAACCTGTAGAAAAACGTTAAAGTTTAAAAACAACACATTGTCTTTTAACGGAGGTTATGTGCTGGAGTATTTCTTGGATGGGTGCAGTCACTTTCCAAAGTGTCTGTTGGTTGCCTGGCAACCTCATAGCGATGACAAAAGTTAGAAAATTATTACGGCAAGATATTGTCCAGCACATAACCCTGGACAGAGCCAGTCTAGCTGTTCCCCCTGCTTTGGGAATTTAAGGGTCTGATTTTTCATATTTACCATACGGACAGTGGTATTAATCTTATCATCTCATACAACTAAAACACAAGGAAGTGTATTGGCTAAAGTTATTAAAATACTATTTCTTTAAATTACAGGAATGAGCAAAGCTAGATAGGCTAGGGCTGTGCCTAAATATCAGCTTGGAATTTAGCATTTATTTAACTGTGCTACTGTAGAAAACAAATCTAAAGAAAGGTAGCTTTCGTATGATTGATGTAAGTACTCAATCAGAATATTTAAGGGAAGCTAGACAGGTCTCTACCTAAATATAGTACAACATTTATTTATCTGATTTAAGTCAGGCATTATCAAATACATAAACACTCACATTTTTAGAAGATAAAAGTAGTACTCAAAGATTGAGTTTTGGTGCGCAGTCCTATTTATGATAGTGATGGGTTAATCAGCACCAAAAGAATCAATACTTATATGATCATTGTAAAAATGAGGAGTAAACGCTTCTTCAGAGTGGCATGGCAGTTCTGATTCTCGCCTGTTTTTTTTTTTTGTTTGTTTTTTTTGGATGGGGTCCATGTGTGAAACGGAGCTGGGTAAGGCTATACCCCAAGGCGCCATCTACACTACTGCGTTTTAGTTTATAAAATTAATTAAAACAAATACGATCTCTGTCCACATCAGCGTTTTAGCTGAGAATAGAACTGATCTCAGTCTACACTAAAACGACTGAAAACGCACATCTAGTGGGCGTTCACGTACACTGGGCATGCGCGTGCCGGTGTACACATGAAGCAGATGGTCCATTCTGTAGTTACAGAAGATTTGACAAAAGAATAAAGAAATGCAGATGAAGAACCACACCAGATTTTATTTTGCATGGACCAATTACGAGCTGGGACTGTTACTGAATGTAACAGGGGAGTTAAAAGTGACTGTGGTGGCGGAAAACAGACCGGGAGTCGTCACAAAGTAAATACGGAGACATGCAGAGTAGCTACAAATGTGGGCTATGAGTTTTATTTGCACAGTACAAAATATTTTAATAAAAATACCCTGTCAAAAACTCTGTCAGCAACATCGTGTTTCTACTTTGCATGACTTATGAGACCCAATCAGAGAGCCAAACGTGAGCGTCTGTGTCATTGTTTCTAATGTCCTCCGTTTTTGCCCGTCTTCACTAAAGCACTGTCCGGAGTTTCAAAACAAAAAACGGGGTCCGCAGCGTTTTCAAACTTCCCCGTTTTAGGTCTCGTTTTCACCATTTTAATCTGGACGCGAGGTGCAAACTAGTGTTGTAGTACTCGAGATTGGTCTTGGTCTTGAGAACGGTCTTAAGACCACTTTTTGATGGTCTTGGTCTCGTCTCGGACTCGACCGCATTTGTACTCGGTCTTGTCTCGGTGTCGGACATTGAGGACTCGGGATTTTTTTTTCAAGACCAGTCAATACCATAACTCTGATTTATTTATTAACATCCTTACTTTGATTGGATGGAAAATGTATTGCTTCAAATGCAACCAATAACCCTAATTAAAAATGTGTTATTATCATTAACGACTGTCCCCGCGATGGTAAGCATGGAAAAGTTGAATAAAGATGCTTATGTTGATTTCAGCTTAGTGTTTGTATGTGGCTGTTTTTATGGGAATGTGGATCTTTCAAATCCATTTGAGAAGTACCTATGATCTCACTTTACATTTTATTGTGTTTCATGTAATGTGGAGAACTGGTCTTGGTCTTGACTCAGTCTTGCCCTCCCTCGGTCTTGGTTTCGACTTCGTCTCTGCCCCTAATAGTCTTGGTCTTGTCTTTGTCTCGATAAAATCTGATCTTGGTCTTGACTACAACACTAGTGCAAACGCAGCAAAAGGTCTCCGTTTTAAAACGAAAACGCAGTATTGTGGATGGGGCCTCAGAGCAAAGACAGAGAACAAACAGACTGCCAGTGACATTAAACAGTGACCCAGTACAGACCCTGACATATGCAATACGCACACATGCACAGCAAAGTGCCAATGGCATACAGAGATACCATATTTTGTCCTCTGCCAACACATGGCCAGGACTGAATCCATCCCGCAGGTTGTAGCATGTATGCAAGTGTTCATAGACTGTATTTTAAAGTATTAAAGGTTTTTAACTTCTTGCATAGAAAGCAGCTTTACTGCATGTAGAAGATGGCCACCACAGTCCACAAGAACTATAACTCTAAAAGGAGTGAAAGAAGAACTTAAGATATATGCCACTGAATTAGCTGGCAAACTATATCCTGTGTAAGAGTCATTTTTCATAGAGGTGGAAACAAGACAGTACAGCAGATGAATGGCTGCGCTAGCACAGAGGCTGAGCTGTGCTACAGCAGAAAAGCTTTTAAAGACATTAAAAGGCAGCCGAAGCTCAAGCCAATCCACTCAGACAGCGCCTCACTGCCCTCTCACTTTCTCCTCAGCCAAACAGACTCTCCAGAGGAACAGATTACTGCGGCTAATGTTGTTTGGCGCTATTCATGACACAGGAGAGGTAGTAGCAGGGTCATTTAACAAAAATCAAATGCTATATCTGTATGAACTGTGTTGCAAGTCCAATCTTTGTCCTAATCTGTGGCTCACATGTACACCATGATTTATATTCCCAGGTAGATATAAGCAGTTAACCAACTCAGCAAATCAGTTAACCAGCAGGCCATAAGGCAACAAACAATGTAAGTCATGACAGTCATCATGAACTTCCTTTGTTTACCCTACCACTGTGGGCTCTGATGCCTCTCTGCCAGAGGAAAGCAGAGAGTTATTACAAGAACAAGCACATAGAGGTGATAC